ATATCTAGGCCTTACTAAGCATAATATATTAGCAACTAGCCTATCTCGTCTTATTATCTAACGGCTACTTTGCTTACAAACCTTTATACCTGCCTACGAGATAGCAATTAGTACACTACGCGCTTTAATATAAGACCTCTATCTACTACGGAATATCTATATCTATACGGCGATACACCTATCCTAGAAGAGCCTGTCTATCTATAGCGAATATACGTACGGAAGCGACGACGTAGACGGGCAATTAGCACTTAATAACGGATAAGAGGGTTCGAGGCAATGTATTCTCGGTAGTCCGGCCGCCTCCGCGGACCTTCGTAGAGGTAAACTTTATTTTAGTCGAGATATATATATATACTAAGCTATATCCTTTACTACTATATTTTACTATAACGTAGTACCGGTACCTATATATAATTATAGGAGCGCTTTATCTTCTATATCGTAGCTATAATATACTTTTTACGCGACTTAATACGACTAAATTTGACTATCTTATAGCTATATAGCGGAAGCGACAAATATACTATTTTATTAACCCTTAAACTACGATAAATCTACGCTCGGATCGAATAGGTCTATACCCGCTACTATATATTCCTATAGCTCTGCTTTACTATAAGTACCTCTAATTAATTCTATATAGGATAGATCGACCTCTATACCCTCGGTAATCGCCGGAGGGCCTTCCTATACCGGATTTACTTGCTTAGAGCCCTATTCTTAGTAGCTAGCTATATTCTTTAAGAGCGATAGAATAGTGTTATTCTAAGCCTTTAGCGCACTAACATTACTCTTTAGCCGCTTTAGCTTATACTAACTATTCTCGTCTACTTCGCCGCTATTTAACGACCGTACTAATACCGCTATACTAGCTTCTATCGTCGGAGGTTCTTTAGCTAACTCTCGCTTTGTCTTACGCTTCTTAGAGGCCTTAGTACTACCGACTAGCCGTAGCGTTGCTAAAGAATAAGAGGCCGGCGTTATTAAGGAACGAGAAGCCGCTAGAGTCTATAAATTATAGACCGCCTCTTTATTAAAGTCCGCCTCCGGATAGACTGTTTCTAGTAGATTAGTCTTATTCCGCTCCGCTTCCTCGTCTATCTTATTTTCTTCTTTATTAATATAAGCATTAGACTTACTACTACTACTAGACTCGGGGTCTAGTAAGGGCGCTTTCTTCTTCCCTTTGCCCTTCCGGCTCTTAGTAAGGTTTAGTCTTACTCGCTAAGCATTAATAGCCTTATCTTCCTTCTTCTTAGCGGCATTCGCTTTATCTTTAGCTAACTATTGCTTCTTAGCAATCGCCGCCTTTATCTTACTAAGCCGATTAGTATATTCGTTATTAAATTCAGTGCTAGAGTCTATATAGGTACTACCTTGCTTAGGGTCGCGCTATTAGTTATCCGAGCGAAGCCGGATGTTTTTAGGCCGAAGTTAGAGTGTTCGAGGAGCTTGCGACGAGGACACGGAAACGGAGGTCTAAAAACAGTAGGCGAGCGGCGGATAACAATCAGTCTTAGCAGGTGGTTTCTTGCGCAGGCAGGTAGCGTACGGCCTTCTACGTAGTGGAAGGCGTATTGCTGTCTGCTAGCGTAGGGGTTGAATTCAAAGATGCGCCTATACAAAAGCATTCTAGCCCTCTTATTAGTAGAAAAGATATCCCCCCTACGTAACCGCAACCTTAGGCCCGAAGAGATCTTTACGTTACTAACAACTAGCACTATAATAGCAACTAGCTAACACACGCGACATACGTGCCGACTATACTACTTGCGCTAAATACACGTATACCTCTCGCGCCGACTTTACGCACGATTATGCCCTAATTATTACGCAAAACTTTAAGCAAGATCGCGCGTAAGACCGCAAGCAAGACCGTACGCAAGACCGTACGCGACTAGACCAAAAGAGACAGGAAGGGTTAGATTAAAAGGAAAGGACAATGCTAGAGCAAAACTATAGAGCGAATTAGCCGGGGCTTTCTAGCGGGTTAAATCTCGTTATACCCTAGCCCTTCGAGACATATTACAAGTCAACTAAGTAAATATAACTACTACGCTTACTCTTCGGCGTACACCGTAGTATGTTTATAGAAACTAGACGAACTAAGTTTTTTAGTAAACATTTATAGCTACTTAACCTAGTTAATTAGCTAACGAAACTATCGGGTTAAATAGGGTACCGACGCCCCTCTACTGTTTATAATAGTTAGTTTGGAAGGCAACTAAGAACCCGGCTAGCGCGGCTTACGGCGGTTTAAGAAACCTACTGAAATTACGACTCGGCACCCTAGCTTAGTTTAGATAGATTATGTGATCTGCGTGCGTCTAAGAAGAAGAGGGGGCTAGGTCTGTTTGTTCTAGAGTAGACGCAAAGAACTCGGACGAATACACTTAAAGCGGGGGCAGTACTACAATACCTCTTACGCCCGACTATTATAGTAGAAGGACGCGCTCGTATTGTGATTAGACGTACGGCTGCAATTCTTACATACTAATATCCCTTTACCGTCGCTAGCGTTGTAGTAGCGCAGTTAGAAGCGTAAAAGGTAGGTAGCGAGGTAAGATTTAGACAAGAAGCTAGTTAAGGGTTTAATTTAGCGACTAGAAGGGACATTACCGCAATTAATAAGTTAGTAGCCTTATACCTATCCTATTTAATCATTTAGTTAATTAGTTAATCTCGGATCTAGACCGAAGTCGACCGAGTTAAGTCGATTAAGCACATTTCCGGCAAACTACGCTAACAAAAGTAATTAATACGATAACGACGGCGGCCTTAGGCATATTAGGAGCAAAACCTCCTCCAACCTCTTATACACTAAAGACTACCTTAACGATATCAAGCTTTGTACTAAATAGTTAGACTAGGACCTGTGTACTATAAGAAGCAAAGGTAGGAGCAGTCCGCGCGGTAGGTACGAGGGATTTAGGAGGAGCCTACGACGACTATTCCCCTCTGCCCTAAGCGCTAACGTTAACAAAGCAATATAGGTACTAAAGCGGTAAGGCTATAGGGGGTTTAGGAGGAACGACTATCCCCTTAGCCTCTAAGCGCTAACGTTAGTAAAAGGAGCACTCTACGCGGTAAGGGACGGGGTTTATCCCCTCCCTCTAAGCGCTAACGTTAGCAAAAGTTAGGAGCATTCCGCGTAGTAAGGGAGGGGGTTTAGGAGGAACGACTATCCCCCTCCCTCTAAGCGCTAACGTTAGCAAAAGTTAGGAGCACTCCGCGCGGTAAGGGAGGGGGTTTAGGAGGAACGACTATCCTCCTCCCTCTAAGCGCTAACGTTAGTAAAAGTTAGGAGCACTCCGCGCGGTAAGGGAGGGGGTTTAGGAGGAACGACTATCCCCCTTCCTCTAAGCGCTAACGTTAGCAAAAGTTAGGAGCACTCCGCGCGGTAAGGGAGAGGGTTTAGGAGAAACGACTATCCCCCTCCCTCTAAGCGCTAGCGCTTACAAAGGTACGTATATAGTAGTAGTTAGTAGGGAATGCTTTGTAAATAAAGTTATATTCTTTGTAGTCCGTGCTAGCTTCTCGTAAATTCCGTTATATATAAGAAGCCGTGTCCTATTCCTATTCGGGTATAGTCTTTCTCTTCGCCGGGACTGCTTACAAATAGAGACCTCCTTCGCGACTTCGCGACTTCGCTTCTTCGCATTACGACTTCCGATTCTTAGGCTCTCTATCGCCTTCCCTACCGAATATACCTCGCTTAGATTAGACATTAGCAGCGATCTATACGACAACTAACGAACAATAGCAAGATAGCGTTATAGTCGAAGCTCGCTATTTGCGACGCCTCGAGCACTTCCTATACGCTCTCTTTAAACACTAAGAATACTAAGCGTAGCGCCGATCTATATACCTTTCGCGACTAAGCACTAGTCTACCGCCGTAATACTTGCCGTACAACTAGGCGCCGACTCGAGCGACTATTTAAGAAAGAAGTTATGCCTATAATTCGCGACCTCGAGAAGCAGATAGACGACGCAATAGTAGAACATAATACAGAGGCTTATAATACTGCTAAGTATGTCCTACTTATATATCTTAAGTAGTATACTGCGAAGGCTATTAAGCCTGCCCTATATACTGCTAAGACCCGCCGTTATATTAATTTAATAGCCGAGATTTAGGCTATTATCTAGCAGAATACGCCGACATACTTATATATAGCGCAAGTCTGTTAGCAATTTAGTTACTAGTACGGAGAAGCAGCTGCTGGCGCACCTAGTAGCGACCTACCTAGCGGTCTATCGAAGAAGGATGCGCCTACCGATCGACCCGACGCCGGCGAGGAGTCTAATAGCGAGTATAATAACGATAGCATTAAAGGCGTAGATTGGCTGCGTTATATAGGCAAGTATAGCAAGAAGAAGAAGGTTCGCTGCTTTATAAAGGGAAAGCGTACTCTGCGCTAGTACAGTTTATATCGCATTGCTAATGCCGCGAAGAAGAGCAGTAAGAGAAAGCGAGCGGGTAATAATAACGATAATACTTCTATAAAGCGTAGTCGTCCTACTCTAGGTGCTACTAGACCTATATCTACGCTAATCTAGATTTAGTCGTTACTAGCTCCTTCCTCTATACCTAATATTATACCTCTAGCGCCGCCTTCCTCCGTATTAAGCAATATTCTAGTTATTCCTCGTACTAGAGATCCTGTTAAGAAGCCTCCGCTAGACTGCTTAATGCCGCCTCCGCCTCCTCGACTAACATAGGGGTCGTCGTTATCCTTCGGCAATCCTAGAGACATTCGGTATCGCGGTTAATATAGCAGCGACGATTTAGTAACCGCTAAAGCACGTTATACGCAGACCGACATCTCTCGCTCGTATCGATAACGACGTCGCGCTAGTAAGGAAGTGTCTTAAACTCTAAGCATCGATACAATTATCGCTAGAGCTATAGAACGTACGCAAAAGGACGTAATGCCTTCTGCTAGAGACTTTCCGACCGATCCTCTTAGAAGCGACAACCTACTAAGTAGAGGTATTGCTAGCGGTCTCGATCTAGACGACGAGATACTAGACAACCGCGTATTCTTCTACTACGATATTTGTAATATGCCTCGTTATATTACCCGACTTTACCGCGTACTAGGCGTTAAGAGCCGTGCCTGTTCTACTTGCAATTACTGCGCTAAAGGCTATAACCTAGACGATCTAACAATACTAAAGTAGTATATAGCTAACAAGCACGAAAGCTAGCGCTTTAAGTTCCTTATAAACGCTAATTCCGAGTAACTAGAAGAGGAGCTTAAGACATGCTACGCTAGCTGCTATAATTTGATAAAAGCTTAGCAAGAAGCAGCAGGTATACGTCCTGTCCGTACAGGTAGTCGCGTATACGAAGCCTAACTTTAGTAATAGCAAGAGATAGAGCGACACTTTCTCGAGGATACAGAGCTTCTATTTCTAGATACTAGTATAGCAGACCCTATAGTAGGCGATCTTAATATTGCGGCATTGTACGACGGCGATTATTAGTTAGTATAGGACTTCTATTAGCAGCTTAAAGATAAGAAGATTGAATACTGCTAGAATCTAGATCTTATCGATAATACTAGCACTCGTAGCCGAGGTTGCAAGGAGCGGTAGTTCAATATAGAGCTAGATAACAATCCTAAGTCTCTAACATTTGGTATCTGTCGCCGCTGCCGCAAGACCCGAGACAATAAGAAGCTATATCTTTCCCCGGACCTTATATCGAGCGACAATCGAATAGATCTAGGTCTATAGCCTATAGGGCCTAATAGCGAGGATCTACTAGAGCTAACTATGCTTAAGGAGATTCTTATCGCCCGTGTCTATATCTACGTTAAGATGCGGCTAATTAAGGGTGCTTAGTAGCGGTATAAGAACAACGTAGTTAACTTTCTACGCGATACTAGCAAAGTTTGGTCGGAGTTGCTATTAGTGCCTAAACACATTAAAACAGTAGTCCTCCGTCCTACTTAAGGAGATGAGATTACTAGACGTATCTTTATACGCGATTTCAAAGTCCGCAGATAGGCAGTAAAGGTATAGCTTAAACACTTAATTGCTAACTCTCTAGACTATACTAGCATAACTATCGACTAGGACCGGCTGTCTTAGCTACCCGATAGTTAAGAAGGAGAGTCCGTTCTTTATCGTATAAATGTTAAGGAATACGATAAAGTATAGCTTCTACTACCTCCGCCAATTCTAGACGCAATACAAGCTTTAGCTAGAGATAACGCTAAAGATAACGCTAGCCCTATTATTAAAGAAGATGCCGAAGACAACTTTGCCGACTACCTAGAAGAGTCGGCTCTTCCCTAAGTACACATTCTATAAGGCTAGCGAGAGTAGATTTAAGACTTACTTAATAAGTAGGATAATTAGCGACGCTAGCGTAACGACCGTATACGACGAGAAGCTATAGAGCGCCGAATGCAGCGTTCTTAGATAGATGCGTCTAGGGACGAAGATACAGCAGCTAACTAGACCTAGCTTACAATGCTACCGTTCGATCTAGTGCCTTTAGATGAGTTTAACAAGACCGAGCGTCTTATGTCTAGAGCATTCCCGACGCTATTCCTATAGGGATCTAGAGAGTTCGTTAAGGCTCGTTAGCGCGGTATGTCGTACGATAACTATCTTAAGTACCTTATTAAGTGGGATAATAGCACTAGACCTCGCCGCTACCGATTTGCGTCACATCCGCGATTCCGATACGTTAGCTTAAACACTCTTATAAGAAAGCAGTTACGTAAGAAAGCAGACTATGTTATATAGTAGAATCCTTAATACGAGGAGATTACTGTCGAGGAGCTTAAAGCGGCTCTAACTTCGAATAACGAGGAATCCCGGCGTCTACTTACGAATATTGTTCGATATAGTAACAGTCTTCGGGGTACTCGCGCGTACTAGGTTAGCAAGACTAATAAGCTAGAGAACTACGTTAAGGCTATTGGTTGTCTACGTCTCTTCTTAACTTACAGTGCAGCTAACAATTACTAGTAGAGTCTTTAGCGATATATGCCTAATGTTCTATCTAGCGGCAACGAGCATTAGCGGGTTAAGACTAGTAGAGACAATGTCCGCGAGAACCCGGCGATTGCAGCGTACTACTTCTACCGCCGCTATGCGTTCGTAATATAGTTAATAACGAAGAAGTTTAGCGTTACTAATTACTAGAATCGGTTTGAATTCTAAGCCCGTAGCAGTTCTTACAATTATAGAGTAGTATAGCTAAAGGAACACTAGATCGATAGCAAGATCCTTCTACTACCGCCGATAACACACAACGAGGGCTATCGTAACGACCTAGCTAAGTTCTGGAGCAAGCATGTTACGGCTACTAACCCTACGCCTCGACGAACTACGCCTAAGCCTAATAAGCCTACAATCCTCTAGGCTAAGAAGGGCGACATTCTTAACTCTTAATAGTATCTTATAATAAACCTCAATCGTATATAGCGTTACAAATGCGGCTACGAATACTGTTAGCGGAAGAACAAGGACAGTAGGCTTACTTAGTGCCGTTTCTACTACCTACGTAGGAATCATCCTAATACTAGGGAAGTAACCCGTTCTTTGAATCCCTGACATTAGATATATAATAGTCTACGCAATAATACACGTATAACTAATTACAACCGTACCGTTTAGATAGTATAGGGAGCGAACAACGATATTACTGTCTATATAGACAAAGGCGCTGTCGTCGACTATCTTAGCAAGTACTATACTAAGCAAGAGAAGCGGAGTAAATCATTAATCGAGCTTAGGCAGAAAGTGCTACCGAGAATTAACGAGAGCCGACCTATAGTATCTTTTATCGCTAAGATGCTAAACAAGATAATTAGAGAACGTAACATCTCTACTTAAGAAGAGATGTACCTTCTTCTCGATCTGCCGCTTGCCTAAGGCTTACGCAAGGTTTAGAACTTCGATTATCGTAAGCTAGAACATTAGTCGAAGGTTAAGCGCTTTAATCTAACAACTAGTCAAATAGTTACTTAGGGACAATCGCCTCTATTAAAGTACCTAAACCGATATGCTATTCCTAAAGCGAAGTTCAACTACTCTAACTTAGTCGCTAACCTAGACCTTACTCTCTTCGAGTTTCTTACTAAGTAGGAGTTCGATACCTATAAGAAGCGTACTCGAGCGAAGGCACGTATTATTAATTAGTATCTAAAGTATAGTACTATCCCCGATAGTCTAGATAGAATATACGAGGACTGGTGCCGCACTAAAGTCCTCCTTTACTACAAGTTTGATACGAACTATCCTAGCCTACTATACACCTACGAGGAAGATCCGAGTATATCCTACGATATATAGGCTAGTGCCTACGAAGCGTATAAGCTCTTTTATAAGCATCCGGATAACTATATAGGCACTAATCTTCCTAAGCCTATAGAAGACCTATTTAAGGATAAAGTCTACGATCTAGAGGTTGAGCGACTAGAAGCGGAGTTACTCGCTAGTGCATTACTAGGTCGCAACCCTATAGAGATGCTAGAAGATCTTAACGACCTTAGCAACCGAGAAGTCGATAGGGAGTATAATTAGAGCACCTATATCGGCAGATACGGCATTACTATTAATAATGTTAAAGACTAGTAGAAGCACAAGCGAGGAACTATAGCACGTAAAGTATAGAGAATTAGTGTACCTATAGACCTAGATTAGCGTATCAACGGCTTGTCTAACGCTTAGGAGCTATAGTATAACAAGGTTGTCGATTATTAGTATACTTAGACGGACGATATAAATACGCCTGCATTCCTCTTTAACGTCGACGGGAAAGCTAGTATTAGCAAGTTACACGTTATAGAGACCGTCTTATTAAAGCTCGAAGCACTTACCGATAAGTTTAACAACTCGGATGCTAGATATCCGGATCTTTAGATAGAGAATCCTATTATCCGACTAGCACCTACGGGTGCTGCTACTAATAGCATTAAAGGCAGTACTTTGTATAGCTTCTTTAAGTTGCCCTTAAAGATAAAAGAGTATATTCCGCTAGATGGCTAGGCGCTTACTAACTTCTAAGATCGTATAGGCTAGATTAAGTATATTATTATTAATAAGAAGTCTATAATAGACCTTACTATGCTTTACTAGATCGATCGTCGACTTCGCTAGGTTAGTTATCCCGCTCTATAGAGCTAAGGACCCGATGCTACTCTCCTATTTAGCGGCAGATATATTACTATTATAGGTGACTTCAACTAGCTTCTACCCGTCGGCGGCAAGCTACTATTCTTAAAGCTTGCTAACCTCCGTATGCCTAAGGACATTGCTAGATACGAGGCTTATTAACTGTTTGACTAGACTATCTAGCTAAGCGTAATCTATCGACAGCAGGGTAATAATCCCTAATCTATTGCCTTCCGCGATGCTTTAGAGGGCCTTCGAAATACTCTAGCTAGTATAACTATATCTCACTAGGAGACATTATGTTCCCGTATAAAGACATTACTACCTTAAGCAGAACAAGACGCCTTTAAGGCCGCTGTTCGGCTTTACCTATATAAGAAGCAAGTTAACGCCTATAACTAAGACGCTATACGAGATAATAACACTCCTATTAAGGTCGCTAAGGCTAATCACGTTAGCGCCGAGGTAGCTAAGACATCGTACGAGAACGGTAGCAATCTATACCCGCGGTTGCTATTATGCATTAGTGCCCGTATTATAGTTACGCAGAATCTATAGACTAAGGGAGGTGTCGTTAACGGCAGTATAGGCACCGTTATTAACATTGTCTAGGAAGCTACTAATAATGATCCTAATAACATCCTTTAGCGCTTGCCTACCGTCCTTCTTGTTAAGCTTAACAAATACTCCGGGCTAACCTTTAACTAGGAATTTAACGAGGATAGTAGCAGAGGGTTGCCTCGTAGCGTAGTACTAGTCGTTCTAGTTCGACGAGAGTAGCTACACAATCAGAACTAGAATAGTCCGTATATACGCACGCAGTTCCCCTTAACAATCGTATACGTAATTACTATCTATAAGGCATAGGGCATAACTTTAGACAAAGCCGTTCTAGATATCTCTAAGAAGGACTTTACTGTCGGCTTAACCTATATTAGCGTCTCGCAGGTACGTAGTCTAGACGATGTTATATTCGAAGCACCTTTCAACTTCTATAACCGCTTTAAGATAGTCAAAGTACTACCTATAGTAGTAACTCGATATGCCGACCTAGTCCGTCGTCGCCCGTAACGCTTACTCCTAGAAGGGCTTGTTCTTTCTTCTACGCTACTACGTCCTAATACTAAGCTAGTCAATTCGACAACTGACTTAGCTGCTTATACTAAGTAGTAGCGCGATAGGCTCGATGCCTAGCGAGCTAAGTAGGCAGGTTAAGATAAGGCTCGTAAGAAGTAAGAGATGTTATAGCACTTAAAGGATCTATAGTCTATTAATCGTATAGAGTAGCTTCGAGCCTAACTTTAGGCTAATCCGCGCTTGCTATATAAGATTACTGCTCTTATATAGCGCTGTATACGCGCTCCTCTAGAAGCTTATAACTTCCGCTATCCCCTCGCTAAGGGCAGTATTAACGCTAAGCTAGTATAAGGATTAGTTAGCTAGTTCGAAGCTCTCTATCCGTAATATACTCCTCCGCTACTATAGATAGTACTTCTATAGCCCTAGGCATAGTTAAGCCCTCCTCTTTCATCCGACCCTCTACTAGTACATTCTATTAGTACATATCTAGCATATACTCTAGCAGCTACTCCTACTAAGACGACCGAGTTGTTCGCGCGCGTTAATGCTAACTATAAGAAAGCGTAATAGGCTCGGTAGACAATCAATCTTCTAAATGCTAAGGGCCCTACTAAATCTAGTTTACTACTTCTAGAGCGTCTCCTAGAAGATTAGTACAACGATACTAATATACTCGACGCTATTTAGCCTAGCGAGACTCTTAGCTTTAGGGAATTTGCGCTACGGTTTACTAACGCTCGTAAAGAATAGTAGGTCGATTGGTAGCGACTTAGAGAGGTTGTTCCAACTGTTACTAGAGTTATAATCACTTTGCGAGGCTAGACCTGCCTCCTTATACGATAGGCTAACTTCTAAGATAATAAGATAATCGATAAGTAGGAGGTAATAGATAATTAGGAGGTAATAGATAATTAGGAGGTAATAGATGATTAGGAGGTAATAGATAATAGTAAATAGGCTAATAATAATTAGGACATAGTTAATAGCTAATAGATGATTCTCTTTAATAGATTGCTAACTACGAGCTTTGTTAGCAAGGCTGACTTGTTATCCGCCGCTCGCCTCCGGCTTCGCTCGGCTATCCTAACCTGTACCGCGGGTCTACGGATACTTTATAGACCTTTAGTATTGCCTTAAATACCTTCTTTAAGCTTCTGTAAGTAAATCCGGTCTCTCTTACGAATACTAGGCTAATAGTATCCTATATTTTAGGCTAACTAAGCATTGTTATATACTTAAATACTACCTTACTAAGTACGACCTTCTAATAGTTAGTAAGACTAGCAGAGCCTATAGGCTAACTCGCTCGTAGCGCCTCTTTATCGATTATACTAATAGCTACTTAATCGGCTTCTAACTAAGCCTCTAACCTCGCCTTCCTTCGAGCGGATTTACTCGCCTTACGGTTAAGCGGCTGCGGCGTATTTAGTAGAGGCATCTTACCTCGAAGGGTAGTAAGATACTAAGTAATAGGTTAAGGTATTATCGTCCGTCGCTTAGTCGATAGAGCGACTAGTTTACTACGCTTATTATAGATAAGCTGGCTATTAAAAGGTCTATAGAAATAGCTAAAGTTAATATTATTGCTAGGCGGCTAAATAGCGCTCGGTAGTTATAGAGTCGGTATAGGGATTAAAGACTAGGAAATAGCTGTAAAGGCGACTAACGAGGGTCTTAAGAAGCTATTCTCGTAAGACATTATTGCTAGCAACTAATATACTAATCTATCTTATAGCAATAGTCGACGCGACGCGTAGGAGGCTAGAAGCCCGAAGTTAGTACCTACGGCTAATTCTATTATACTAAGCTATATTTACTTACTTAGCGACCTAATCCGGCACTAGAGCGGCCGCTCCAGCGCTAGAGCGGTAGCTAAAGGTAATACGTGTACGCGCACTGTTCACTTCCTTATTAGGCCGCCCTAGTCTATATTAGGGGCTAGAGCGGCACCTAGAGCGGCATCAAAAGGCGTGGCGAAATCCGTCTATTATGTAGAAGCACCGTACTGGCCTTCTGTTACTTTGGCGGCGACAGTGATTATCATACCAATTCCCGCTCATCCGCACTCCTGTTTGGCCACCGGCGCTCCTTGTCGGCCAGCATTGAATGCCGGGCGAAGACAGACAGGCCGCTTGATTACCCTTTTGCCTGATTATTCAGCGTTTGTCCTTGGCAAAGGGGTTGAGCCGCCGAGCCGCACGCCAAGGCCCGTCTTTTGGCCGAACTGAACTCTGCTTCCTTACTTCACCTCCTGACTTCTAGTCCTTCAACAATTGTCTGTGTTATATCACTTGGCATAGAATGTTATTGTCTCAAGCAACACATGTCAACCACAACTCGCCACGCGTCCTACTCGTGTTGATGGACCGTCCATGCGAACCAGCCTACAGCATGTTTGGTACAGAGATCTACTCCCGTGGCGCTGCACGAGCTCTCCCAATTCCGCGACCAACGGCCGCGACGATCACCTCTTGATTACGTTGATTTCGCTTGTGTCGTGAGCCTGCTAGCGGAGCGCCACTGCTGTCCCTACTTTGGCACCGCCTGTCCATGGATCATGACCCCACAAGCCCTCCGGGGTCAACGATTATACTACACTACGACGACAGCGAAAGGGTGCTACGGATTCATGGAACCGCTTCATCCGATGCGCCGTAGTGGTCAATCCCCAAACAGATCTCGAATGGTATGGTCATGGACACGCGGTGTTGGCGCATTTCTTTGTGCTACAGCAGCAAATTTCTTCGCTATCTTTTGCTTCGCTGAGTCGCCGAAGTTGACGTGCCGATCTTTGCTTCGGCGAATTAGTCTCCAAAATGGCAAGGCCTTGAACGAAGGAGGGTTATCATTAAGCTTACTATACGCACGTACCACTTCTACGAAATCCTCTGGGCAGAGGTCTTACTTGGTTCTCTGGTTACCTTCTTTTAAGACTACGCCTCAGCCTCTTGCGCTGCTTTGCAACGTCCCTTCCCTTCTGCCATGCACCGGCGTGCTCTGCTTGATTTCGTTCCTTAGTCATTCATTCGTTTTTGGCGATGCTGCTCACAATGAAGCACAGTATCTTGGGGCTGTGCCTCTCACTTCACGCTCTGGCGTACCCATTTGTTCCGGAGGACATAAGCCAGAAGCGACAGGTTCCTACCGCTGCTTCTGATGTCGCGAAAGCATTGAGTAAAGCGCGAACGAATTGTGGAAACATTCCCTGCCTTACTTTCGACGCAAAGGACCAATATGTCTCAACCACTGGTGATCACGCTTATGCCAGCCCTGCCGCTGATGAGATTCGAGGACCTTGCCCAGGTGTAAGATCTGCGAATCTGCATTTTCGAATTGGTCGAGTGCTGACTTTGGTATTAGCTGAATGCGGCCGCTAATCATGGATTTTTGAGCCGAAGCGGTGTCACTACGCTGACCGAGACTATTGTTGGAATGGATGCAGCGTTCGGCATGGGACCTGGTCTTGCTGGTTTCCTCGGAGCCTACGCCATTATCATGAACGGAGATCCTGTTCTTGGAACCTGGTCAATCGGAGGGCCGCCGCCTGGTAATGCCCTTACGGAGGGCCTTCTTGGTCAGGCACAAGGAATCTCGTATGCGCACAATACTTACGAAAGCGACATGTCTATCGGTCGACCCGACGCGTACACCAATAACGGCGATGCGCATAGTCTGGATCTCTCGAGATTCAAGCAGGCGTACGAGACTGGCATGTCTGACGATCGCTACACTCTTGATGGCTTGGCCCAGGACTTTGCTGCTAAAGGCAAGCAGTCTGTAGAGACCAACCCTTACTTCTTCTCGGCTCCTTTCTCTGGAGTCATTGTTGCGCCTGCGGCGTATTTGTTCGTCATCAACTTGATGAGTAACCACAGTGCGGAAGAGCCAGCCGGTTGGCTGGACGGAAAGATGTTCAAAGAATTCTTCGCAGTTGAAGGAGATTACCCAGACTTCAAATGGCTTCCCGGCCAAGAACGGATACCCGACAATTGGTACCGCAGACCTACGCTCAACAGCTACGATATTCCCAATGCAGACTCCGACGTTGGTGTTCAATACACCGCATACCCGGAGAGCTTCTACTTAGGTGGAAACACGAACGGCGTCAACACGTTTACCGGGGTGGAGTTAGAGGATCTTACAGGCGGCGCGATGAATGCTGCGAACTTGTTCGATCCCAAGAACCCAAAGGCAAGCTGTTTCTATGCTCAGCTTGCCCAGTCGCTCATTCCCGACTCTGCGAACCTCCTGTTGAATGAGCTTTCACCGATCACAAGCCTGGTGACCGACTTCATCAAACCAATTACGTCTGGTCTGGACTGTCCTATTGTGGACAAATTTGACCAGAGTCTGTTCAATCAATATCCTGGCCACAAGTACTGCCCCACTGGTCCAGCGACCAACTATTAAGCTACGGCTGCTTGCGAGGCAGGCCGCACCATTGGTTCTGTTACCTCTACATTGTGTTCCCACATCCACAGCTACGATAGAGCACTCCTTTTTATACCAAACTTCACCCCCTGTGTTAATCCTATTGCAGCGGAAGTAGCAAATTCATGTCCGCCATATTGTTGTCTCCTCAATCTCTATCACGACATCCTTTGCAGTTCCCCTCAGAGAATCACATTCGGCAATGCGGCACCACATCAGCTAGCAATCGCACGCGCTACAGTGTTGTGGCGCAGACAAGGGCTGCTGCTGACGTTGAAGCTCATCTATTCGATGTGATGTGTCCCGGCCGTTTGACGATCAATACAACAGCCCACGCACTCTGATGAAAACAGTTTGACGCCCCTCTTGTTTCATCTAATACGCAGCACGCGAATGGAGTAAGCATAAACTCAAACTTGAATTGGGAATTCTACCATTGGTGGCCATCCTATGCAGACGCCTCCTTTAGGCACTAGTCCGGAGACTGAGCCAACGTCCAGCGCCGGTCTTGCAGATTCAACCTAATAGCTGACTCCTTGGATATGAAACAGACCGTTAAGCCGAGTCTCACCAGGCAAAACAAAACCATTAGAAGTGAAATCATATTCTCCGAGCAGACGCAGATCTTTCAAGTTTCCACAACCTCCAACGGCGCGGCTACGACGCGAACAGGCTTCCTTAAGCCACGGAACGTGTTCCCCCAGCGCACCGCGCAGGAGAGCCTTTGGCACATCTTCCTCAAGCAGCCTCCTATTATTTCACCAAAAGTGTTTTCTTGAGCCTCGGGATGGACCACTACCCGTGCACTTGTTGTCTTGTCATTGAGATTGGCAGCAAACGTTGACACATTCCTCAGAACGCTTGCTCTCGGACTTCGTGTGCGGTCGCAACGCAACAAAAGATTACGAGCTGCGCTTAGCCCTCGCCTTTCCTTGAACAGGTTTGTAAGGAGAGGAACGCAGAAGTCTCTTGTAGGCACCGCGGGCTGTGTAGTACCTGAGGCCTTGACAGCGACCCAGCTCTCTCGGCTTTAATACGGCACGTTGGCCCTCTTCGTGCTGTCGTGTCTTCAGAACCGCCAGGCACAATGCGAGGCTTCGTCTCATTCAGCGCGCTCTTGGTGCTATGCACATCTGCTGCTGGCTTTGCTGTCGAAAGACCACTATCTGCTAGAGATTCGACGACGCAACAACCGGAGCTGCCCACACTCTCGACCTGTTCAGTATGTATCACCAGATCAGAAATATCGAAAGCGCGCTCTGACTCTGCAATTAGCAACAATGTCTGGCGCAAGGCATGCCGCTATCGGGCTGCAGTCCAACGGACGCTGCTTGTCTGTGTACAAGTCAACCTTTTGCACAGGCCGTGACATTGTGTCTGACGGCGAACTGCACGACAGTAGAAGCACTGGGTATGTGAGCTCCGTGCATGCAGTTGACTGGTCGTCGACTGACGCTTTCTTACTACAGAGACCAGAAGATACTCTGCCATATCCTGCAAGGAACCAGTTCGTGATGAAGGAGGACTTACACGGCGAGTTTCCTGGAACATGTTCGCCATTGCCACCATCGGAGTCGCCGCACGATTTCTTTCGCGACTGGAACGTTTCAATGGAAGCGGTTTCGGTTGGGATGACTGGACCATTCTTCTTTGTTGGATCATGCTCATCCCATCCGACATCATTCTCGATGTGATGACACACACTGGTCTAGGCCAGGATATCTGGATGCTGCCGAACCCGGATTATCAAATCACCAAGATTCTGTACAACTTTTACGTCTCGGAATATACCTATGTTGTCGAGATTGCGCTGGTCAAAATGTCCATTCTGCTGCTCTACCTCCGCATGTGGCCGGAGAGTCGAGGAAGGTCTGCCCTATGGTTTCGCAGATCTTGCTACATCTTGATGACCCTGCTTGGGTTCTTTACGCTGATCTGTATGGTGGTCCTTGGCTTGCAGTGCCAACCCATCTCGTTCTCCTGGACTCGCTGGGATGGTCAGCATGAGCAAGTCTCGAAACAGTGAGCTCGTAGAGGAACAATACTGACGTTTGGATGCAGAGGGACATGCGTCAACCTGAATGCTCTCATCTTCGCGACGGCTGGCCTCAACATCATGTTTGACATCATGACCATTCTCCTGCCGGTGCCAAAGCTGTGGTCTCTATCGATTCCTACCAGAAAGAAGATTGCCGTCGTACTCACATTCACCATCGGACTGCTGGTCACTTTCTGCAGTATCATCCGACTGCGCACTCTTGCCGTCTGGGGCGAAGATCCCAATGTCACCTACCAATACAACCCCATTGCAATCTGGAGTAATGTTGAGATCAACCTCGGCGTTGTGTGCGCGTGCATGCCGGCCGTTGCAGGACTTCTCCAGAGATCATACACAAAGATTACCGGCAAACAATTCAGCAGCTATGGCAAGAACTCCGCAATGATGAAGAGCGCGGAACGAAGACAGGATCGGAACTACGAGATGCGCCTGAACTCGTTCTCCGATGGCACTGCCAAACTCCACGGACACGGTGGTCCCGGGCCAAAGGAGCCTGTCGTTCGAGAGCTGCCCGAGAGATCTTCCACGGATTCTGATCGTCTGGCTACTCGTAGGGCACAGCTAGAGATCACTCCGGCAGCGCCGAGAGGAAGTCAAGATGCCGCGATCGAGCAAATGATCAACTCGGGCTATTCAGCCTTCGCGAACCTGAAAAGATGATGAGATGAAATAGCTTTGGAGCTATGTTGTATGTACTTTCCATATGTCCGCTATGAAGCGAGTGAATGACTCTTCGGCCTTGACGGCGAAGACTTCAGGCGATTGTGATTTCGAGAAGTGCGCACGGCCACTGTGTAGCAACCTGTCTTGACTTGGCCCGCGTCTACAACAGAGTTTCACGGCCAGCAATGAGCATAGATGCAAGAACGTCTCTTACACGGAACTGGCCAAATCAACGCCTTGGTCGTATTGATGCTCGTGTGAGACGTGAGTCTAGACTCCTTGGATGGAAGCCAGGAAGCCTGACAACACGCACAGTGACGTACGCCAGGTCACAACTAGACAATCGGCTACGCTGCCGTGCTTCTAACGACAGACGCCTGCTTGGGATATAGTAATTGGCGCTGCTGTGTCACGGTGAGCGAGAGCAGCCACATGCTTGCTCCAACACATGCTATGACAGCCAAAAAGCGAATGAAAAAGTCGGAGTTGATTGCGTGCAGCCAAACAATCGACATTCGGAAACACCAAATGAGCCAGTCCATGGAGGCCTTCAGTCGGTGACCACGAACAGCTTAGGGCAAGCAAGAGGGCGTTGCTTGTGTCTGCGGGAAACGGCAGCGGATCATGCATGCACAGAAGTCCTGCTGGGGCAATGTTTGCTGCAGTGCCAATGGTTGCAACAGGTTCGGTATGACCGACAAAGCGAGCTGAGCGATCCGCCAAAACGGCATCAAACAACACGAAAGCGGGCAGATCAGGTCTTCTCGCAACACTGCGAGACGAATACGAGATGCGAATCGATCATCGAGCAGGTTGGTGGTATGAGCTTCGAAAGGTCGGCGGCTACGCACTGACAGGGTGCACGAACTGACAGGGTGTACGGAGTTCTGCATGGAGGTCGGCGCTTGCGCTGCGCTGCGCTGCAACTGTTCTGTAGAACAGTCAACCGCAGATGCCTTCAACGCACGTTGCTCGGTGACGTTGACCTTGCCCATCAGTAAGTACCACGAAAGTTCGCAATCATGGACCCGGGACCCCGACCGCACAAGATGTCTTCGGGGGCTCCTTTCCGAGTCTGGTCGAAAGACCTCAAAGACGACCAAAATGAGTCTGACACCTCTGCCTCGCATGATGGGTCCAGCCGACGCTGCTGAGCCTTCGGCCGAACCAGATGACATCTTCTACCAACTAGACCAGGAGCTCGAATACCTGGAGCGGGAAGTCAATCAATACCTCCGAGGCAACATCGAGAGACAGCCATTCCCGCATAGGGAATTGCAGGCTTTACTTCAACTCAAACAGTTCCCAGCTCTGTTCCGACCGGCTTACAAGGAGCTCTTGTCTCTCCTTCCCGTCAAGATATCTCTCCGGTCGAAGCGAATGGACTTCAGAGTGCCGATGACTTCAGCCGTAGACCTGCCGAGCACATCCTACGCCCGCTTTCGATGCATATACGCAGGCCCGGCCACCAGCTCGCCTCAATGCGAGACTTGGACATTTATCCCCTATGTGCAGGATACGTACCTGAGAGGTCTTGCCGGGGTCCTCGGCGCATCTGCAAACATCAATCTCATCGGTCCCGAATTGGAAGCAGAGCTGGCGGTCGGCTTCAAACAGATGTTCTGCTCTGGCCACGATGACAAGCTCAAGGATGATCAGGCTGGTGCCTTCGCAGTCGCATGTCGGCCGGTGATTGATCGGTGGAGAGAAAGCGAACAACTGTGGAGGAACGTGGGACAGTTGCAGTGCCAGCAGACGAGAACGCATCAGGGTACAAGCTGGACTTGAGTTTCGAGAGGAGTTGGACATTTTCTCCTGTGCATGTTTGGAAGCGATGCAAACATGCTGATTTCAAAGAGCTGGTGGGGCCACTCAGCCTCAGTTCAGAACTCTGTCAGTGAGCTATTTGGGTAATCATTACCATCCACAATGACTTGCAAGCGGATCACAGGACTCTTGCATTACCAGTGTGGGATTGGCGTTGTATCGTGGGTCCATGCCTAGAACCAGAATCACATTCAATGACATTCCATCACGAGCTAGCCTAGCTCTCCTTCTCCTCTCGCGCGCCCTCGCTTCGTCCTCCACGACGGTCTGGGATCACTGAACCTGTCTCTCCCTTCTCATGCGATCCCTCGCCTCCTCTTCAGCATCGAGCTCAAAGACAAGATGTTGGAAGAAAGCTTGGTTGAAATGCGAGTAGTCCTCCAGCCAAGCCTTCATAGCCTTGATGAGACAAGTCTTGAGTAGCTCGTAGTCCTTAATCAGAAGCTCTCGATACTGATCCCTAAAAGCTGCAGCATGCTTCCCCTCCTCCTCGCCGCCAAGCTCGGTGACGATAGATCTAAAGTCAATCAACGGGACCGTTTCGATATTAGTCCGAGTCATGACTTCCACGTAGATGCCATACATGACATCGAAGAACCCATTCTCTGCTCGATATCCACCACAGTAGAGCTTGTAGAGATGATGAGGACAGTCGAGATCAGACTGCTGGGTCAGCCAGAGCCTGTATGTCTCGATCTTCGTAATCAAGGATGTTGGGAAATGACCAGAGCGAGACGTTTCGGAAGCGTGCAGGATGAGGAGAGCGAGGAGGAGCGAGCGGTATGCTGAGTCGTGCCTCAGATCACTTACTCTTACTCTACCGCCGAGGACGCTCACGAAGGCATCGATGAGCTGGTGGTGCAGTCCTTGATCGAGAATGCGGCGAAGTTCGGGCAGCGTTGAGGTCAAAGATCTGTGGAGTGGAGTATCGAATCAGTTAAGGAGTACACGTGAAGATATAGCGGGAGTGCTCACCTTGAACCAGCTCGAAGCTGCGAGATGATATGGCTCAGTTCTGGCTTTTCTTCAGGGACAATACCGTACTCTGCATTGTCAGGAATGGCACTACAGTCGTCGTCCTCCTCGTCGTTCTCCTCCTCCTCCCCATCCGCAGACTCAGGGTAGAGCAAGGCTGCTCTTCTCTGCCCATACCAGGGAGTATCTGCTGGGACAATAGATGGCGGCAGGAATGTTTCTGGCTGGTATAGAGCCTGCATTGGCGGGAAACCAACAGCGGATCCGCCAGCTGCCACACCTGCTGGGATAACAGATGCCGGCAGGACATTTTCTGGCCGGTATGGAGCTCGCATCGGCGGGAAAGCGAAAGCAGATCCACCAGCTGCCACACCTGCTGGGATAACAGATGACGGTAGGACATTTTCTGGCTGGTGTGGAGTCTGCGTCGGCGGGAAACCAACAGCGGATCCGCCAGCTGCCACACCAGCTTGAACTTTTGCTTTCTTGGGAGGATTGCGTTTCACAGGTGCTATCGCGTACTTGAAGAACTTTTCGCCCTCATGTTCGACACCATGCTCATCAGCCCACTTGCCGAAATGCTCCAAGCAAGCCTTATTGTGCTCAACAAAACTAACTGCAGACTGGGGGCGCTGCGGTAAGTCAGTAATGTAGTGCTTCTTACGCAGATGGGCGAAGACGTCGTGTCGATTCTTCTCCTTGCCAGGACCTTTTCCGAAGTCGCAAGATAGGATGGGACATTCTCCGTTGCCATGACGGTTGGCCTTGGTGTTCTCCTCGGCGCGCGGCGGCGACGAGTCTGCCATGGTTGTAAGAAGTGTGTGGTCGAATGCAGATTGGGTATTTTGTATGAACACTCGAGTAAGAGCGCTATATCTGCAGCTCGAAGATATGCGTGACTGGGCTCAGCATGACTGCGCCAGCAGCCAGATTGCTCTTGCGAGTCGGACGTTCCGTTTTGCGAGTCTGTCGTAGGTAGCAAGATCGTATGAAGCAAGAACCTGCGTCGTTCGTTTTTCAAAAGGTCAACTGGAGAGACTGGCGAGCCCGGACCAGCATGCGGTCTGTGGAACTTCACATGGGAAGCTCCGCGGAAGGGAGCTGGCCATTCGCTCTCCAGAACGAAGACACTCAAACATGCTGTGATGAAGCACGAGCAGCGACAAGAACATTCCTTGTGCTGATCACATGCGCAGCGCAGCGCCATTCAGGAAGCATATGCCGCTATTGTGCAGGGAAAGGAGACGGATGATTTCAACCAAGGCATTGGAGTCAACTTGCGTCTCGAGGAGGGACTTGCAGTGGTAGTAGCAACAGCAGGAATGGTGGAAACCTGTGTGCCTATCGTGACTGTCGTGCTGAGTACGATGGTCGTAGGACTTTGTGCAGCCGCAAGAGCAGTGCAGGCAGCGCCAAAGGGCGAGAGTTCGGAGGGAGACTACAGGGACTTGCTTCAACACTCGTTCGTCGTGGTATTGTATTGTTGATATACTCCGTACACGTGAGAGCTACGGTCAAAGATCCCCATCCCCATCCCGGTCGCGGATTTGCTATCGACTACGCGATATCATGAACGTCTCATGCGTTGGACTGGTCCAGACCTGATATTGCCAGATATGATGATGGCATTCCCATACTGGCAATGCGTATTTGCTTGGGATACAGTTGATCTGACTAAAATGCAAAGGAAGGAATAAGGCATGCTGTCGGGAGAAGACATGGACGCATGCGCAAGGGCGTTGGTCGGGCTTGGCATGGTGAAATCTCCGCTCCGCTTCGACGACAGCGAGCTTCAAATGCGACTTGATCATGAAGGACAGCTCAAGCATAGAAATTCTTCATAAAATGCACAATGGACTACGGAACACCGTTCAGCTGAAGTCGTCAGACATGCGCCAATGTCCCTTCTAGTGTCAGAAATCCCGTTTCCATTGTCATACACGCCAACTCCTTTCGATGGCCTTCATTCACTCCTCGACAATCTCAATTCTTGCATCATCATCAAGCTTCCGCATCAAATATCCCTCAAAGCTTCTGGCTTGCGCGATTGTCCAGTATGTAACAGGATGAGGTTCTTGGCGAGTGAGCTTGAGATTACAACGTTGGAAAAGCCGAGCCGATCCTCGCTTGCCGCTCGTGATGATGAAGCCAGCCTTTTCCACACCGTGCGTCACCTTGATCCAGGCAACTGTAGCAGCTGGCGGTTCACCAGTAAGGCTGAGCATATATTCGAAGGCTTCGAAGGCATGAGAATTGAGAGAGATTGTCTCCACTGGCTCGTCAGTGGGCTCGTCATTGGGGAGCTCTGGCTCGTCCATCACTGGGTCTGGCTGGTTGTCTTGCCGCTTCGGCTTTGGCTCGTCATTGACTGGGAGCAAGTCTTGCTGCTGAACAGCTTTTGGAGGATACCCCAGTTGTACAAGTTTCTGGAAAGGTCCCTCAAAAGAAGGTGCGCGACCTTGTCCAGACTGAACCCGTGCTGAATAATTCCATTCGACAGTGTGCTCGACAGTGAGGCGCAGGCCTCACTGCGAATGACAGTTCTCGATGGCAGGTACTATCGATGGACCGGACCCTCATAGTCAGCATGAGAGTCAGCATCCTGGACAAGAATCGGCTCCTCAGGTTCCGGCCCAACCTCTGGCAAGGTCTCCCGCGCGAGCTTCTCTCCTTCTCGTTTCCCTCTCTCGACATTGACTGCGAACATGAGCGGGATGGGCAAGCCGATGAGCACGGCCAGAAACCAGAAAGCAGGCCGAATATCGCCAGTAGCATCAACGATGGCACCGACAATAGCAGGCCCGAAGACGCTGCTACCCTTGTCGGTAATAGCGTACAGAGCGTAGAAGGCTGCCTCGCTGCCAGGTGGGATGAGCTCGCCGTACAGACTTCGACAGTAGGAGCTGAGGCCACCCAGGACGAGACCGTAGACTGCACCGAGAGGATACATTTCCCATTGCTGCTGGAGACCAAATGAGCCAAAGCGGCGGATAGCGGGAATGTAACCAAGCAGTCCGTAGATTGGGATCAGCTCGAAGAGGCAGATGCATGTCAAGATTGTTTGCGAGGGGTTGAGCTGCAGGGTTCTTGAGATCTTTGACCAGGTCAAAGCACCGATAATGCCGGAAATGATGACAATGACATTGATCAAAGCAAGTGCAGAGGACTCCATGCCGAGGGTCGTCTTGGCAAAAAGAATTGCTGTGCCGGACACTGTAGCGACAGCATCCGATATCATAAACCAAGCTGCTAGGAAGAGCATTACATCTTTCAGTCTGCGTGCTCGCAGGATGGTCTTGCCAAGATTGCTCCAAGAGTAGCCTATATATCCCAACCAGGATCTATTTGCTGCGTCTTTGGACAATGGTGGTCCAGGTCTGGGTCTCAGCAGGAAGGCAGCTGGGACTGTGAAAGCCAGCCACCAGGAGCCGACGATGAAGAGCACGAGGCGAAGCGAGAAGAGGTCGCCGCCGGAAGCTTTGAGGATGAAGACGGATAGGATCTGCACAACAACCGCCGCGAAGTAGCCAATGCCAATGCCGTATGAGGAGATCTTGGTGGAAAGCTGCATCTCGGTGGATGGTATAGATGGTGATCGTGGATTGGGAGTGGTAGAGCCATCCGGGTGGAGGAGAGAAGTCGTCGAATCTGCGATCGGTGATTGGGACTGTTGCTGATAGTCGCCATTGTGATACTGCAGTGCCTAGTCAGCAGACGCACGCAAAGAAGGCCTTTTGCTGCTATGCTCGTGTCTGGGACAACGCCCTCTCCTTACTCAAAGAATGGCCCGAGAGCCATTGAAGCCACCCGAGACTTGAAGGTGCGCCTTCCAAGGTGCCAAGGAATTCATCGGACTGAATTCACTCACCTCATAATCACCCTCCGATTCACGCTCGCGGTCTTGCCCCGTCCATGCTCGTCTCACCGAAGGATGCCATCGCACAAGCAAGGGTAGAAACGAGTTCAAAAGCACAAAGCTCGCTCCAAAGCACACGTTTCCGATGATAGCGCAAAAACTGCCAAGCAAATATACGGCAGGTGTAAGGGGTAGAAACAGCATAGTTGCGACTGCTCCAATGATGGCGAATGCGATCATCAGTGATTTCCGATACTTGCCGTGATCTGCTGCTCCAGACATGGTGACGACCAGCAGAGCCTGAAGCAGCACGGAGATGGAGAAAGTGTACATTGCAAAGCTTGCCGTGTTGACTTCCAGTCCAAGCACGCGAAAGACGCACTGTGCTCCTTTTCGAGGCTCATGATCGCTTCTGGGAAGGAGTAGAGATCCAAAAGGGTGGACGGCTGAGCTTCGCTCGATAGTGTGCGGCTTACATGATATTGAGTGGTCGTCTGCACGCACAGCAGTTGATGATGCTCGCGCGAGCTCTTCCAAGGTGATGGGGACGAATGCGCCCAAGCCGCACACGACAAAGACTTCGGCTGCGAAGGAGTATGCGTAGAAGCCCAGCAGCTCTCGATCCGACGTTGGTCTTGTATCTTCGCGTGGATATGATGGCTCTGGAATGTCTTCCTCTGTGGCGGGACCCATTATGCTTCCCGACCAGCTGCTGGACGGCGAGGAAGGCGTTGAGCGTTCGTCATCCGCGTCGTGTCCAAGTTCTGAGGCAAAAGATCTGTGTCGTGATAGGGTATGCTGAGACGTGCAGGGCGAGAGTGTCGTTAGACGCGTGGTGCCATAGTTGTCAGCGTGAGACGGCGAAGGTGAAGGTGAGGGTGAGGGTGAGGGTGACGGATGGTGAGGTATCACGGGCTCCGGCACCATGTGGCAAGGCAAGGCTAAGCGACCTCGGGAGCATCCGGCTCGAGGTCACCGTGGCAGCGGCATCCTTGCAAAGACATCAACGTGCGCGAGGAATGGAAGAAAGTCACCCAAAGTGAGCACATGTTCGCGTGGACCGCGCGGCGCGTATCGCGCGACAAGATGGTGTGGTCGTCGTCGCTACTCTGGAGCTAAAGTAGCATGCGGAGATCATGAACAGCCCACGCCATGCCATGCCATGCCATGCCATGCCTGCTCTCGTGTGGCCAGTGTGACCAGCATGGCTGCATCTTGCTAGAACTATCGCCGGCCAGAGATGCCTCGAGCGAGGACGACAAGACAAAGTGTGCCTGCCTGCGCAAATCAGGTCTGTCAAGGACGAAACGCGGTATGGCTTTTGCTTCCATCGCAGAGCAGTACCTCACGGCGAGCGTGTGCTGGCGAAGAAGAGGAGAGATGGGTGTCGAAGACTACACAGAGCCGACTGTTGCTTCCATGCTGGTATATGCTTGTGTATGCACATCTCTACGGCCGCAGCTGGAGACGGTCATGCTGCATTGTGCTACAAGGCCTCCAGCTTCTGCTGAAAGATCTGCTACTGAAGCTGCAAATACAAGCACAGCACAGCCAGCATAGCTGACTTCTCATGAATCACATGTTGCTCGAGAGCGATCTCGAAGGTGCTATGCCATGCATGCTGTGCTTTCACTTGTTCGTCCGCGGCAGTATTATCGACGCGTTCGCGTAGCGTAGCCTGTACGCAGCCTTGTCGACTGTATTAACACCATATGGGATGTACCATGGGCTAGTATTGTGGAGGAAGATGTGAAGCCCACGAAATGTTGTCTTTGTGGAGAGGGAGCAGTGTGAAAGGGAACGGAATTGGAGTTCAGCATGATGCGCCAAGCTTTTCTGGCGGGCGGGCGCGCCCGCGAAGGGAGCCATCTCCGGGCTTAGAGCCTGAGACGCCGACCCATTCCATCATTGCTGCAGCAGCAGCAACACGAGACGACAGCACCACCACGACCCATTCACGAGCGCGCATGTGACGGCGCAGACGGTGGAGCCCACATCGCCCTTCACACCTCCCACCGGCCTCAACTTCTTGCGCGCACTATATCCACCACGCCACACACCACCCCGCCAACACGCACAATCACCAGTACTGCACCGCAGCTTCTCTTCTACGACTGGGACGAGTCGAACCACCTGCGCGCCTGGACCTCGCAGAGCAGAGGTGGGCGCGGACAAAGACATGACCTGAGCGGAAGGAAAACCCTTAGCCACGATAGCGCGCGTACACGCAGCCGGCGGAGGGCGAGCGGAGGAGACGTCCGCCAAGGACGGTGCGTGCCGTGGAGGAGAAGGCGGAGAGGTAGGCGTGCGAGGCGGCGAGGCGATGCCCGGCAGGTTGATTATGGATCAACACGGCGTGACTGCGTCGCAAGACTTGAAAAAGGATCGGAATCAAGCACAAGAAGGACACTTGCCGCAGAAGCGCGACTTTGCGCAAATGCAGACCCCGCAGGCCAACGGCAGTCATGCTCAGAATGGATCTTTACCGAATGGTCTGCCAGTACAGGCCCCGCCAGCCACGAACGGCCAGATCAGCAATGCGAACACCACAGCGAGTTTACCCGCTCCACCTCCGCTAGATGGATCATGGCGCGACGAGCCAGTCAACAAGTCTCTCGGGACGTTGATCGATAGGCTGGCGCAGCAGTGCTTCGGCGATCTGAACGAGACCTTGACGAAGATGGCAGAAACCTCTACAGCTGGTCCAGGAGCACAGCCCAATGGTATTGTGCCGCATACCACCGACACCAACGAGGCAAGTTTGAGCAAGAAACGTCTGCTTATGGATTTCGCCTCCAATCAGCGGGATCGTTTTATCAAGACACTGGTCCTGTCAGATTGGGCACGTAATGCGGACGACATGGCACGACTGATTGATATTCGACTCTGGGCTGCCCGACAGGCCGACGCACAGCGATTTGCCATCAACTTCTTCTATTCTACGAAGCAGGACATGCGCCTCGCGAAGATGCCAAATCCGAACATCGAAGCCGCCCTAGAGATTCTCTCGACCGGCAAGACATCAAACTTCCCTGACCTTGGCTACTTGCCTCCAAAACGTCTCTCTGCAAAGCAGCTGTTGAAGACTCTTAGAGGCATGAACGTAACCTTGATCGAGCGTTTGAATCTGCATGAAGATCTCCCTCCACATTTCAACGACTTCTCTGTTGCGAATGGAAGAGCAACCTTCCGGGTGCAAGACGAATTTGAAGTCGATGTTTCAGTTGCCGATGAAGACCCGTCGACACCCTTCTACTTCATTGATATTCGATTTCTCTTTGCTCCACCGCCAAGCTTATCGGACGACGGATTGCGCATGCGCTTGGAAGAACGCGCCAATGCTACCTTGGCTTCAAGCGGACTGCAAGGCTGTTATGATTTCTTGCATAGATTTGTGCTGGCTCACAAGGTCAATGTGCTGCGTGCGCAGGCATCCAAACTTATTCGCGATAAGTGGTTTGACTGCCTCCAGCCGGAACTGCATCGACAGGTCTTCACTCTTCAATACTGGAAGGGACAGCGGGCATCAAAGAGTTGGATTGAGCTGGGAATCAGCTCCGGCAAGCAAAAGGGTTTAAACTCAAGACGGCCTCCAATCCCACGTAACTCTTTCCGCTGGTTCCGCCAAGGCCAAGAAGTCAAGGACCATCACATCCACATCGACTGGCAAAATTTGAGTCTGGAGAGCATTCTGGCGTCAGTGACCGCGAAACATACCCAGTGGCTGCTGCATTCGATCAAGGAGCGATTCGAAGTTCTTGCTGGCCAGAATTGTCAAGTTGATGTCCAGCTGAATATTTCTAACACGGATCCGGACGACTGCCACCTGGCATTATCGCTTCCAGGTCTGCAAAAGTCCGTCGTCACCCGCTTCGAGCCTATTACGGGCCGGATTTCGGTATCCCCACCGAACAGGCACGCCCAGCATGCAGAGAACTTCATCAACAGCACCGCAAATGCAGACGCAGGCCGCGCCCTGGCAGAAGTCCTTGCTCGTTCCCTTCAGGACAGGCTTGCCCCTATGGCAGATGCCGCCGGCTGGACGCCTGTCGAGCAGAACAAGATAGTCGTGCCGCCAGCTATGAGGGCCACTCTGGGAGCAGACGCCGTGCGCCGCAGCATGTACAAGTGCAGCGAAGGATGGGGAGATGCCTGGGCATTATATGTCCATTTTGGCCTTGAGGGCGAGAAGTGGTTTGTGGTGCGCATCCAGGAGAGCATGGAACAAGGACGTCCTGTGAGATTCATGTCTGCGGCGAGAAGACTGAATCTTTCAAGCACGCTTGCCGATCTGACTCAAGCTTCACTGCGACATATACAAGAAGTGGCAGAGGCAGAGGTATCCTTCGCAGTGCTCATCCAAGAGCTCGACGAAAGCCAGCTTGAATACCGCATCGAGTCTACATGTTCGCTAACTGAGCGTGGTGCAGATGCTGGCCCTGGCCTCGCCATCTACTTCTCAATGAACACGCCCACGAAGCAGTCTGGGCCCAGAGCATCGCTACTACCTTTCAAACTGGCTTCATGGATCCGTCTTACACCTTCGACGCTGACGGACATGGAGAACGGGCTTGCAGAAGTTCGCCACGAAGTACGATTCACCGTTGATCCTAGTAAATTTCAGCATCTCTCTCAGCACCTTACAAATTCCACACGAAAGTCTGATATCGCAATGAACGATTCCGGCGCATTGGGGTTCAGAGTCAGCGTACCTTTCGGCAAGCCATACTTGGCAGTGATCCAACGCAGGCTGGTCCATTGTGATCGTCTCAATCATTATCTCGAGGTGCTCAAGCGGTTTGGGTACCGGTGTACAGATGTTGGCCTGGACATCCTTTCCTTCGTCTATTCGGACAGAGAAGACTTGGGCGCACAGATTACGTTCAGCAAGGATGTAGCTCAGTCTGCTAAGCTGAAGCTGACGCCAATCCATAGCAATCCGCACCAGCGTATACGTGTGGTACTGGAGAATTCATACCATAGAGCCATGAACCGCGGCCTTATGCAGCTCGCTTGGGATCTGCGTGTAACTCTACCACTGTTGCGGTTATTCGACAAGCTGGAGTCTGCAGACCCAGCAGGCGAGTCCGTGTCGGTCTACGCTCGGGACGTTCACCGTTACACGTTGGCCTACAAGGCGCCTCTACCCGCGTGTAGCTTTGCAATAGACGTAACGAAAAAGCCCAGCCAGGTCCCTGGGCAGACCGTCGTCCTATTCCGATGCAAGGCCGAAGCTGCCCTCAGCGACGGTGCTTTCTCGCAAGCGTTACGCGAGTTCAGCAAAGGTGGCGGTCAAGACTGGTTTGGTGACCATGTCGGCGGTTTCGGCAGCGGCGTAGCAGGACTCGAAGAAGCATTCACCAAGCTCGACCAGACCATCCGCAAATGCGAGGGCGCCGCCAACTTTGCTGCCAAGAAGCAAGACACGCCTACAGAAAACTTGAAGTCGAAGCCAGCACCAGCTTCGACACAGTCACAACAACCTACGATGCAACGCACGCAGAGCCAACAGAGACCAGCAGCGCAACCAAGACAACACTCTCGAAACAGCGTCAAAAAGGAAGTCATCGAGCTTGACTAGTGGATTAGACGGACAAACTTCGTACTTTTGTTTTCACGGATATTTTATCTCTTTCTTTTTTTGCTTTAGCGCGGCGTTTTTGGACAATGGGGGGGGGGGGGGGGGGGGGTCGGAGCGGAGACAGATGTCAATGACGACAGTCTTTTTCACGGCCTGTCGCTGTTGTCTCCTTGTTTTCTGCTTGTTGAATCACAATGCTTATACCCGGGATTGGTTGTGGAAAAAATGGGCGAAAGGGGGGGGGGGTGCGAGATTAATGATGGAAAGAAAAGAAAAGGGATACTACTATGATATCATACCAGAGAGTAGAGGTGGTAGAGGATGTGGTAGTTGGGCTGAAATGAGAAAATGTTCAATGTGAACATCGCCGTGTTGGAAGTATGTGTGATGAGGTAGACTATGTGTTTGGTTAGTTGCTCTGATCTTGCTACGATGAACGTGGCCTGTCGTGTCCTCGACCTCGTGGAGAAATCTTGACCTTCCACCTCCACGAAGGCTGGCCACGCTTACTTGCTTGGCCCAACTTTTCTCCTCAGCATCAATATGCTCGCTTAATTCCTTGCTTGCTACCACCACGTTGACTGCAAGCACAGCACAGCACAGCACGGCGACTCCGTGTGGCTTTCTACCCGGTCTGAAGAAGCCTGCAGGTGGCCTGCAGGTGGCCTAATAGCCTGGTGGCTATTTTCGGAGAATTTTGTGATGTTGTAAGCGAGCGAGCGACGTGTGATCCTTCAGCTTCAGCGCCTCCACATGGTCCCATTATTTTCGGGGTTTGTGTTCCTTGGTTGCAGTACGGTCTGGATGCAGAAGCGTAATGTATTTGTGTGCTTCTAGGTTGGTTGAGAGGATGATGGCATGGTATGGAAGGTATTTATTATTGGCGTGGAAATGCGTGCGAAAATAGTGGTCTGGCGTATGGCATGCGAGACCTCGAAGAGCGGTGAGGTTATGTTTGTAAGCTGTAGATATAGTAGATTTTTTGCAAGCATAACTTGAGCCTGCAGTGGTGAATTCTGGGTATCTGGCGCCTTTATCAGCTATGCAATTCTGGCTTTAGAGGTAGGTTTAGGATCCTCTTCCTTTTCCTTCACTCGGGGCAATAAAGCTCATCATCCGCCAGCGCTCTCATCCATTTGCAGCTTGCGTGCCATCATCTTCTGCTTTCTCCCCTTTACCTTCCGACTTCTCCTTCCTCCGCATGCCAACATCCCAGTTGTAGACTCTCGCCGTAGCGACCTCCATGGTCTAGAAAGAAAATCAGTTTGGGATATTGGCGAGGATGCTGCGTGCTCACCGTGATCTGCTCTCTCAGAAAATCAACGTCTTCCTCGCAATTTGCTAGACTATTCTGCGCCGCTTGCAGCTTGCTTGCCAAAAGCTCTTCGGCTTCGGAGAGTGGGTATGCGAGCATTACATTTGCCTAATTTTTGTGTGAGTTTCATGGTTCGCTGGATGTGCTGTGGAGTATAGGGAGGAGGATGATAGAGCACATACTCCTAGCCATAGATAGACTTGGTCGGTCTCGTGGATGTTGGCTTTGGCATAGAGGGTGTCGTTCAATTCGAAGGTGGCCTCCAGAGGATCTGAATCTTCCTGTGGGAGATGTGAGCTATACGATGGTGTGAGAATTTGACACTGAACCCCACCCACCTTACGAGTCTGCAGAAAGCGCACTGTTTCGAGGGTCTTTTGAATATCAGGTAGCTTGTCTTTGAGGCCGGCGATTCGTCGTTGGTTGTTGGCTTCCATGAATTGGTATTTGCTGCAACGCATGAGGAACAAGAAGCGCTGCTCAAGCTACGAGCACTGCACTGACCTGATCATCTCTTGGAAGCTCTTCAAGGTAGGCTCAACATCTGCTCTGGTCGACACATAGTCCTCGACGCGATGCACGAATGGGGCATATGGTATGCCTCGCGGATTGGTTGGGGCATCTTTGCCGCTGTTGAATGTGCATGATCAGTGCTGGCTCGAGAGGAGGCTATATTCAGACTCACCCAGCCTTCTGGATCTCTGCAGCCATGTGGTAGGCGAAGCTATTATTGCCGTGGCGGGTATGTCATCCGCAGCAGGGCGATGTTCTCGGAGCACGTGAGGGCGGGCGTTGCGGGATGGCTCGATATTGTTGTCGGTCTGTCTGCTTAGCATTTCAAGGTTTCGACTGTGGCTTGTGGCTGTGGCTGTGGCCTGTGACAACCAGAAGTTCTGTCACGGCACAGCATTCTGCCTCCCGGTGTCTCTGACGACATAATGTGCAGGTGCAGGTGCAGGCATTTCTAAGCTTAGGCTTTGCGAGGGTGTGGGGTTGCGACAGGTCTAACAGCGACGTCAGCCGTCTACGCGACATTTACCACCACCACCACCACCACCACCACCACCACCACCACAATCACAATGCTTGGCCCAGCACACCGCCAAATTCCTCACACCAGGCAGTTCTGCGCAGTCCTATGTGGATTAAGGAAAGTGGACTGTTGAAAGTTGAAACGTCGAAAGCATTCGCCAATCGACTAGCGCAAACGCTCGGGAAGTCTCTTGGAGAGCCGGAAATCAATAGAGTACAGCGTCTCTGGAGTGAAAGTGACTAGGGCCGGACCGCTGAATAACAAGTGACTATTCGCTGTAATCCTTGCTTCTTACGGATTTGGTGAATACCCACTTTCACTCCGAAGTGTTCACTGTTCAGACGCTGTACTGTGCCTATCATCCTTTCCCTTGTTCGCATGCTGTTCTGCTGTACCTTAACGTAAGAACGAATTGACTGGATACCATACGCACTTCACCATCGGCATGCCCGAGTCCGAGTCATCAGTCCATACCCGAAACGAAAACATGTATGGAGTCCGGTAAGGTGAAACGTTTCAATAGCAGTCGCATGGCGAAAGGCAATGATAGGCTCCAAAGGCAATCGGCTGATCTAATCCATACACCTTCTCACTGTGCAAGTCCATATCACACAACAACAATACCGCGATTCCGAGACCTTAGTGTGAAGGTAGTCGATGCCAAAAACCCATGTGGCAGACAGAGCATCTGGCTTCTTCGACGCCTCAGAGCCATGAATTCTTTGGGGTTGGAAGGTCAGCCAGCTGTTGATGTATGAAGCGGCGGCTCTACAGCGCATGTGAATAGAAAGAGAAAGAAGGCACAAAGAGTAATGACCAACTGCTATTGCCGATGGAAGCTACTCTACCCGTCAAGAAGCCACCTCTTTCGATGCATTTCGCCCCATCTCGCAGCCATATGATAATTCTAGTAGTTGTTGTTCAAATTAAAAAAAAAATGAAAACTGTTTTCTTTCTCCATTCACACGTTGTGCTGTAATAATCCTTCCAGCCACCAGGTATCTCCAAAGAAGAATTTCCGCTGAAGCGAGTGCTAAAAATTTCAAACCCATTGTCTCTCCCCCCTCTATCATTTCGCTATGCATCAAATCAAAAAACGGATGTGTTGTGGTGACAAAAGTTTTCGTAGATTGTAAGTTTTCCAAGAGATTCGATTCAGTCCCAGTTCATCGTTGAAGATCGTCAGCGGCCAAGCGTTCCATCGTCCAAAATGCCCAGGGTGTTTCGTCTCTCTGAATCTCTTCGCAGATCGTGCAGATTACCGTAGATAGTCTCAGCCCAAGACGTCCACGACAACCTGAGATCCGCAAAGAATTGAAGCGGAAGGGAAAAGGTCGTAGTGGAACGTTTTATGCTGGTGGAGTGTAACCTGGTCGGATGGTACCACTCACTTGCACCGTTGATGCTGACTCCTGCTTTCCATCCCAGTCAAGACCAGATCGAATGAGCTTCCCGAGATCTGCAGCGTGAGGATCCTTCATCATGGAGAAGTGGTGTCCGCCCATGATGCCGTTCTTGAACGAGCCCTGGCAAAGTTGTGCCCAGCCGTTGTCAGCGAAGTCGGTTCGATGGTTGAGGAGCCACTTCATTGGAGCTGGATCCTCGTCCTCAGCTGGCGGTGGGCGTGGGTCACCTGCGTTGCCTGCGACACCGTCTGTGCACCAAACTGCGAAGGTCGGAAGCTCAGCGATGGATGGCTTTGGGTCGTAGTCAGAGAGCGAACGGATGGCGGCAGAAAAGTGAGGAAGGAGCCACTTTGGTGTTTTGCTTGGGTCGCCGGTACCGAGGAGACCGATCTCGTTGAAGAAGATGTGCAGGCGTGCTGGGAGCGGATCGAGGTTGACTGGGCAAGGAGAGTCGAGGAGCAGAAGCTTCTCAACCTTCTCACCAGCAGCCAGAAGCGCTTGAGCGACGGCATAGGCAATCACACCACCGGCAGACCAGCCACCAATGATGTATGGGCCCTTAGGCTGACGGCGCTTGATTTCGGCAAGGTAGATGAGAGACGACACCTCGATACCGCATTGCCATTGCTCGGGATCCTTCATGAATGGGCAGTTGAGGCCATAAGCCGCAACATCAGGTCCGAGGTTTGGGATCGAGACATACGAGGTAGCAGAGCCAGAGCCATCAGGCAGGAAGAAGAGCTTCTTGGTAGCGACCTTGGCGTTGCCCTGGAGCAGGACGGAGGTAGCTGGTGGGTAGCGGGAAATGTCGGTCTTGTTAATTTCGGCTAGCCGCGCGGAGACCTTGTTCATGTCAACAACGGTCGTCTTAGGTGTTGCGGCGGGCCTTGGTGCTGGAGCCGCGGCCTTGGCCTTGGGGCGCATACCGAGAGCGTTCTCAATGTCCTTGATAGTTGGGTTCGATGAGAGGAATGTGGATGGGAGATCGACGCCCGTCTTTTCTCTAAGCTCACCAAGAATCGTTAAGCTCATGAGCGAATCCATGCCAAGTTCTGCCAACTCTGCATCGTCGTTGATCTCGGAGAGGTCGACACCCATCTCTTGAGCAACGACGTGGCGAGCCAGGGACACGTCACCGACCTCTGCGAGAGACTCGCGGGCTGGTGAGTCGAGCTCTGGCTTGCCTGCGTCAGAAGCGGCTACGGACGGGGCAGAAGATGCGGGTGTGGAGAGCATGTCGAGTGGAGTTGGCATGTCAGTTGCTGGAATCGATTCGTCCTCGGAGTCCTCGTCTGGTTCAGAAGCGCTGCTGACTGAACCGTTGTCGAACTGGGCGAAGTACTTCTTCATGTCGCCCACTGTGGCGTTATCGGTGAAGAGAGACGAGCTGATTTCCATGTCGAGCTCCTCACGGAAGATGGCAGAGATGGTGAGCGAAAGGAGAGAGTCGACGCCAAGGTTTTCGAATTGGGCATCATCGACCAGCTCAGACATGTCGACCTCTGTCTCTTTAGCCAAGATCTTCATGACCTTGTCAACGAGTCCGCCAGGTGCCTTCTTCGGAGCAGGAGCTTTCTTTGGCTTAGGAGCCTTGGGAGCGGCGACTGGAGCTGGAGCAGCAACTTTGATTGGTGCAGGTGCAGGAGCACGAACGGCTGCTGGTGATGGTGCTACCTTGATCGCCGCTGGAACTGCAGCGCGGACTGGAGTACTCTTGACTGGAGCAGCGGGAGTAGTGGCTGGCTGAGCAGCGGAGCCCTTGTTTGGTGGGAGGAAGGTGTTGAGGACACGGCGAGGAATCTGCTGGAACTTGATGCCCTCGCAGACAGCGACGATCTCGTCACCCTCAAGAATGTAGACATCACCCTTGCTGATGTTGTTTGGCTGTGGCAACATGCGAACGTAGTTGCGGAGCTTCATGCCAGCAGTGAGTGGTTTGGAGAACTTCATGGCACCCCAACCATGAGAGACGTAGACGTTCTGCTCAGAGTCGAGGAGATCAGAAGCGTTGACGATAAAGCCAGAAATGTGGCAAGATCCGTCAATGTGGTATGGTGGGCAGTAGAAGTCGCCATCCTCTGGCTTGGTTGGGAAGTCGAGAGTGGCAGAGGCTTCGGTGTTCTGGCCATCGAGGACAACCTCAGACATGGCGCGGTACTTGCCTTCGTAATTGACCAGAGCCTTGAAGAGCTTGTAAGCCATGCCACGCTGCACCTTGTGAGCACCACCGTTCATAGTCTTAGCAGTGAGCAGATCAATCTGTGCCTTGACCATGAAGTTGTAGCGGGCCCATTCGTCTCTCCAAGCAGCCTTCTCCTCGAAGCGAACAATGCAGTGAGCGTGGTCAAGGATCTTCTTGCCATCCGGCTGTACGCTGCGGAACTGGAGCTTGACAATGCCCTGCTCCAAGTCGGCGTTGGCCTCGAGCTCGATGTGCTGTCCCTGAGCTGGTTGAGGAATCTGAGCAATCAAGGGCTTTGGAACCTCCATGTTGCAGACGTTAATGCCAGGAGCCTCGGTGCCTGGGCGCATCTCCTTCCAGATGTAGTCACCAACAGTCAATGCCATGTCAGCGTAGAGCGAAGATGGGCAGAGAGCAGCATTGTTGACCATATGGCCGCAAACGACTGGATAAAGCTTTGAATCGGCCAAGCTGGAGCGGATGACGACCTTGGCCTGGTTATCAGTGAACTCCTCGCTGATGACCTTCTGGCAAGAGGTTGAGAGGCGCTTGGCTGGGATCTCAACAGCTGGGACTGGTTGAGCAACAGCCTTCTCAACAACGACCTCCCTGACTTCTGCGGGCTCACCCTTGCGGAGGGTCCAGTTGTTGTGGTAGTCGAGCCAGTACTTCTTGTTGTCGAAGGAGTAGGTCGGAAGCTGGAGAAGCTCCTGAGCATCGTTGAACTCGCGGTGGAATTCATCAAAGTTGATGTAGACACCGGCGATGAAGAGTTGGCAAATGCTAGTAGCAATGGTCTTCCAGGCATCCTCGCCACGGCGGAGAGATGGAGCGGTGACGGTGGCGCCGATAGAGGCCTTGACCATGCCGGAGCAGACTGGGTGAGCGCCGACCTCAAGCCAAGCGGTCTTCTCATCAAAGACCTTGGCCTTCTGGCCACTGGTAAGAGCGGTCCAGAAATTGACAGTCTCACGAGCGTGGCGAGCCAAGTAGTCAGGACCGATGATGCCAGCTTCGCGGATGATCTCACCAGCAAGAGGAGAGAGAACTGGGACGGTCGGCTTGTTGAAGGTGACTGAAGATGCGATCCTCTTGAACTGGTCAAGAATTGGGTCGACCTGAGCAGAGTGGAAGGCAAATGGCACGTTCAGCTTGGTAGCCTTGAAGCCACGCTGAGTGAGGGTCTCGTTGGCTGAAGCGACAACATCGCCGCTGCCGCAGAGGACAGTCTCTTCTGGGCCGTTGATGCAAGCAATCTCGGTCATCTTGCCACCCAGAGTCGCGCGGATAGCCTCAGCGCTGCCCTTGACTGCAAGCATACCGTGAGTGTGTGGAGTGCAGTCGCGGACCAGGAGCTCAGCACGGCGACCAACAAGGAGAACCATGTCGGCGGCAGAAATGACACCTGCGACGTGAAGAGCGGCGTATTCACCCAAGCTGTGACCAATGACTGCTGTTGGGGTGATGCCCCAGGAAGACCACATGCGAGCAAGAGCGACTTGGATGCAGGCCATTCCAAGCTGCACCTTGACGGGCGACAGAGTCTGGACGTCAGTGCCGTCAAGGAGCTCGAGGAAGGATGGCAGGCCCTGGATGCGTGCGAGCTGGTCGAGCTGGTTGATGTCGTCACGGAAGCTCTTGAGGTCTTGGTAAAGCTTCTGGCCGAGACCAGTGTATTGGGAGCCCTGGCCAGTAAAGCAGAAAGCGGTCTTGGTTGCAGCCATCGGCACCGGGTTGTACGACTCCTTGACCTGAGCCTGAAGAGAGTCAATGACCTTATTGATGTCGGCCAATGGGAAGGCAACGCGGTAATTGTGCTGGATACGACGGGCAGTGGTCGTGTATGAGAAGGAGGTAGCGGTAGTTCCTGGGTTCTCGATCATGTATTGCTGGAGGTTGACCAAGTTGCGCTTGAGAGACGCAATCGAGCGAGCAGTGACGGTGACTGGGAGAGTGCTACGTGGGTCGACTGCACCTGGAGCCTCGCGAATAGGTCCGTCCTCGATGAGCAGCGCAGTGTTACCACCGGCAGCAGAGAAGTTGTTGAGGAAAACCTTCCTTGGCTCGGCACCCTTTCGTGGCCAGGAAACCGCATCGCGGGAGATGTGGACATTGCGGTCCTTGAGATCAGCCGGGAAAGTCTTGTTCATCTCGCCCTTAATACCAACGTTGGCTGGGATCTTGTCATGCTTCATCATGAGAAGCACCTTGTGCAGCGAGTTGATACCGGAAGCAGCCTCAGCGTGACCGACATTCGCCTTAATGGCACCGAGGTGGACAGTCTGCTCTGGGCGACGCTGGCGGTGGCGTGGAGCGAAGACATTGGTGACAGAGGTCATCTCAATGCCGTCACCAGCTTGAGTACCAGTTCCGTGCATCTCGACGTAGCTGATTTCGTGAGCGTCAACACCAGCGTTGGCCAGGACCTGCTTGTAAAGGAACTCCTGTGCACCAGCGTGTGGGTGGGTAATGGAGACAGCCTCAGCAGAGTGGTTGGTAGCGGCGCCGAGAATGCAGCCGAGAATGTTGTCCTTGTCGGCGATAGCATCCTGGTAACGCTTGAGGATGACAGTACCGCAAGCATCACCACGGCAGTAACCGTCAGCAGCGTTGTCGTAGGTCTTGCAAGATCCAGTCTTGGACAAGAACTGACCCTTTGAGAGACCAGAGAAAATGTCTGGGTTGGTCAAAACGTTGAGACCACCAGCGCAGGCAGTGTCGCAGTCACCGGCCCACAGAGAAGTGCAGGCAAGCTGAATAGCGGCGAGCGAAGACGAGCAAGCAGTATCGACAGAGTACGAAGGACCGGAGAACTTGAAGTAGTAGTTAATGCGGCCTGGAGCAAAGGCACGCACGCCACCAGTGATGAAGTAAGTGTCGACATTCTCGGCAGCGTTGATCTCACGCCAATCGTCAGACGTTTGACCGTAGAAAGTACCAATACGGTGGAGCTTGGTCGAAGGAGTGCGGTTTGGCACGTATCCAGACATTTCAAGTGCTTCGTAAGCAGTGACTAGCGCCAGACGACCCATAGGATCGGTCTGAGCAGCCTCACGAGGCGACATGTTGAAGAATCGTGGATCGAAAAGACCTGGCTCGTCGATGAAGCAGCCAAATGGAGTGTGCGACTTGTTCTTGCCCTTGCCAGATGGATCGCAGTGAGCATCAGCGTCAAAACGATCAGCTGGGACCTTGCGGTGCACATCGAGACCCTTCATGAGCAGATCCCAGAGAGCCTCGTGGTTTGCAGAGTTGGGGTAGCGACCAGCCATACCAACGATGGCAATCTTATCGTTCTGAGTACGGCCGTTGTAGCCTTGCTGCTCCACGAACGCGGACTGGTCGACGACGGACACGTTGGTTTGACCGCCGACCTTGAGAGCAGAGACCAGACTGTTGGCGGTGTTGCTGACACCCATAGCGTAGATTTTGGCGCCCTGCTTGCTAGCAGCCATCTGGGAGACCGTCTCTTCGAGCAGGTAGTCCCATCGAACTGGGCGCTGGAGCATCTCACCGAGAGCAAGCTTGGCGAGCTCGTAGGAGTTCTCCGCAACGATCGGCTTGCCAGTCGCCGCGGAGTGGACGAGGGAGGCTGGGGTGTGGCTTCGCAGCTCACGGGCAATCTTGCCAGAGAGAAGACGCTCGATATCGGCATCGTTGTAGAGGTGCTCGGCGTGATATGGTCCATGAATCGGTATTGGAACGCGGTTGTTCTGAGAGAGCGGGCCCTGTTGGAAAAAGTGCTCGAGTGTGGTTGGAGGTCCAGAGACTGTAATGGCCATGACGGAAACAGCGCTGACGTATGCCTGGTTGGACTGTGGAATGCCCTTCTCTTTGTGGAAAGCATCGAGAGCCTTCTTGGCGCTGGCCCCGTCGATCCCGGTCACAATGGTAGACCACGGCTCCTTGTCCTCGCCAGTCTGGCCGAGGACGGATCGCACTCGATCAACAGCAGCACCAGAGCGGAAGGCGATTCTAACGAAATCAACACCAAGACCCACGAGTTCATCAATGGTCTTGGATGAGACTACTGCAGCGGCTGCAAGGAGACCAGTGCAAAGACCGAGCACACGGGTGTTCGAGGCAGCTGGAAGCTCGCTTGGGTGCTCAGAGAAGTATCCAATGTAATGCCCAAGCTGAGCGATTGTCACCAAAGCCGACTCGAGCGCTGGAAGCTTGTCACCCTTCTGGTAGTAGGCTTCGATCAGGTTGTTGAGAGTAAGGAAATCCGGAATCAACACTCGCTGGGTGCGTGGCAGAGCGCGTGCTTCCTCGCGGAGAGCAAGTGCACAGCGCTGTACAAAGTTGTGAACCAGAACGTTGTCCTTGTGAAGAGCTACCTTTCTCAGGAGAGGGTATTGCTCGGCGGTCTGATCGCCGAAGAGTAAGATGTTCGACATGTTCGCGAAGTTCGTGATTCGATCGTTATTGTTCGGGATTCGATGATTAGGTGATTTATGTATCAAGCTGATCCGTGGTCGAGTTGCTGAGAGTTCGATTGAGCAGGAGACTTTCTCGACACGACCGTGGTGGCTAGTCACGGGGTTGGTGTTTGTATGGAGGAGTCTTCGGGCGAAGGACTTCGATTAGAGGAGATGGACTGTGGCGGTGGGTAACAGCAGATGGTGTATAAGATGAAAGATGAAAAAGGAAAGGGTATTGCTGGGCAGGTGGCTAGACTGACCAAAGCAAAGGAAGATGGAGGGGGAGAAGGAGGGTTCCCTCTTGGAGGGTACGGGGCAGCGTTATGTATCACAGTGCGCGTTCCATTGATAGACCAGGGGTCTTGGTGCGCACGATGCTTCAGGACAGGCGTGCGGGAGCGGATCTGCGCCAGGACTCGGGGGCTGCATCCATGGTGCTTCTCTGTCCAAAAAGAGCAGTTTGACGTTCATCTGGAATCAGAGGCTAAGCTCCACGGCCGGACGGCGCAATCGCGCAGAGGATTTGCTACCCGGCGCAGAGGATAAGCAGTGAGGCAGACGGTGTGGCTATTGATAGGGACGTTTGGCGGGCTGGCAGCGTAGCGTGGTGTCTGTGGCGGGCAGGATGCAGATGAAGTCACCAAGTTCGGCTCTCCATGACGCCCGTGCAAGACCAACGGCTTCGCCAACCGCGCCGCGTATGGAAGGAATGACGGCCGTCCCGATGGGGAAGTGGTGGTGAATAGGCCACCCATACGCCGAAGCCGCCTCAGTCAGCGGTGTCGATGGCGTGGCCGCAGCAAGTTGCAACGAGCCGCACAGCCTTCTGCACGCCCGAAGAATATTCTAATGTGCAGCTGCCCGGCGGTGGCTGCTGCTTATTCGGACGCCACCACACGTGGCGGACAGAACAATCGCGTATGACCCATTTTTGTCTTCGTCTTCGATGCGTGCGTAGGCGCTGCTGACCGTTGCACAGCGCCTGATCTGGTATGGTCACCGCTTCAGATGCTGTGTCTCGTCAGCGCGTGCCATTCTCGTGCCGCCCGTCTGGGCACGAAGAAGACCAGTCTGTCGGTGGCAGTCAACCGCGAAAACCACGTACATACATAGGATCTATGATGCCCTGATTGATCGGCCCGGTAACGCAGGTTCTATTCAAGGAGTCAAGCTTGCAGCGGAAAGGAAACAAGCGAGGCCAGAAGTTGCGGCATGAATAAGCAGGCATCGGCAACACCCGCCCGGTCATCATTGCTTATCTCAGCCTCGAATGGCTGGCTATGCGTGTCGCCAGCCATGCATCTATCCATCCCATCTCAGCCCCTTCCTGCACAGCGCAAGTCGTCTTTCCCATCCTACCATCATCATTCGATATCGGACAAGCACGCGACAAGACCCACACCTGAACCACACTACACTCCTTGCGCAACACTTCGTCGATACACCACACCAGATAGAGCATAGTGAGAAGACCCGAGATGCCGATCGACGCTAAGAGCCACGTGAAATGAAGAAAGTCTGCAAGAAGAGCGTGAGGAAAGCAGGAGGTGGCCATGCATATACATAGACCGCATGCGATGTGCTGTAAGGATGATTCCGACTGCAGTGGAACAAGCCTCTCTGCACGCACCGCGAGAGCAGAGCCGCATGAGCGACATGTGAGAAGGGGAGAGGTTGCGCTCATTTCAAGCGCCGTGCCTTTCTCCTGCTGAGATGAACAGTACTGTACGGTAGCTAGCACCTGCCACGCGACGGGGCATCCTGATGCTCATTCCGAATGCCTCAGACCCCTATCGTTCGACTATATCTCAAAACGCAAACTCTGCACAATTGTTATGAGGAGCGTCGCTCGTGCCTGTAGCGACCAAGTAAGGTCAGCAAAGTCGTCAATTGCTGACAACATGCCACTTATCACTGTCCAAGCTCCGCAATAGTTCTAAACGCCGACTTGACTGCTCGGCAGCTGAGAGATCCGGCGCAACTTCTCAACACAGTGCAGTGCAATGCACATTCTCTCCAGCGACGGCTTTTCCATCACATCATGTGCCCATGATCCTTGGCGGACACGATGGTGCTGCTAGACACCGGTCTCTAATCAGGACCCACTGCTACTCACGCTACACTATCTCTCCCCTGGTTCGGGTTCACGTGTGTTGCACGACTGCTGCGTTCATGTGAACACTGCGGCCTTCGGTCCGACGCAGATTCTCGCTACAGTACAGCCTCTGCAGCCTCGGGGTAATCTTCAGCTCTGATATGCCCTTGTCAATGAGCTGAACTGAGCAGCCAATCTTGGCTTCATAGTCTTGGCAGCGAGTGTGAGATTCACCTTTCCAAAATCACTGGTGACCGCTTCTCAGCGCCCGCCGCCAAGCACCTTGCATCCTTGCACCCTGTCACCAAGAATACACACTCAAGAATTTGCGAAACGATAGTCCAATCTTCTTCCGTGTCTTGCAGAACCCGTTGAATGTGGGCCACTTCGTGTTCGAGACGAATCTGAAGCAGCTGCGTGCAGCTCAACCTAACGGCGCAGTTCGAACTCGATGCTGATATTGTTCTCCACAAGACGAGCACCGCTTCAGCGGCAGTCGTGCACATATCGCGAATACCGCAGTGGCGTGATTACACATCGATTTGGGTGCTCGTCTGGTGGAGAACAATATCAGCATCGAGATGCCGATGTCTTGCCGGAAGACCGAGCGACGCTGTGGCCGGCTTCATTGCGCTTCTGCCTACCAGCCACCGGTCTGCCAACAGGACAATTGCTCGGCTAAAGATAGGCCGCTGCCCGCAGCAAAAGCCGCTCACTCACAACGAATGTACAGTATGGGAAATCGAGTCCGGATCAGAACAGCAGCTCCAGTGCCGTCGAATCCCCGTGCCTGGGATACACAGAAGCGCCATCAGCATCATAATCCGAGGACATGAAAAGGCTGCAGAACTCACAAGGACTTTTAAAGTGGGCGAGAAGCGTGCTGTCAAACCAGGAGCCCAAGCATACCGAGCAGCGAGCATGAAAATTTCAAACTGTCGTGCTGGATCACATCCAGCCTCCTCGATCCTGTTCGTAGCCTGGGCGTACGGAGAGCTTCAGCACCGTTCGGTTGGGTGACAGCGAAACACTGTCAAAACAGGTTTTCCACTCACTTCACCCCTGCCGAAGTCCCATGCCGACCACATCCACAGCTCCGATTCAGACGTCTCAATTTTTCTCGCATGAGCACCTGCATATACTGAAATGCTCGAGGATATAGATCCTGCGCGGAGGAGCAATGGCACTTGACAGTCATCAAGTGACGTCTTGCCGGGCCAAGCATGTTTTCCATGAACCTGGACGGCAATCGAAAGCTTCCGAACAGCTTAATCCCCGAATGGACGAACACTGGCAAGCCTTCCATACCTCATTGTTGGAATGATTGCCCCTCCGCTCCTCACTTTGAAGTCAAATCGGCCGCCGGATCGATCAAGCGAGGCCTGTATACGCTCCCAGACGAAGCGCTGCAGGAATTACACATCGATGTCGGTGCTCGAGCGGCCTCAATAATGATCGAGCACACCGCATCGTGGCGTGGCAGCCCAACCCTTGTACGAAAATCAACGACCGTATGGCCGGTATCGTGCCGACTTCCGAGTACTGTATGTCACGATCACGACTCTCTTCTTGATTGCGTCGAAGAGCACCATCATGGCGTCTGCCGCTTTGGCAGTTGATTTCCCGTCCTTGGTTTCTGGATGTCAAGTTCTTCGTCGATGAAACCATGTTGCGTTTCATAATTCGCTGCGCCCATCGCCGAGAATATTCTTGTGAAGCCGGCAAGCCGTGGTCCTCTTAAGACCGAGTCACGCATCAAACTCGACTCTGAAGCTCCCTTGCTGTGGTGTCAGCTTGCCTATAGCGAGAGAAGCAAGAGCTGATGTTGTAGAGTTAACCGATATCCGTGTCGGCGAGAATGGCTCTAGGAGAAATGCTGTGTTGTACATACAGGGCGTTTCAGGTCAGCCTGCTGCGCTGGAGCTGTCAGTGCCTGGACATGGCTTCCAATTCTCCGGATATACAGGCGTCATCCAGACATGGCAGCATCCTCGCTGACGTTATGTCGGCATGGGACAGGGTCAAGATAATATGCTGGGGACTCCCTGAGGCCTTAACACCAGCCACAGAATAATGCTCCAAGTCTGGGTTGTTGCCAGCGCAAATGTCGCTCAAATTGTTTCAAGCTCCCCGCCGCGACATCCGTTGCACGCCTCATGTCTCAAGATCGAGACAGCGTGGTATGGATGACTGGTGTCGTGAACTCTAAACAGGGTACCCAGCCTGATCTTGGCACCAGCCACACCAACCTGCCAGCCTCCCTAGCCGTTGCGATATGCTTAAAGCAAAGAATCGGGCTTGATAAATAGAGTTTTCAGGCCTCCTGGCAAATTCTCTCGACCTAGTCAAGTCCCTTCAAGTCTCCGGCAAACTTTGCCGGCTGGATCAACCTCAGACTTCACTTTGAGCTCGCAAGAGCGGACTTACTTCCTGTTCCAGAACTCCCACCTCAGCTGTCGCTCAAGCTGGTGGCAGCAGATACGCTATCATCGTTCTGACAACCATTTGCATTGTTGCAATGTCCACTTCCGATACTTGGCCAAGCCCCTTCGTTTCTTGGCTACGAGGCTACGGGTATGTTCGCATATTGCAGATTGTGGTTGCTTACCTTTGCGCAGCCTGACATATTACGCCGATACGTATACGAAAGATCGAGAGAATGACGAATCTTGCGTGGCTGGCTTTCCAGCACATTGCCCTCAACTTGCCCTAAAATACACTCTCTGATGGATCCTCAAGAAAAGTTTATAATGAAGATCGCAGACGCACGAAATTCCAGGGACCCTGACACGAGCAAGACCAGGATGCGTGCGACTTGGCTCTTCAAAGTTTGCGAGGTTCTTCATCACAGTTTTGAACCCCAGAGCCATCCTGGCGCAGCATCATGAAGGATTTCGGCACTTTGGCCTTTCTTCCAACGGTTGGAGATACGTTGACGCATGCTTCGAACAATAGGGAAAATCTCGATCTTTACATCATGGACATCAGCGGCGGGAATTTTGTTTCGATTCCAAGGGACTGGCACACGTTGAGATGGATATGGCAAATTACCCTTCTTCGCGTGGCGATACGCTGCTTTACTGCCGCTCATGGATGGTGACGCCCAGAATGGCGCAACGAACTCAGAGCCAGCCAGCTCGCTCACAGACCACCGTCCGTTGCAGAAACGTCCTACGACTCAGGAGGTCGGTAGGTACCAGGCCATGTGACATGCTTCAGCAATGCCGACTCAACCGTAAAACTTTCTCGAGGACAGCAACACCAGCATTTTCTCAAAAGTCTCTGAATCCTTCGTCACATCAGATGACTGTCATGCTGCAAACATTTCTCCTCCAACCTGCCTGCCCCGTCGTAGTAAGGGTAAGTAAGTAAGGCGGAGGGGGAAATATGCGGAGCTGACCCTGCTACTCTGTTGAAAGATATGCACAACCGGCTCACGTTTCAGCGAATTATCATATTCTAACGCACGAATATCAGAATGAAACAATAGCATGGCTGACGTTCGGAAAAATATATGAAGTGCGGTGCAGAAAAAAATAATTATCCGCGTTGTGAACTGGGTAATACCATGAATGCCCCCCCCCCCTTTCACCCCCGGCACAAGTTTCATGTTCTTCGAACAAGCAATATCAGACGACACACGGATATCGGCACCAACCGCTCGCTCTATAATCTTCGAAGAGAAAGACGCAATTCATCGCAAGATCAGGTTGGAAAAAGGTGCTGTGGTGTAGAGGTGTAAATTTTACAGGATGATGTTTGTTTGACGTGCAGTTGACAGCGCATGTCTAAGGCAGGGACCAGATTTCAAGGCCTGCGTGGCGACTTGGAGGAGGATGAAACGCTTTTTGAGACTAGGGCTACGAGTTCTGTAACGCTTTGAGCTTGAGAAATGTCCGGAACGGCTGCGTGTTGGCTGAAAGAAGTCCGAAGCAGACATGTGATGGAGATACCGGCGAGCTGCGTCAATGCAGGAGTGTTGCCGCGTTGAGATGCAATGGATGCGAGAGGTTCTGCCATGGGACTCGGAACACCTTCAGATCATTTCCGAGTAGACGAGCGACATCGCTCAACTGCGTGATGTTCAAGACGAGGCTTTGCCAAGATGGAATTCAGCGGTGAATATCGATATCTGATGAATCCTGCAATAGCTGCTATCGTGCGTATGTGACAGTGCCCATCGCAGTCTCAAAAGCAACATTCAGCTTTGCTTGGCCTGTATGCGTAATTTGATGTTAGACTTCACCGCTTCCTGTGCTGTTCTTGCCAGTCCTGTGCAATGAACATGCAAAATCTGATCAGACAACGTCGTCACGATAGCCTCTAGCGATGCTTGACCACCCGTTCGGTGGCTGGCGGGTGTACTGGTGTACATGTGCGTCGGACAAGTTCGTCTGACATACGGCTTTCGGCTCTGAACTCAATTGGTCTTCAAAGCTGAGAGATTCGCGAATGAGGACGGAGGTTGGTCATTCTCCGCATCTCTCACAGGATCATCTTCCCGTTGCGATTGTCATCGCGGCTCTCTGTACATGTAGTGGGGTTGCTCCAAGCCCGTAGCAATTGGTCCGTATCTTTCTTCACGCAGGCCCTGCGCATGTGGCTTGCGGGAAGCGGCATTGCAGGAATTATACGCGCGCCAGTCGCTTATCGATCGGCAGTCTATCAAAAATGTCGTAGCTATCTGTAATAACGGCCTTGGATCGGAATGTGTCGAAGTGTGTGTTTTCCAGAAGAAGTCAGTTCACTTGTCGAGTCAGGCACTAACGTTCCGATGACTATCACATCAGTGCTGCAGGCGAACATCAAGCATGTAGTGGACAGCTGATGCTGTACGTTGGCCGCGAATCAGCGATGTTCAAGACTCTGACGGAACCTACATCATGCGACGTATTGCTGTTCTCCGTCGTAAGAGTGATACGGACAAATGCGCTTTTGTCCGAAGGTGCAGTATGCATATGAGTATGGAGATAACAGTTCTGACAAGCAAGCATATCGTAGACCTGAGTTGGGCCAGCATCAGCGATGAATGCAAGGTGAATGAGAAGGTTGTATCAGACCTGCCAATGTCGCAGGGAAAGAGGGTTGCGGTTGGTTGAAAATGATGCAATTGGTGCTTCAATCTCCGATTCATTGATTCTGAATCAGCATCTCACCCGTGGACCATTAGCAAAGCAAGGCGAATAGAATGCATGTCAGCGAGTCTTGCTATCATAGGGCTGAAGGCCTGATGGTAGCTGTACGGGAATGAGAAGTTGAGACTGGATCAGATCCACCTCACTGCATTATGCATTGAGGATTTGGCAGTCCCAAGTCGTTCTGGAAAATGCCCGCAGTGAATCCCTACCACGAAAGCTGGTACGTCTTGGCTGCGCGGTCATCGTTTCCCATGCCCCAGAAGGAGGAGGATATGCTCAGCTCAGGCAGCCAGCTCGGGCTACGGCGTCGCTGATTCCAAGACTGTGGGTATTGCGCCGATAACGTGCCTTGTGGGACACCATCCTGCCCAGGGCAATGGTCCATTCCACGCGAAATTCCACCCAGCTAACGTGTCTGACTTCGTGCTGTGTCGCACAAGAGCACCCGGCCGAAGTACGGGTTACTGTACGCTCAAGATCCTCGTTGCATTCTCTAGTCGCAGCATATCGGGTGGGACATGTCGCAATCAGAGGCTCAAAGCAGTTCGCATTTTTGACAGCGGCAGCTCGCATCCGACCGTGATCGTGAGTTGTCAGCCCCGGGGTGTGATTGGTCGCATCGAGGGCATGTGTAGGCATCATCACTCCAGTGGTGATGTCGTGGCATTTTAGATTGAAGACGTTGAGGCCCACAACGTCGGGCCGTCTCGGCGGTATCATCGTGAATTCAGAATGGTCACCGTTGCCGAATACAATACACCACCATACCGTACGTATGGCATGTCACCAGCGGCAGCCATTCCAGGGCACGACGTCGTCGCGCCGCCCAGGCGCCATTGTTCCCGCAGGCGAAGCACTATCGACAGTGACATTGAATAAGAACAGGAGCCGGGAGCTGGATGGATTGGGAAGCCAAGATTCTCCGCTGTGACAGGGGTGATGTAATAGCAACTTCGCGAGGACGTTCTAGCGGTAGCTACTTTGCTAGTTTGCCTCCAGACGAACTCTCGCTTGACTTCGCGTCTTGATCGCCCGCCTAATCAGCACGTATATGTCAGTAGCGGCAGCCTGTCTCATTGCTTGGCTCTCATTATTCTCCGTAGTGCCTGACTACTGCCGAACTCGCGTGGTGTGCAGAGGTTCAGCTGGCGGGGCTCACCGCAAATGAGAATGCCAAGCTTCACCATACACTCGCTGAGCTGCAGAGTCAGCCCCGCCAGGTCCGGAAGGGTCAAAGATCTTCCTAACGACAGAGAGCCTCCAATGTAAGGGCGGTGATAGCGACGTGGCTTGCAATGGGCGAGCGCAAAGCTCAATAATAGCCTCTACAGAAGCGAACACCCAGCAGTCCCTCTCGATACTCAACTGGCCGGAGAAGCACCAACCACTGTTCCATGACGACTGTCACAGCGAAGATCTGGCGTCTGCCGCAAGCACTTCTTCTTGTGGTAGCCGGTACTGCCGAATCCGCCCAGCTTCCAAGGCCGAAAGGATCCTCTCGCCTGACAGCGCATGAACTTTGGGACTGAAAGCACATAGCATCCCATCTCTGGTGAATGGAATCATGTCCGCTGCCTCGCTGCCTGCGGTGGAGGTTCGTAGCAAGCAGCGAGAATGTCATCAGCCTCTTCGTCATCCCACCAGTAGGCCGGGTAGAGGCTCAAATCGCCCGGTCTTATCTACTCGGCGTCACTAGTGGTGACTATTCCCGTCCTTGACGTATTATTGGTCGTGGTCTGCTCTGGCTCTTCTCTTCTGCGATAGCTTCAGATCGTGCAGAGGTACCTGCTGCGAGTCCGGATACGGTAGCCCTACGAAAGTCGGCGAAGCCACCCGCTGAAGCGCCGCAGCAGCAGGACAGGTGCACAGCCGTCGGGACGAGGGCAGTATCGTCAGCCATATGTTTTACCTCCGCAGCTGCGTCTGCTGGCTGCATTGGATTCGATAGCCTCTTCCACATTTCTTCAGACGTCAAGCTTCGAGCTCACCAGCCACGGTCTGTGGCAGTGTCTCAGACACGCTGTAGACTGTAGAGCTTCCGGCTCCATATTCTCCGACCACTTGTCTACCAGGCGTCGTTTCAAGGAGAAACACACGGTAATCGCGATTGGAGTGCCGGGTTCGAGGGTCGATATAAGGCTGCTGGGCTTCCAACCATTCGGCCATCTTTTCGCCAGCCAGGAACAACAATCATCAGGAAAACGACACGAGATCATCTGCGTCATATGGCTGTGCTGGCGGCTCGATTAGGATGCAACAAGACTGCTGAACCCCACCCACCTCTATCATTGTGCCCTACTTGATGCAGCATGGCTTCCCTGCATAATCTCTCAACAGGTCCCAAGAGTGGTCCTCTGAGGCCGTCCATGGTACTGGACGCTCTCTGCTGCGGACCGCAAGCCTATACACACAAAACGATCGTGATGATGATTACGAGTACGGTGCAGTAGTGGTCGGAGGGGCACTGCTCGTGCGGTTGAAGGCTGACGCTATCGGGGGTTGGATGAAAAGTGCCGCGGTGAGGGACGCGGTGTATGCTCCTGCCAGCGAACACGCTGCACAAGGCTGAACACTGCGATCCGTTTGGTGAGATACAGGTTTCAAGGAAGGGAAGCCAATCGCTGACTTGACGGTGGACTGATCAGATGCTGCATGTATGTCTCAGAGATGTGTGTCGAGTGTGGTATAGGCAGGTCCTATCGTGCACTGCACATGAGAGAGGGTAACTGCCACTTGCGGAAGTGGAGCAACAGTTGCAGTCGGAGATTGATGGCAAGGCAAGTGGCGATCAGCATGTCAATATTTCTTAAACAAACTTCGACGCAGGCCAAACATGCAAATCGCCGATTAGAGAGGCTGTCCGATAGCGGTTGCGGTCGCGAAGTCAGTCACTGCAAGATTCACGAGGCTGGTTGGTTGGCTTAGCTTCCACTTCAACACCATGGTTGTTAGAAAAGTCTTGATGACGGGCGCTAGAAGCTGATGGGAAGAACCCAGCAGCGCGTATCTAGTAGTGGGACGAAGATGATGACGACTCGACGAGAAGCTGAGTGTGGCTTCAGGCAGGCCGACACGCTAATGCATGTCTGCAGTCGGCGAAAATAGCAATTTGCACCTGCGCTCGCGCTCTTCACATCGGCCAACGGCGCTGGCGTGCAAGCCTGGTGGCGCGGAGATGAGAGGTCAAGCATCTGCGACAGAGCAAGTATTCTCCGGTCAGCAGGATGGAAAGCGTGCCGTCTTTCCCTTTCCGTAGGGTGAGAAGAGCAGCAACAGCACGGTGAATGAGTGAGCGAGCACTGGCTGACGTGTTGTTGTGCTGCGACGAGAATGTGCAATGGTATGAACAGGCTTCACTAATACGGAGGAAAGCGAGATGGATGAGAAGGAGGCAGCAGCTTTGACGCGCCAAGGCGCAGCACCGCAGACCACCGTAATGTCATTACTGATCGGCAGCGAGTGCATCTGGCGCTGACAACGATGACAGCAGGATATGGATGGAGGGAGCTCGTTCAGGGTAGGAAAGTGGTGCGAAAAATGAGAGGAAGATGGACAGTAGTCGGTCACTCTGGTGATGACAGATGAGCACGCACGAGTTGCTGAGCGTGTCGAGTGGTAGGTTTTGCACATGGTAGACTATTGGTAAGGCACGCGGTCAGGTTCACAGCGACGCCGTGCTGCAAAGGGCCGGTGCGTGGCGGTACAGAGCGATTGTCGAGCCATGAGGATGATGCTGTGTGAGTTTGGCTTGCTGTGTACGACAGGAAGACGCGGGCACGATGGATGTACTGCTCACGATGAGGTGTTGTTTTGCGCATCGACAGGCGGCGCGAATGAAGTGGCCTTACATTGCCTTGATGCGGCGAGCGGCCAAGCGCTGCAGCCCGTTTGGGAGTGGCAAGCGAGATGGTCGAGCAGGCCGGCGCGCCGCTAGCCAAGATTGAGTCTTTGGCCTTGTGGCGCACCCGTTTACAGGGGCGGGGCCCATGGGTGTCTGCAGATCGGGAGTGCACGCCTGCCCTTGCGAACGCATGCGATGCGCCAGGATGCCCCCCGTCGCAAATCAAGCCTTGCCGGGGAGGGGTGGTGCCAGGGGCGTGCCTGTTCGCGCTGCACGCCTCGCGCTTCACACGCTTCACGCTTGGAGGCTGCAGCCCAGGCTGGGCACACCCATCGGCTCCTCTCAGACGCTCAGGCGTTTCTGTTCTGCCATGCCGGGTCAGGCAGGTCAGTGCTGGACTCTGGCTTGCGCACATGTAACTGGCAGTCGTGGCAGAAATGCTCCGACCGCCCCAGCACGAGTGCATCCTTGTGCCACCCGGCGGAAGCTTTCGTCGGAGCAAGATCCAGTTCGTACTGTATGTGATGATGGACGAGAAAGCCGGTGCATACAGAGGGACAAGGGACCAGGGCTCCGGGCTCGCGTCAGACGTGCATCGAGGGCCAGCATCGTACAGTCCGTACTGAGAGCGCACGAATGTATAAGTCATGGCGCGCGACACCGTCTGCACCTGAGGCACGAGGCTCCAGCCTGTTTCCAACGCCCCCACATCACCGCACCGCACCACGAGCCGAGCGAGCGGACACTACCACTCCCGCTTATCCTGCTGCTGCTGCTGCTGCTGCTGCGTCGGCGCCGGCGTCGGTTGGCGTCGTGTTTTATTAGCCTGACGTCCCCGAGCGCCTTCCTCTTGCATCTGATTGCTCTTGCCTTGCCTTGCATTTCTCCGATCCGACCTGTGTCGACGCCGATCTGTCTGTCGTTGGAGTTGTCGCGGAGCACGACTGAAGACAGCATCGCTACCTACCCTACCCTACCCGACACTCGCTTGCCCTTGATACCACCCAGCAGCCATGGTCTTCTGCACCTACTGTGGCCAGTCCTTCACCAGGGACGAGCATCTCGAGAGGCATATCTTGACCCGTAAGTCGTCGAGTCGACACCATCCTGTCCGAAGCAATCTCATATCGAGAGGAGAGCCGCTGACCTTGCCCTGCAGACACCAATGTCAAGCCCTTCAAATGTTTCACCTGCCATATGTCCTTCGCGCGAAGGTGCGTCGACCGTGCCTGCCTCCCGTCAACAGTCCATCGAATGTACTGATCCGTTCTCAGGGACTTGCTCCAACGACATTACACAGTACATGGCAGGGATGCAACAGGTCAGCACGAGATCCCAGCCGCAAATGGTATGATACCAAAGTCGGCTGGTCGAACTCCAATCGCTTGCAGCAATTGTGCCAAGACGAAGACCAAGTGCGACAAGAAGTTCCCATGCTCGAGATGTGCCGGGCGAAATCTGCGATGCACTCTACGCCCGACACGACGAGTCTCGAAAAATGCTGCTCGTGTCGGCATACCACCAGACGGTGCAGTTTCAATGCCTCCAGGCGTGCAACAGGCAGGTGCAGGCCTGGCCCAGCAGCCCAGCACAGAGAATGCTCAACAACCACAACAGACACAGCAGACAACCATGCCACCGCCCGCCACCACGAGCCCTCACCAACAGCCACCCACTCTGAAGCCAGCGAGCCCGCAACCACGATCCATCTCTGCAATTCCTGAAGACCGTCCGAGCACCGCCCCACCAGTTGTCGATGCTCCACCAACGCAGTATGCTGATCAGCCAACGAGTGCTCCGACACCACCAACCACCTTCTCGCCACAGATGCCTACGCCAGGCGCCCAATACATGCACAACACCCCCCTGTCGGGATACAATGAGTTTGCGAACAACATTGGCAAGGATGGCTCTGAAGCTGGGTCGAGTCCACGCTTCATGCTGGACTGGTCGCAGATGCAGATGCCCATTGGCTATGATGGACTGGTCCAGCCGCATATGATTATGAACGCTGAGATAGGTTTTGATCCAAGCGCTCTGTCTCTGCCGCCCGATGGAGACGGAATGCTAACAATCATGCCTGATGTTGCCAATGCTATGCAGCCGCTGATCACACCTCTGGAAACACCAAAGCTCGATCGCCAGTTCCATGACATGGAGCTCAATAGCTCTGCCACAGCCTTCCCGCAGCACTCGCATCGTCCATCACACGTACATTCGGTGCACTCCAATCAGTCGCAATCATCACCAGCTCCAGACGTCAACGGCGAGATGCCTTCGATTATAGCAGCCCAAGACGCCTGGTCTGCCTTTCGATGTACTCCAATTGTGCCTTCGACGGCATGTCCAAAGACTGCACGCCAGAATCTGGAACGTCTCGAACAGACTCTGCGAAACCACCAAGGCTGGGCGAGCTGGAGTCCCCAATGGGAGGACGCCGACATTGCTGGAGGTGACCACTTGACTGTCATGCAATTGCACGAGAGCACACGCGACAAGCTTCTCGCTATCACGCAGAGCTTTCTGCATAAGGCGCTCGAAATCCACCGACAAGAAGGGCAGACCAACGCTGCAGGCCACAACACTCCCAATTCATATGCCTCGAATTTCGTCCTGCTGCCACCTGGTCGTGTCTTGGAATACTTCTTGCGATCATACGCCAACTCCTTCGAACGCTACTACCCACTCACTTCCAGAGGCGTCCTCGACGCGAACGAGTTGATGCATTGCTACAACGATAAGGCATCGAGCTTGCTGGTGCTGATGATGATTGCCCAGGGTGCGATGAACATTCCTTCGACTGAGGCACGTATGTTGACTGGTGGTCTCACCGAGGCTTGTCGCATTTCGCTCTTCGACTTGATCGAGAAGGACATCATCATGTCTGGTGATCCCATCGTTCTGCACGCTGCTCTGCTCTTCACCGTCCAAGCGGCATGGAGCGGTGACAAGTGGCAGATTGATATCGCCATGGGCCAGCGTGGTATGTACCTGGCCATGTTGAGACATTCTGGCATCCTTGAAAGGATTTCAACCACCACAAATACCATCAACCACCAAGGCAATAGAGATCACCTCTGGAGCGAATGGATTCAGAATGAGGCGAGGAGTCGCCTCATGTATTCTTGGGTTATGGTGGACCAGGATCTGGCCCTCTTCCACGATACAGCACCGCTCTTCTCCGTCACCGAGTTTGGTGCGCCCATGCCCGACGCTGATCGCCTGTGGCAAGCACGAAGTGCTGTAGAGTGGTCGACGATCTTTGAACAGGTGCATGAGTTCTCCGGCGGATACTCTTCGGTCGGTTCAGGTGCTCGGCCATTGTCTCTTCGAGATCTTTTCCGCCACTTCCTCGACGATGAGATGATTCCGCTCGGCATCGAGATGACTCCCCTCCAGATGCGCTTACTGTTACATCCTCTCCAATCGTTGGTCTACCAGCAAAGTCAGCTGCTGAGCTGCTTTTCGGAAGCAAGCCGCAAGAACAATAACGCGGCGCCCAGAACAATCAGTGCGTCTTCCACCAGGACCAGACTTGAGGAGGCGCAATCATTGTTGGGCAGATGGTTCGACCTTGCAGAGCGATATCTCAAGGCCAACCCACTTTGCCCCATGATGCAGACCAACCTCGTCATCTTCCACTTGATCAGCTTGAATGCAGTCACGAACTTCCAAGAAATCGAGCGTCTAGCTCGACGTGAGAGCTTCGATGGTACCTACCAGAACCTCGTTTGGATGCACAAGCGATGCATTCAGGATGTTGAGGAGGCAGTCTACCACTGTGGCCAAGTCTTCCGGTTGATCCGCGCTATGCCTCGTGGTACTCGACCACCATGGTGGGCGGGCGCGATCTATCGAGTCGCCCTCGTCTTGTGGACTGACAGCCTCACGCACAAGGAACAAATATCGCCAAACAGCACTGGCATGTTCCCTGTGCCCGGCCCATCATTTGCAATCGATGCTCTGACTGCTGACCATCCGCTCATCATCCGCTACCTCACCAAGCGTGAAGGTGTGCCGTGTGTGACGAAGCCAGATGGCTCACAGATGAGCCTCGATCGTGCGTACAACGTCCTGCAGCACTGCATCGAAGTCATCGACGAAGGCGCTGCGAACCGCTTCTCCGACGGAATTCGGTCCAAGCTTGAACGTCTAGCGAGAGGCTGAAGGACTTTTCTTCCCCGTAAGGACGCTGCATGGCGGCGTCGTAATGCCTAATCATAGTTTCAAGAGTTTGCGATGGTCCGTCCTCCGGCCAGCGTTAGCACTCTCACCGCACGCGCAAGTACAGCGCAACCCTCAGGATCATCCTCTGACCAGTGGTGACACATCCTGTCCTTACCATGTAGCTTCATCCCGAATGGCCTGGCCGGACGCGATGGCTTGTCCTGTTGACGAGAACACGACTCTCATAATAATGTCTTGTGCGAACGGCGCAATTGTTTGATTTTGATACCACAGTGAAGTTTTGCTTGCGAGCGGGCGAGGTGTTACTCTTGGATGTACTTCGGGTGGTCTCCAGAGTTGGTCGGGATCTGTGGTACAGATTTCCAGGCCCACGTGGTTGACTTAGAGAGATCGAGTGCAGGTCATGAAGGTGCGCAAGGAAGCGTCACGGGCGCTTTTTTTACACGTTGCGTATAATGTTTGAATGCAGAGAGAGAGGGAGAGAGAGGGAGAGAGAGAGAGAGAGAGAGAGAGATGAAAAAATCCGGCGTCGCGGACACGCGTACTTTGCTGCTATACATTCCAACTTTTCGAACTCATGGTCCCAGTTCTATTCTTTGTTCTTGCATCTGTGCTTCTCCGACACTACTGCACTCACTAGACTCGTGCTGCACTGCGCATCGCGGTTCTCCTCACTACACTACGACTTTCCAAGAGACTAACTACCGCGAGAAACTTGGTCGTACCCCATAGTTATTCTTCACTACGGACTTCTCCTGCGTCGGCAAATATGCTGGCCTGAAACGGAAATGAATCGACACGAACACGCATGTTCGAGCGGCTCTCCAGAATCTTTGCCGGATAAATAACTTGAGCTTGAGGCTCAGGTCAAGTTGTGCCGGGATTTGTGATCGGACCAATACATACTGATCGATGCTCGTATGTTGATGAATAGCCAACCACATCCAGGCACAGGTACAGGCACACGGGGAATTCTCCAGCGGCTTGTGCCTTGCAGAGAACACATGTTCGGAGAGCTCACTCACTGGTTGGCGTTGCTTCTTCTGCCTTTCATGATCGATAGCTCTCTTGGTGCGAAACGTGGTGGTACTCTGGCTTGCTTTCCGGTGCTTGTTAAGTCCCGAGACCTTCTGCGAAAAAGCTTGATGTGAAAGTGAAGAGGCTCTGTTATGATGTCTCTCTCGATCTGTCGTGGGCAAGGTCCGAGAGTGCGTGGAGTATTCTATGTAGATATGAGAAGAAGATCGTCTTGCTTGGATTCTTCCATCGAGCATGCAGACACACCAACAGCATTGCAAGTGTCATCAAGCACAGGTACAAGAGCGAACGGAGAATGGAAGTGGAGAGTCCGTGGACGAATTGCGCCAAGCGCGAGCGAAAGGCCGATTGCCGACGTGCGGCTGTTCCTGCAGGCGAGCGTCTATTCTAAATTCAGAAACACTCCCGCGTCTCTGCCGCCGCCGCCGCCGCCGCTCACCTTCGCTCTCTCGCTCTCTCGCTCTCTCGCTCTTCGCTCTTCACCACCGTGCCGAAGCTCATTCTTCTGCCACACAAGGCGTGCCATCTTCGCCAGCGACAATGCACGAAGCAGGACCTCTGTGGAGCCGGGTGCTAGTCCCCGGAAAGCCATGCATCTACAAATCTTCCCTTCTTCCTCCATCGTCTGGAAAGAATGTCCTCTTCCACCTCTGAACATCGACTCTCTCTCGACCCTCTCGGTGCGATCTCTAAATACAACTCCTTGAAAGCACATTTCCTCAGCCCCTCAATCCCAACAGTCATGTCTGCTCCTCCGGCCGTCGAAACCTCCCGCCTCGATGGCAAGGTCGCCCTCGTCACGGGCTCCGGCCGTGGTATCGGTGCCGCAATGGCCACTGAGCTCGCCCGCCGCGGTGCCAAGGTCGTTGTCAACTACGCCAACTCCGCCGACGCAGCCAACAAAGTCGTCGACTCGATCAAGAAGAATGGCGGCGACGCGATCGCCCTCAAGGCCGATGTTGGCGATGTTGCACAGACTACCCGCCTCATGGACCAAGCTGTCGAGCACTTCGGCCAGCTCGACATCGTCTGCTCAAACTCTGGCGTCGTGTCTTTTGGTCACTTGAAGGATGTCACTGAGGAGGAATATGACCGCGTCATGCGCATCAACACCCGCGGACAGTTTTTCGTTGCCCGTGAGGCATACAAGCACTTGTCCATTGGTGGCCGAATCATCCTCATGGGCTCCATCACCGGTCAGGCCAAAGGTGTACCGAAGCACGCTGTCTACTCTGGCTCCAAGGGTGCCATTGAGACTTTTGTCCGCTGCATGGCCATCGACTGCGGCGACAAGAAGATCACTGTCAACTGCGTTGCTCCAGGTGGTATCAAGACGGATATGTACCACGCTGTGTGCCGCGAGTACATTCCAAACGGCGAGACCCTTACTGATGACCAGGTTGACGAGGTATGTTTTAACAGCATCACCCACAATCAATAATCATCAACTGACTTATCCTCCACAGTATGCTAAGACTTGGTCACCAATGGCCCGTGTCGGCCAGCCAATCGATATCGCCCGCGTCGTATGCTTCCTCGCGTCCCAAGACGGTGAATGGGTCAACGGCAAGGTCATTGGCATCGACGGTGCCGCCTGCATGTAAACAGCTCATGCTTGCAATTTGATGTTGATACTTTTTGATCTTTAGCGAAAGAATCCTCTCTACGAAGAGTTGCATGGGATGAATGGAATGGAATGGCGCAATGAGAACGGATCCCCATATATTGAGCAATGGGAGGCAAAAGAATGCATACAGGTATAGATGCCAGGTTTTTGATGCAGACTTATATTGTCGACGAAGCCATCTGTCGATGCTTTGAGCTTTACCTCTCATCGCGCTTTCACGACTTCGGAACATAATCTACACCTCCAACAAAGATCATCGAGTAGTCTGTGTGTGACGGTTCGACTTCGCAATGCCACGATGAATATGCACCTGCCGGAAAGGATTTAGAAACCACTGTGTAGCACAAAATTGGCATGAGGTAGATGCTTTCATCTGCTCTAGGTAAAAGCTACATAGCGTGTCGACTACTGAGAATGGAGCTACGACATCAACGATCATGACCTTGGCAATCAACAATCCAATCCAGCCCTCTTTCCCGATATCAGTAGGCGGAAGGCCATGCATGCTCCTCAACGAATTGTTATCACTCCAACTTCCTATCCCGCAAAGACACGCGGGAGAAAAGGAATCAGAATGTAGCTCGAAAAAGGAAAATAAGAAGATAGGATCGGCACTTTGAGCCATACATCACATGCTCCTTCAGCATAAGGTACCCGCAACATCCATCCATATACATAACACAGTGACATATGGACATCTATTTCATTAGTCGAAGCAAAGGTGGCTATCGAATTTCACTTGTTCGATAGCAGATTGATACTGTTGTCGTCTAGGTAAGGCATTTCGATTCGTTGCCTTGTCAACTGGGACGATAAAGGAGGCCTGATTGTTGCAATGATCTGTGCACTCATTACCCAAGCCAAGCCAGTAGCATCGTATCGCGCGCGTGCTCCGACACCTGACTCCAGTATCAACGACACTCATCAATGCCCGTATTCCCATCGTCTCTACTTGCTAATCGGCAACCTCGAAATGTCGTTGCAAATTGATAGTCAGCCGTTTAGACGATTTTCCTGTTGAGGAGTCATGACGTGCTCGCTGCTTGATCTGTAAGACATCAATATGTATCCCGCACATGGTGATCTCATGCTGCTGCTGCAGCCAATATATGCAATGTCCAGAGCCGTTTGCATTCGGAGGAATCTCGTGTATGCATGAGCGGCTCCTCGGTTCCTGGTGGTCCCTGTGACAATCTAAACTGTTGTGAAACCATTACTTCTCGTGCATGTACCAGAGATTATTCCGCAAAATGCTCCGAGAAGATCGACGCTAGACATGCAAATGCATCGGAAACTGCTGTGGCTTGTGTTGCGAGATTTGCATGGACCGGAAGGTTTCAGGTTGAGAACGCGGTGGATTGGTTATGATTATCGATGGTTGTCGTCATGACTCGGCGCTTGTCTTGCTCTTCGGAAGCACGTTCTCCTTGCATATTCGTATCTTGGTAGAAACTTGTGCCAGTTGCATGGGCAATGGTATTGCAACCAAGATTTCGGTGACCTTGCATCGCTTGGGGTAAATTGTGGCTGTTGATGAGTCCCCACTGCAAATATGGGACTTCTTCTTGTGCATAGAACAGGATTTAGTCCGAGACAGTGTTTGACGCTGCTGAATTGAACGTCGCGTGAGAGATGCACCACTTTGGCTCGAGCATGTCGGTCATGGGAAACGATACCCCTGCTTAGTCTGATTGAAGATGACGAGTGCACGAAATGCGGAACAGTTGATGGTGAGCGTAGAGATACAAGCAAGGCGTACTCTGTCCGAATGTTCCGAGGCCAAGGCTTGACCGATGATTCCTAGAGATGCACTGGAGAAGACTAGGTCAGATCCTTATCGTTCTGCGTTCTCACAACAGTCATGCTGCGGTCGCTCCATGTTGTGCTTCAGACATAGCTTCAGATGACACGACCTTCCGCACATCGTTGCCTTGCGCTGTGCTATGTAGAATCAAGGGTTCACGCGATACACCGGCCAAGAACCGGGAAGTCGTTAGACGGTGTGCTTGGATGCGTGCCTCATGATTCTGTGTCCTCGCTCGAGATCTGCAGACTGTCGTCCACCTTGGTCTTGGTTCTGTCTGGTTTGTTCTAGGCTTCATTCTCTAGACACAGTTTGGTGAGCTGGCCACACTGCCACCCCACGCAGCATCTTTGCTTATTCAGATAGCTCAACTCGTAAGAGTCTGGCCTGTTTGAGAACATGCTATGAACTGCCATTCTCCCGTATGCTGTGTTCAGTCAACTGAGCTTAACTTAAGGTCTTTCAATCAGATGTTTACTCCAGCATTCGAGCAAGCAAATTTTCACTGGAAATGGATGCCGGGTCAGCTTAAGTAGTAGGGAGTAGTCCGGGCCAAAATGGAGGCCAGTCCTGTCCCCCTTTCGCCAGGCCTGAGTGTTTTACAGTCCAGATCATTGTTGAATCCGAGACTCAGATCTTGACAGCCTCAGAAGATGCCCTCAGTATGCACACCATGGATCGGGAGATAAGAGTCTACTTAGACTTCAACAGGTCAATCCGTGCAGTAGATCGTCAAATGCTCCCAACTTCTTGGTATTCAGCTTCCTTCGCTTCGCAGGTGGTTCAGGTACAGGCATAGTCTTGGATTTGGATGCTCGCTCCTGGTCTCTCAGGAAACACAACACCCGGCTAGCAAATGCTGTCGAGTCCAATGAGACCGACGAATAGCTCTCGCTGACGCAGTACGGGACGATATCGACGTTGAGCATCGGGCGATTGATCTCGGAAGTTTGAGCGCGTCGGTGCTCCAGAAAAGTGCGCACAACGGTGGGCCACGAAGGCCTTTTTGAGTCGTGAGAGCGTTGGAAGGTCGTGTAATAGTAAGACAATCCTGCTACATCATGTTCCTCATCAAGATGCCAGCCCAACCCCTGTATTTGGGACATCAGTGTTTTGCGCTTCGGGAAGTTGCAGTCGCGTGCGCAGAATAAATTCAGAGCCGGGAAGTTATTCAAGTACTGCAAGGTGTTGAGGGTGACGTCTCGCGGGTTGTCGACGAAGAGGGTTTCCAATTGGGACAGTGCGCCGTAATCCTTTGCTTCAATCGCCAATGCTCTCAATATCCTGCCAGAGAATGTGGTTTCGTGCGTTTGGGACGGTGGTCTGTTGGATCGAATGTATAGGTTCTGCAGACCATCCAGTTTGGCCAGGCCCATGAGCTGAGCAATGTCGTATGGCGAATCGCAGAGCGTCAGAGTCGTCATCCAGCTGGATTGACTGCGTAGTGGCGCCTTTCCCGCAAGGCCAAGCAAACGCCGGCTGCACTGGACGCAGGAAATGCTGAAGGTCTTGACAAACTGGCGGCCAAAATAGCCAGTCTTGGCGAAGAGCTGCCACGCGTGTAGTGAGTCTGCGCCCCTGGAGGAGATGAGATATATCCAAATATATCGGTGAAGCTGACTTACGCCCGCGCGACAGCTGTCCATAGGTTTTCTACGATATGCTCCGGCAAGCACCGAAGTGCTGCTGCCTCCAGGCTACTCAAGTGATTCAGAAGCGTGTGGATTGCAGTCTTCGCAAGACTGCTTGTGCCATAATCGGGTCTGCTCTGCTGGCGCCGCTTCGCATAAAGACTATGATGCTCCACATCATGTCGGCATCCCGGAAGGCGTATTGTTGCCTCCTTGAAGACCAGCCCGCTGTCCTTGTCGAATGGCATGCTAATCGAGGTGGGAGAGGTGTGTGAACATCACGTATCGCTGACGCGGATGTGGTTGATCCCGGATGTGCTTCAGGCCACGAAATGTGTGAAGTGTTCTTGTGTTTTGAAGTCGACGCGGCTGGCAGATCGAGACGCGAAATAGGCTTCTCGCTTATCGTGGACCCTGGACAAAACGCCGATGGCCGAGGGCCGACACGCCGACCTTGCTGAGCAAGAATGCGATCATTTGATCTCACAACGTGTGTTGCTACTGTCGACCTCACGACTTTACTCCAATATCTGGTACAATGTGCCACTGTACATGTCTCTCGGCCTTTCCTAATGGTTATCAAAAGATCTAGCCTCCTCGCCGCCAACCACCTCCAATCGTTTCATGCATCTTTGAGCGCTTCCCAGTCGTCTACGTCACCAAGCTGTCGACATCGAGGCACACAAGGCACACGACCATCACAATGTTTCCAATACGGATACGCGACCATCGCCGGTGACAGTAGTGATAAGGGTCACAGTGACCCAGCGGAGAAAGCAGAGCCAGAGCCAGCACACGTATGGCCTGAGCCACATAAAGGGCAGAATAGTCCCACTCCATACCAGATATTCGATCTTAAGCATGATGGAGAATATCGCAAAGCGCATTACTACAAACTAGTCAAGCTATACCATCCAGACTTGCACGGTAATGGCAAGTCGAAAGATGACCCCGCACATCAACTCAAGATGGAGCGGTATCGTCTCATAGTGGCTGCGCACAACATTCTCTCGGATCCTACCAAACGCAGCGCATACGATCGATTCGGTTCGGGCTGGAATGGCAAGGCAGAAGTTGGGAGCAGAGATACTTGGGGAACACCCTCCCCAGCCGGGCCATTCAGCCAGAGTTGGCGTGATCCCAATGACCCGGTCTGGCAGAACGCCACCTGGGAGGACTGGGAGAGGTGGCGGCAACACAGGGACTCAGGCGGTAAGACAAAGACGCCGCCTGTATACATGGCCAATTCGTACTTTCTGGCAGCAATTGTCGCTCTAGCAATCATCGGCAGCTCGCTAAATGGCAAGCGGGCATCAGAAGCGGGCAGCTATTTGGTAGAGCAGAGAGACATCGTACATGACAGAGCTGCTAAGGAACTGCGAAAAGTCAGGCAGGAAGCAAATGGCATGACGAATAGACAAGATCGGATAGACTTCTTCGTTCGGCAGCGGGAAGCCACCCAGGACACAAGAGGCTATCAGGATTTACAGGAGGAGAAAGCGAGTCGAGTATTAAAGGATCGGGAGATTTGTGCGAGCGACAACATCAGTGAAAGTTGAACGAGTTAGTTGGCAGATCAACTCGTCCTTCATTCGATGTTCCTAAGAAAACGGAGCATCTCAAACACATGATCCGACCTCGCATGTAGCACGGGACCAGCAAAGAGCACCGTGGCCAATCCGGCACATCTTTGGCGCTCCTCTCCTCTGCACACTCGATATTCGAAGCATCTCCTTACCAGGAGCGCGACTTGTCACCTGTGTCTGCTTTCTGCAAAGTCAGAGATCTCGGGCAACAAACGCCTGGATATGTAATTAGCTGCATGTGGTCCGGACACAACCAAACGCTACGCTGCAAGCCAATTGAGCCTGCCTTCCACAATGTCACAGCTCGAGCAAATCTCTTACGTTCATCGTTGCTGATTCCACTTCCGCCAAGCTCGAAGTAGGCCCACCATCATGCTGGACAAGACCTGGTGGCATCTCCAAAGCCATCACATGACCCCAAAAGTCACAAATAGATTCAATCGCCAAGCCATCACTGACCCAGCCCAAAGTATCTGGACACTCTGCAATTCCTTGTGCTCGAATTACTGCATTCATGTTCTGGCCAGTAACACCCTTCACGAACTTGAAGTATGGCATCTCAGGTAGCGGACTTGCCAGATACCCGCGAGGAGATAAGAGGTTATCTCAACCGCGAAAGACGCTCGTCTTTGGTGGCTCCCTAAGGAAGTTCTCGACACCATCTTCGAGCTACATTTCGCGCAGCCAGGAATCTGTGACTACAATTGGTTGCACACCTCAACAAGCTGCTGCACATGTTTACAGCTTTGCAATCAAGAAGCGATGCTATTCAGACCGCAATCACTTTTGGGGCGCCGGCAGCTGGGCCAACAAGTTTCCCGACCAGCGAACGGAAACCGTTCGCTGGTGTCGCGTCTCGCTCCATTCCTGGCCGAAGACTGGACACCAGACCTTCCTCTGCCTCAATAAAATTGTGAGCACTTTGATGACACTCGCCTGAAGCCGATGACTTGGGCGTTGTTCAAAGATGTCCGCTTCGACATCAGTGGGCACTTACTTGGGGAGCGTGTAGAATTCCTTCCCAACCCCAAATGGGTCATCGATGTTGGATTCCAGGTTCCTTTCCGCGCCTGCCCAAACCTGGTCCGCATCGAGGTCGACGGCAGTGATGAGCTGCTGGCATGGGAGCATTTGCACTGGTTTCCCTGAGAGGATGCAGCTGCTTACAGTTATATATGCCGACGAACATGAGAAAGATCGTCCCGCGCCGGAGACAATATTTGATAGTCTCTCTCTTTGATCATCTTCAGGCCAACATCAATTCCTTCCTCGCGTCGTCTGCTAAGCCAGCTTGCCGGAGCCCAGTATACATGTAGTAACACCGGCGAGTTGACTGTTATAGGAAAGAAGAATTTGGTTGAAGCGAAGGTCTTAAATGCTTACTTCGAAGGTGCACATGACTTGGACAGTCACTTGCTCGAGGCGATATAGAAGGTCTCAGGTGGCTCACCTCACCTCAACTTTTGAGACTCTGTAAGGAAGCGAAGACTCCGCAGCTGGACTTGCGAGCAGGTGAGTTGGTAATTTTCATCAATCAATATTAGCAGTCAACACAGCCGCTACCGCCAGGCCGGCGCCCAGTTCGGGGACACCGTTGAGCTGACAGTTATAGAAAGAAAGCGGTAATTGTTTGCAAAGTCAATCTTTTATAGTCCCCGCAATAAATACGTGTGACTCATGTATTCACATGCTCCTCAAGTATGTGCGTAGTCATTCAATTCATCTCGAATGAGAAGCAATTTTGCATGCTCACCTGCCAGTTCCATTTGGCCTGGCTCGAGAGCTTGGTCGTTACCATCTGGCGCTGAGGAAAGCGTGCTTGCTGTGTCCGAATGGCGGGCGAGGAAAGCCGCCGTGTCTGCGAAGTTGCGTTAAGACCAAGATTGTGAGAATATCCAGTCACATATAAAGCTGCTAAAAGCAGTCGTGCTTCACCCAAGATGTCGTCCAAGGACCAGGAAGAAAAGCATTCCCTTTAGAAGTATCGAGCCTTGGAGCTCGTCAATGCTGCGATCGGAACACATAGAGCGCCATTGCCCCTTAGAATATGATGAGATCTCTTAGTTCCTATTTGCAGGTTCTTTGAAGACCCGATGGATCCCAGGTCGCAGTCAGTATTGGGTATCTGCATCATGATTTAAGAGATTTTGCGTGCCCTCAATCTATAACTTATGCATTCTGGGTAAACTTTAGTGAACAGAAGTTGGCGGCAAGAAAGGGGCTCTTGCCATGTTGGATCGAGTGCGAAGAACTGGCTTTTGTGTTTTTAAAAAGACGCACAGAGGGAATTTTTTTGCTCGTGTTACACGCAGACAGGCATTGCCTATTAGAGTGCTCACTTCTCCGCTCCACAAGTTTTGCGAAGAGTGTGCACTCTTGCTGGCAGCCAGAGCTCGCTATTAACATCAAGGCCAGGAACGGTCTTTGCATGCTCACTCACCAAGCTCGCCCGCCTTGGACGGGCGTCCGCAAGCGATGAGTGGGTGGCGCAGATGAAAGTACTGTGGCTGTATCGAGACTATGATTTACGGGCATCATTTGTACGTGGTGGATGGTCGTTTACTTCGTTCTGTTACATGCAGGCCAGATCGTTTTACTCATCTTCTTCAGGCCTATCACATTGACATGGCTCTTCTATCGCTGAAAGCAGAAGCATGTGTATCTGCCATCTCGGGTCGAGGGTCGGCTTGGGTCAAAAGAGCTGCTGAATAGGATGGGTAAAGTTGGCCTCAAACTCCCCTATGTTAGTGCTTCAGCCACTATGCCACTGTGCTGCGCTTGAAATCTCGATCCTAATTCCTGGTTTACATTGGAGAGCGGAGTTGGCTTACTTGATCGTGCGAGGTTGCCAGAATCATGCTTTACTTCACCTGGCGTGGCGCTCCGTTTATCGCTGTCCGGCAGCGCTACTGTCCTCTCAACCAGTTCATCCAGTCCCGAATGTGAACGAAGAGCACTCTGTGTAGCCTCACACGACCGTCGCCGACGACGGCAGACTGGCGGGGCCCAAGGGACCGGCCAGTGAAGACAAGCCAGATGATGGCGCGTTGTCAAGTTCAAGAATGAGATGGACCTTCTTTTATAGTAGAAGTTCCGCACGGTCCAGGTTTGCTGCGAGGTGCATGTGAGTGAACTCGGCCCGAGGGCTTGTGACAAGTACTGAGACAGTGCGCGTGAGGATTTTCACATGCGCAGATCAGTTTGTCAATGATCCAGGATTGCACGGAATATCCGTGACTCGCGGAGATGAACGTTGCTCTGAACTCGCAGCTTCGTCGGCTTCGATGGCTCTGTCACACTCCTCGCATTGCAGGCATACTTTCGACCATTCAGGAATGGCATGTTGACGCTCGTGGAAGCAATGATTATACCTGTTGTGGCGAACATCACTACAGAAGAGCAGTGTCGCATCAAGGAACCAGCCACCTGTGCTCCAGCAAGGCCACCAGCATTTCGACCGTAGCATGAAAAGACGAGGTAAGATCAGAGGGCGTTGCCAAATGGTATTCCATGCATGGACGATGTGTGATGAGGATGGAATGAGAAAGGTGGGATGGCCTGTGCTTCAGCTTCACCTCACGACTTTGAACGCTCTAGCAAATCCTAGACCACATATCAGAACCATCACAATGGAGTTCATTGCAAGATCAAGCCTGCGAGCCACTCGCTCGCATTTACTCCGCGAAGCAGCAAGACGAGGTGCACCATCATTTTCGAGCTCACCACCATTTCCGCCCACACATAACGCCATGCCCGAGCGACCGCCAAAGTCGGCGCTGCCGATGCCTTTCGTGACAGAGACAGTGGTATGAAGAATACTTGATGATCGAAGAGCCTGGGCTGATGATATAAGGGCGGCGGTTGGCACACATGTAGGAAGAGCCTGACTTCAACATGAACATCACACTAATGAAATCAGACGACATCTTCTCTCGCTTGCTCAAGGAGCGCATTGTCTGTCTCAATGGCGAGGTTGAAGAGACCACATCCGCCTCCATCGTTGCTCAACTCCTCTTCCTCGAAGCCGACAACCCTCAAAAGCCCATCAATCTCTACATCAACTCTCCTGGCGGCAGTGTCACAGCTGGCCTTGCAATCTACGACACAATGCAGTACATTCAATCGCCCGTCACGACGATATGCCTCGGGCAAGCCGCGTCGATGGGCTCATTACTTCTTTGTGGAGGCGCGGCGGGGCAGAGGTACTGTCTACCACATAGCAGGATTATGGTGCATCAGGTCAGCGGAGGATATCATGGACAAGCCAGCGATATCGCGATCCATGCGAAAGAGATTCTCAGGGTGAGAGAGCAATTGAATATGATCTACAAGAGGCACTTGACTGTGGAACGGAGCTTAGAAGAGATCGCGAAGGTCATGGAGAGGGACTTCTTCATGGGCGCTGAAGAGGCGCGAGACTGGGGCATTGTGGACAAGGTGCTGGATAGGAGATCGCAGGCCGAGGGAAAATAGAAGACATCATGAACTGGCAACAATCCCTTCTCAGGATGGCCACGCGCATAACGCCCCTGATCGCGGACTGCAGTACGACGAATGGCCGAAGCATTCTGCTGGCGATTGGAAATTTGTTGAAAGTGAGTGGTCAGCAGTCGCTGTTCATCGAGGCTGTTTGTTCTAATACTCTGATACCCATAGCGAAAGTGTCAGATATCTCCCTCTCATCCATACTGGCTTTCACTGCAGGCTTGTGGTCGATAAATGATTAGTCCAGGCAAAAAGACACTGAAGAAGGCCACAGTCGAACTCGTATCGCTCTTTGAGGCCCCATCCTCGTTGAACTTGATTTTTGGTGACAGCGATGTTCAATTTCTCGCATTGTGCCAACAAGAGCGAATTTGATGGACTCATGACACCAGCTCATGCTGAACTTTTAACTTGATTTTGCACACATTCCTGCTGATGCACCGCCAGGTGGACCAGATCAAGAGCATTCTACCATTGAACTACTTCCCCCGAACGGCAATTGGCTTTCTGGAAATTTGTTTGATGGAAGTAGCTCAACTCTACAGCTGATAGTGACGCTGTTGACTTCGGACGCGAGCTCGTTTTCACATGCACAGTCCCGCGCTAGCGTCAACGCTCGACCCACTTTGACGCAAGACTTCAAACAGCATCACCATCAACAAAGTATGAATCTTACACTCCTCAATTCTGCACGGGAAGCAGCAGCTGTGGATATGGAGTCGAGCACGAGTTCTGATAGCGCAGTCATGATCCGAGACATTCCACCAGAAAAGAAGAGCCACGACATGTCAGCAAAAATCACCTTCTTCGGCCTCACTCTCGCCATCCGAAAGAAGATATACACCTTTGCCAACATAGTCGATACCACTCACCAGCTTCGCGTATGCTATGGCAAACACAAAGACCGTCTCCAATGCTCCATCCCAGCCACCTTCGCAACGCTCACAAAAGTCAACAAACAGATCCGCGCCGAAGTTTCGAAGCTCTTCTTCAGAAAGAACGAATTCTTCATCTTCGACTGCAAACACGAGCTCATCACCCGACCAGACTGCGTATGTCCTATAATTTTGCCTCAAATGCGTAGATTCAGTCTGGAGGTTCACTACTACGTTCGCGCGAAGGTCTGGAAAGAACATGGGGTCTGGAAGGCTAAGTTGGTGATTCCAAGAAGCGTTAAGGAGGAGTGGCTTGTCAATACTGGAAGAGAGTTTCGTCCGAATCGGGAGCTGGAGATGTATACGTGTGAGGGCGAGAAGGCATTGGAGATGTTTAGGTATCAGGTGGCGAGGGAGGATGGATGGACAGAACATGCGTTTGAGAAGTTGTTGAAAGATATGGATGAGATTGATCGGTGGGTTGATCAGGAGTGTTGGTATCACAATTGAGTGGAGATACTCGGAGATGCGAAGCAGCCGAGTCCAGTGTCGGCACGAAGGACTGAAGTCGGGTGAGGAGCGGGATTTCAGGGAGGCATTGAAGGCCCTGCTAGAGCCGGCGAGCGGCAGATAGCATGATTATGCTTCATAGGGATGAGCGCAGAGACACGTGCGATGTTCGTTCTGAGAGTCGATCGATGGGGATTTTCATTCCACACTCCGATCACCTTGGACAAATGAGAGACAGGTTCATCACCGAACCTCACAACTCACAGCTCACACCGAAAACCTCTCTTCAAAGTCCATTCCCATCTCCCCGACCGGCTGAACAAAAGTATAACTCCTCCCCTTCTCCCAAAACTCCTGCACACCAGTAACAAGATACAACGGCGTCATCTGTCTATCCTCACTAAAAAACAACCAAGGTCTCTCCCTCCGCTTAAACGTGAAAATCGTATCATCATCGAATTCCACAATCGATGTGAAAGCCACCTACTTAGGGAAATGCTATTGACCCTCTAAACTTCTGGAGAATAGATGTGTGCCGACACGTGGCCACTGTCGTTTATTGTGTTCAGAGAGGTCGATCATATAGTGGCATAAGATATGAAAGTTTCCACGTTTATCCCTCCACAAGAATGGATCTTCGGTCCATATGGGACTGTACTCGGAAGTATTCTAAGAAGCGTCTTGCGTCTTTACGAGCTTGAAATCGTCGTGCCAGGTCTCAGCGATGAAGATGGCGTTGTCTTCGACTGCCATTGCAATTTTCTGGGTTTGGTTCTGTGGAGTCCAGAGTGGTATAGGACTCGGATTCGTTGATTGGGGATCTATAGAATCCAACGCGAGTTTGAAAGGTGTCCAAGTGCCATTAATCAGATTATCGGATGTCGTGACTGAAATTTTGTTCGGCATCTCTGCCCTGGGAATACTTGCACAACTTTTACTCGGAGCCACGTAATCTGTTCCTATCGTCCACAACAACCATTTACGATCGGTTTCGCTCCAAGTTACGCGACTATTATGTCGAAAAGTCTTAGTTACTTTCTCAGCGAAGTGGTACGGTCCTTGAGGTCCGGTTCTTGATTCCGCTCGCACGACGAACGAACTCGGGCGCCAGTTAGATAAGCTACAGCCATGATCGAATTAGTCTGCGAAGAGATGGAATAGGGAGCGATCATTGGGGTCATGGATGATCTGCCCGCCCCAAGAGGAGTTGCCGAAAGGGCCATAGTGGGTGGGATTGCTGTCGTCGATTTGGATGTGATTGTAGCCTGTGCCCCGACGTGCGGGTCTCAGATCTAGAACTCCGCAACTTGCCCCAATCCATCCAGGATCGCATTGGCAGAATGAGCTCTGGAAGAATGGTAGCCAATATGTCCTTGGGCTTGGAGAACAGATGCCGTTCAAACTGCAATCTTCGTCAGTTGTGCAGGCTGTGATTGAGCGGGCTAGGGTTATGAGGAATATGTAACTAAGTCTATGAACGAGCATTTTGAGGATGAGATATCGTTGGGAATAGCATAGCAGAGTTGTGCGTAGACTTTACCTGTTGCGTTGAACCTTGAAGCCTGCTTTCGGTGAAAGCGGCCCCGAGGTACCTAGTACCAGATACCCACGATCATGTTAGCCAGGTTGAAATTGCGTAGGTACGGCACTTGGCATGGCCCGTATATGTCCAGCGAGCGCCATTCAAATCCTATTTCCGACTCTGAAGTTTAGTCTGATCATAAATCATGAGACCATCAAATCATACCAATCATAATTTTGCCCTCATATATCCAGGCTTACTCGATTCATCCTCATCCACACCTTTAACTGCTGCAGGCTTAGCGCCGATATCCACCCTCAACTCGCCTCCCACAATATCAATCTCCTGGCAATCCTCCAAACCGACTCCGTTCGCATACTGCATAACCACAAATTCGATCTCCTTTTCTCCCAGCACCACCATCGGCGCGTGCCATGTCCCGGGTCCGTAGGTTACAGCCTGATCACCTCTCACGACGAACGCCCTCAAATTCTCCAAATCAGGCTCGCCGCTCCCTTTCGGCCTCCTCCACCTATCCACTCCCCTTTCCGATACAGCAGGCGTTGTCGAACTCGAATAATCATTCGTAAAAGGATTAGGTCTCGCACCCAATAACCTCTCTTTCAAACTCTTCTTCCTCCTGATATCTTGCGTAGGATAAGGCTTATCCCTACTCCCTCTTCCCCTTCCTGAAGGCAAAGTCGGAGCAACAATGACAAGATACTTAGTATTCTCATCATTCTTTCCCACACCCATAGGAACAAAAGTCTGGCTTGTAAACGGATGTCTCTCCAAAATCTTCACATCAAAGTATTTCCCATCTTTTAGCGTTCTTGATTTAGAAACAAACATGTTCACAACCACCTTCGCACTTTTACCACTCGCCGCTCTATCATAATAATTCTCAAGATAGGTAGCGTCGATCCACTTGGTCGCAGTCCCTTGATTCGCGACAGAGAATTCTAACCTCCATTGCCCGTTATCGTCGAGATCGGTTTGAGAATGCGTGGAAGGGTTTTGAATTACTGTTCCGAATTCTGAGAAGTTATTTGGTGTGATCGAATTTGAAGCGAGGATGGTTTGGTTCGAGGAATGTTTCTGTGCGCGAACCGCCATTTATGTAGCCGTCGCCGGGTTTTCGGATGAAGGCGTCGCTGAGGGAAGATTTGATTTTGGACCAAGTTGAGGTCTTTGCTGGAGTAGGAGTGGTTTCGGATGGCATTGCGAGAGATGGGAACTGGAGATGTTTCTGGAGGTGGAGTAAGCGGGGCAGACTGGGAGCTTTGATAAATATTAATTGCGGGATTGATTAAGCGTAAAATGAAGTCATGTCAGCTTTTGTCAGCACGCGTCGCGTGTTTGTCACGATCACTCAACATCTTCGCGATTACTGTACAGATGTCTTTTCCTCCGCGATGACGATGATGGCAGCGGTGACCATGGATTCCGAGAATAATGCGCCTTCGTCAACGCCTACGCGCGCAATCTTCAGCAGCGATGGCATTGCGAGACGCGAAGGAACACCACCCAGCAGTCCACCGTGTTTTCCCTGGGAGCTGGAGCGAGAAGCAAAATCGACAGAAGTGAACAGTGCGAGATCAGACGCAGCACAGACAACGGCATCGACACTGAGAAGGCCAGTCAGGAATGCATTCTCCATCCTGGGCAAGCGGAAGCCTTTGGAAGCGACCACCGAGAATGCTCGATCGGCTAAGCAAAGGAAGTCTAATGCCAAGGATAAAGATGACGAGAGTCAGATGCAGATGAGCCTCGGGCAGTCTGTGCAGAAGAACTGCTCTACCTGCGGCATGGAGTATACGGCTTCCAGTGCCGAGGACCGCAAGCTGCACGACAAATATCACAAGCAGAACCTGGAAGGTTACGATGTAGGCAAGGAATTCGTGTCCAGAACGAAGCAGTGGAGAAAGCAGTATGGCGTATTTACGGGCGTCAGGGCAGGGGACGCCATCGTATACCTGGACTGTTTTGATCACGGCAAGCGAAAGAATCGAGGGCAGGCCGTGCTCGAGATTGTACAAAGAGAGCTAGGCGCAGTCCCTATACCTGAGCGTCAGATATGGGATCTTAAAGTCGCGCAGTGTGAGTCGATGCTGGACGCACCTTACAAAGCGTACTTGTACATACGGGGAACGAAGTGTGTGGGATTCTTGCTTGTGCAAAAGATTGGCAAGGCGTACAAAGTCATAAAGCCGCCGGTTCTTGAATCAAGAGCTGAGACAACACCAGCTGCCGAGGATAGTACATCGGGGAGAGGCGCGCTTGCAGCACTGAAGGCTCGGAAGCAACGAGAGGCTGCGGCAGAAAAGGCTATTGTGCAAGAAATGAAGGAAGCCGCTCAACATCTTGTTCAGTTCTCGAGCGACGCACATCCTGCTGTGGTGGGCATATCTCGAATATGGACCTCGTCGACAGTGAGAGGACAAGGTATTGCAAAGCGCCTGATCGAGGTCGCTATCAAGAGGCACAACATTATGGCTGTGGACAACGCCAAAGACAAAGCACGATGGGAAGGGGAGGGCCAGGAGACTTTGGCGAGTTTAGCTGGACATATTGAGAAGATCGAGCATAAAGAGCAAGTAGCTTTCTCGCAACCGACCGATGCAGGTGCGAAGCTGGCAAGGAAGTGGTACGGGAGAGCGTATGGATGGAGCGTGTATCTCGAATGAAGAGTCCCTCTGGGAGCGCGGCGATAGGTATCCTTTTGCAGATGAAAATGCTCCAGGGCAGCCCCGACTATCATTTCGCATTGATCACCAAATCGCGAAGCTTCGAATGTGCTCGGGACCCAACCTAGAGTCTTCTCGTGCCCATAGATCAATGTCACGGCCATATCTACCACCTGGCATGTCATCAGAAGCTCCTCCGACAATCATTCTTAACTCAATGGTAGAGCGTATAAGTCGTCAGAGCACTCTGATGCTTCGCTAAAGCAATAAAGCTTGGTCTATAATAGCTCCGCGACTGAGTCATTTCCATCAATCGTTGCTCTGAGTGTGCTGGGATTGTGCCATTGAGCTGAGGGTGATTGTCAGTTTTCTGTCCCTTCTCAGCACACAAGGACTTGAGAATTTGCCGCATCATAAGCACAGCACCTGCAGTGATAACATATGAACAGAAATACGGCAGTGTCCAACACTCTATCTTGGCTCAACGGCAGAGCCTGTGAGTCGTCGGTGCACCTTGACGCAGCGTTGTAGACCTGTTTCCAATTTACCGCGAGTTTGAAGTTCAACTTGAGGACATCGATGCTCTTGAATGCGAATTCCATTGAGCTGAGGGCGATTGTCAATCGTTCTGCTTCGGAATGAGCGCTCAAGAATGTCACGGCGATGAGCGGTGACAATCGATGCTGAATCAAAGGTATTCGAACGCCTTTTGGCATTATCTTGAACTTGAAGCGATTTGTATTCTGCTATCAAGATCCGTTGTCAAACGTGTACGGCGAAACCTTGATAGGCCCCTCGCTCTCCAGTATGTATCCCTCTTCGCATTTCTCAAACGCCACTCTTTGCTGTCCAAAGTAGAAATCGTCAAACTCGGGTGTCATGGCTTCAAGCAAGGACATCACATTACCAGCTGGATGAAGGACTTCCCAGGGATGTGTGCAACCTCTGCCTTTACACGTCTTGAGGACCATAAGTAAAGCGTCAAGGCGAGGAATGAGATGATTCAGAGTGGCCTTGACTCCGGCAGGACTTTGTTCGTCTGCAGACTGATTCGATGATGTGTCGCCCGGACTGCTATTTGTAGCGGTCGTTAGAGGCAAACCGCCAGCATCGCTGTGGTGTGATTGATGCAACCAGGAACAATGCTGAGCTTCTCTTTCCCTCAGAGCGAGCTTCGAAAAGTCAGCCTCGAAGGAGACAAACTTTGTCTCATGATCCATTGGATACAGATTCTCCATCTCATAAGGGTCCTGGACCAGATCGTAAAGCTCATGCTCGCCGCTGCACCAAACTGTGTACAACAGGCTGTAACCAGCAGCGCTGACCCGTAAAGCTTTGTATGTGTGATTTGGATAGAGTACCTGTCCGTGATCGCCTTCGGACATGATGACGCCCCAGCTCTCAACGTTGACGTGTTCAGCGTTGCCATAGCCTTGCTCGCCTGCGGTTTGTAGTGATATGAACTGCCCATCGAAGTCGTCTCTGATCTCACCACCAGCGAGTTTGAGGAACGTCGGAGCCAGATCAGTGTGTGTTGTGACAATATCTGCGGTCACTCCTTTTCCAATGCCTGGACCTCGAACCATGAATGGAATATTGATATCCTCCTCGAATGGACATTGCTTGCCTGGTTGGAGCCGATGCTGGCCAATATGGTATCCATTATCCGTGGAGAAGAAGACATAGGTATCGTCAAGCACCCTCGCATCCTCGAGGCGCTTGAAAAGTTCGCCAACCATCTCGTCAACAGCCTGAAGAGAACGTAGCCTTTGGCGATAAAAGTGATCATTGAACGCAAGATTCGTGTTGTTCTGTTCGGGAAGACGCGATATCCAAGAAACGCCATGAGGATTGGAAGGATTGAAGTGGGGCGTTCTTGGAACAATCACATCTTCAAAGAGATGGGCGTGTCTCTCAGCTGAGACAGGCGGAGACTGGGTGTTCGAGCCTTCGGAGAAATTCCCATCAATAGCGGTATTCATATGCACATTTGAGTGAGGTGCTGTTGGTGCGATGGTCAAGAAGAATGGTTTCCCGCTGGCCTTATATGCATCCAGTCCGTCGGCCAGGAATTCGAAAGACTTATTTGCAAGGACATCGGTACTATATAGACCTTCATAGCTGACAGGTGGGTCGTGATTGCGTTGGAAGGTTGCATTCAGATACTCGTATGTATATGGGTCCAGAAGAAATTCGGACCCAGTCCAACCCGCTGCATGGGGCGAAGCGTAGTTGTCGACGTTCTGAGCATTGAAGAGCTTCCCGACGTAGTAAGTCCCATAGTTGAGCTCTTGTAGCCAGAGAGGCAAGTATGCATCATTGAACCCCTGAGATATGAACTTCGGGTAGCCGCCTATGGGGTTCAGTATCGTTTTGGTTTAGACAAGAGACAAGGGGAAAGTAGCAAGAGGATGCGCGAGAAACCTTACCGTACGGAGGATTGACGTCTGTGACATTTGTGTTGTGTGCTGCCTTGCCTGTCCACAAGCTCACTCGGGACGGACAGCAAAGTGCTACTGTACAGTAGTGTCTGCTAAATGATGTGCCTTGTTCGGTGATGTACTTTTGCAGTTGTGGCATATGTGAGAGGGAATCCATATGAAGATCTTGATCGTCTGTAAGGATGAAGACTATATTCGGCTGTTTCGATGAGGGCTGTATCGGTATCTGCGTGTGCTCTGCTATGGCCGAAATGCCACTGAGCAGGCATAGGCTCAGAGTTTCTACGACATGATGCCAGCATCCTGGCATGGTGGTGGTATGGTATGGATGATGATGAGAAGACACATGTAAAGTGGAGAGGTAGAGATGGCAGCGAAAGCAGAAGGCGTCATCGTGCCAAGACTCTGTGGTGTGCCCGAGGTTGAGCCGTCAACTCCAGGCTTAGTAAGCGCTCAGGCTTAGGTTGTGACACCCTCCCTTTGCCCACCATCCTCTGCCCACCGTCCTACACCCTCCATATCTGATAAAGTCACCCTCAGCTCGCCGTCGACGCGTCATGAGTGCCTTCAAAGTCAATGCCGGTGCCATGAGCCACCCCGATGTTCCGGACCATCTGCAAGAACCTGGCGTCGACCTTCAACTCGTCATCAGTTCCGTCTGAATTGAATTTCTCGTGATAAAGCCGCATGCGAGCGTTCTGGTAGTCACCAAAGGTCGCGTCAAAAGGCAGACATGCTTCTACACATCGACCCGTGGCCGCATCCTGCTCCACGCACTTCAAGGGCGCATCTGCAATTTGATCAGCCGAAAAGCGCAGTCTCGGTACACGGCGATGCCACTCACCTGCGTTGGCATTGACGAAGTATGCCATGCTTTCTCGCGACTTGTCGCCTGGAAGGCTCTCCCACGACAGGCGGTGCTTTGTGCTCTTGAGCAGCCCCGCCGTCCAAAGTGCCAGCCCATCGCCCACATTCACAATAATGCCCTCTTCAACGATAGGTGCTGCCACCCACCTATCATTGTCTGGCGAGAGAACCTCAAGACCTGGCTCCGTTGCGAAGAGTAAAGTGATTGTACCCCAATCAGTGTGCTCACCAAGCCGCGGGAAACTAGCATCAACCGGCTTGTCCACGACTGGATATCGAATCAACCTCAAGACATTTCCCGGCTCCTTCATCGGTGAATGTGCACGCGAGAAGAAGTCAGACTCTAGATTCATGGCAATCGCGAAGGCACTCAACACTCTTTGCGCCACCGTATTGCACTCCGTCCGAAACGTCTCCGCTTGCTGTTTCTTCTCTGCTGTCCACCAGCTGGGAATATTGTCGCACGTTAGATTGGCATTCGCCACAGACCCGAAGCACATGCCTTCAGAGACACCGATAATTGACTCCTTATAGTCATAGCCTTGCTGTTTAATATTCATCCACTTCTCAGCTTTGACATCTTCCGGCTGATCGAAGAAGCTTGAAGTAGTTGCGAGCATGTCGTTGATGACCTGTCCGGGAATACCATGTCCTGTCAGGACTAAAAAGCCCCATCGTTTGGCCGCCGCCAGCAATTTGGCTGATACAATCTTGGCATCGCTGTCGAAGCTGCTGAAGTTGACGACAGGTAGTTCGTCGCCAGGAACATCATCTCGAGTAGCAGAAGGCATGGCTTGTTGGTGATTTCTGTGTAAGAAAAATGTTGCGCGATCACTTATGAAAGCGCAAAATTGTTGTACTGACGCACGGGATGCAGGCGTGAAAATTACACGCGGGTGCGGTGATTTGAAGAAGCGGAGGCGGCTTTCCTTTTGAACGAAGAAACATGCGAAGGTTTATGTCGGCATTCTTCCAGATCAAGCATGTAACACCCAAGAGCTAAGCATGATGGAAAATCAGCACGCAGGCGAAGCTATCGGCCTTATCCGTCTGAGCTGGACCACAGACTTTCGCCGATACCAGTAGTTGATCACTACCGTTCGAATGGGTTACAGTCCTCGCCAAGGCTTTACGAACAGTCTCGCTTGCGATGTACACCCCCAAAGGACTTGCAGCAAGCTTATCATCAAGTCAGACGGAGACTCGGCCGAATGATGTTAGCAAGGCTTTCTCGACCAGGTGAGGTCTATCAAACCAACGGCATGCTCCGATACCGAGCTCTTCATCGACAAGCTTCATCCTGGACAATTGGATACTTCTTTCATCGGCTTCGTGTTTGCAGGATCTGCGTTCGTAAGACTTACAATCTAACACTCTCGAAAACGTACGAAAGCACTTTGTCATCTCTGCTGCTACGCTTCTGCGCAAAGACTGCTATCATGCCACACAGCACTGAATCAGAGCTCGAGATCAAGCCCATTGATCCAGGCCAAGACTCAAATGTCAAGGTATGCTACGTACTTCAGCTTTCACTGTCGTATCCGCTGATCTGTGCAGTTCGGCGCCTTTATCTCAGGTGTCGACCTTAACAACCTTGATGATGCCACATTCCAAGCCATCCGGCAAGCACTTTATGAGAACTCCCTAGTCATCATCAAGAATCAACAAAAGTTGACACCGACGAACCACTTCAACTTCGTGCGCCGCTTCGATCCAGAAGCCGCAGCAGTCCACGGCCATGGATCTGTAGACAGAATGAAGGAAGCCCGCAAAGACGGCGGCAAGTCGCTCTTGGCCTTGGGCTCGGTCCACGGCATCCCCGAAGCTCCCGGCGTGCGAATGATAGGAGCCGGCTATCAAGGCGATGATCACTACGGCCTCAAAGGAGTCACAATGGACCCAACCAGCATCCTCAAGACACAAGTCGATCCACCCACACCCGAAGAAATTTCGGCAGGAGTCACCAGATTCGGAAGATGGCACATCGATTGTGCAATGTATGATCTCGAACCTCCGAAAGTGACAGCCCTTCGCTGCGTCAAACTTCCCGATCAAGGCTTGAAGCAAACCGTGGTCTGGGACGATGGTTCAGGCGCAAAACTGGAAAACGTCCGACCTGGTCGAACAGCGTATTTCTCCTGTGAACAGCTATACGAAATGCTGACTCCCGAAGAAAAAGCCATCTCGGAGAATAGTTATGTCACATACTCTCCACATCCGTATCAATGGATATCCCGATGTAAGCAGGATCCCATCGGAATCACGATTGCACAGGGACAAGGTTTGGAGTTGAAGGACGAGGAGTTACCACCGGTAGATGAAAAGAAAGTGAAGAAGTATCCTATGGTGTGGCATAACGAAGTCACCGGGAAAAAGGCTTTTATGGTACATTCGATCATTGCGAAGAAATTACATCTCAAGTCTTCTCCTACAGATGAGGAAAAGGTCATTGATGATGTCGATGAGGTTAGGGCTTGGTTATATGGCTTTGACAGGCGGATGGTGAAGCCCAGAAATGTTTTGATTGCGCCGTACGAGGAGGGGGATGTTTGTGTATGGCATAATAGGGTAAGTTTAGACGTCTTCTCTTTGTGTGCGGTGCTTGATGTGGGGTGAACGCTGGTTGGCTGACTGGCTTTTGAATTTGAATAGGGTATGAAACATGCATTTCTGGAATATCCGCTTGAGAAATTGGGAGCGAGGACGATGCACCAGGTCAATATTGCGGCGAGCTGTCCGCCGAGCTAGAAGGGATGCGGACCTATTATGAAAGATGTGCTGCTAGGTCTGCATTGACGGACACTGATCGCTGAAGTCAACCTAGAACGACAAACTTGGAACTCCATACCGAGGCCCGAAACGGCTTACATACTGCAAACTGTGAAACTCAACATTTTCAGAGATGGGCTCACTTCTTGATAGCTTTCTCAGGATTCTTCTCCCATCTTTTGCACCATTTCGCCCATTCTTTCGCTGCCTTTGTGAAAGTCCTGTCAAGATCATCCTTGATTTGCATCAGCTCCCACTGCTTGTCTTCCCAGGACAATGGCGTTCCGTCCCCAACGTCGTCGCTGTGTGTCCAGCCAATCGCCTCGAGGATGTGCGTCTCACTTGGCGGTGGAACGTATTCTGGAAACAGCTTGCCATCATTCTCGTGACATTTCGCGGCAAGGTAGCGCTGGAGAACGTCAACGCGTTGAGAAGGGGTGAAGTCGAGACGCAGCTCGTTCTTGCGCTTTTCGACATCTTTCTTTGAGACAGAAGTGTAGTTGATCTCGGTATCAGCAATCTCAAGGCGCTTAGTGATGCTGCGGCTAGTTTTAGCTCCACGGAAGGATGCGTAAAACCAGACAGCGTCAATCTCTGCGCATGTATTAGTGAATAGTGTTGATGAAATTGTCACTGAAGTTTGCAGGCGCATGCAACTCACCTGCCAGGCCACCAAAGGGCCAAACCGGGACGGCCAAGGTGTCAACGACAATTGCCGGGGGAAACAGCAGCGCAGCAATGATGGAATCTCGCATTGCTCTCTTCTTGGTACGACGGAGACTGGCGATAAATTCGTCCCGCAAGAACTCTCCACCAGGGCCGTCGACATCCATGACCAGACCAGGAGGGAAGAGCAACATAATTTCTTCGGGGCTGACAGTCTTGCGATACACGTCTTCGGCAATCTCATTGGCTGCGTCCTGCATGCGTGCGATACGGTTCAGGAAGTCCAAGTTGGAGGACTTTGTCTTGTCAATGCCCCAGTCTGTACCTTTTGTAGCGCGCCATTTGAGACGCTTGAACTTGGTAGTCTTTCCGTCCTTTGGCGTGCGCATCTTCGCCTCTCTGAGCTCTTCAACCCACTTCCTCCTGCAGAAGTGGGAGATGCCTTCCTTCCTCCATGATTCTGTCTTACTTTCTCCCTCGGGCTTCGTGAGGAAGGGTGGATGCGGTGGGGTGTAAAGCATGAAGCGCTCTGGCATATGACGATCCTTCGGAGCATTCTCAGACAAGTGAGGCTCTGGAAAAGGTAGAAGGTAGCCAATGACTTTTTGCAGGTCTCTCATGTACGCAATTGGCGAAGTCGTCGTCGCCTGTTGGGCGTGGTCAGCGGGAGTGTTTCGCTGAGGGGGCTTTTCATATTGATCGGTGTCGACAGGCTGGCCACTAAATCCCTGAGCGCTGCGAGTAGGACTGGGCGGCGGCTTGAAGTGCTCGCGCAGTGGGAGTTCTGGTGCCTCGGATAGTGTGGCTAGGCCAGTGTCTGCGTTGGCCATGTCTGTCCAGTCGCCGCTGTAGTAGCGCATAGGCGGCATGGTGGCTCTTTTGACTTGCTCTTCAAGACAGATGCTTGACCGGCACGGCTACGTCAATGGACATGAAGATGAGCGCTTACCGGTTTCTTGCCATTGATATTGCCCAGCACTACCCTGCCATGCGCGTACTTGTCGGCACTCATTACTGCGGCCGTCTTTGATTCCGCCATGTTTCACACTGCTCCGAAACGACGCTTCTCCTCCAATCTGGATTGTCTGCGGCCATGCGGTCGACACTGAAATGAGTCTACACGATTCAGTGGCCGGACAACAAGGACGCGTGGAGGCGAAACAGCACGCACGTTGAGCGATGCAGGGTTGATGCTGTCTTGGTCGTTTCTGCTGTCGAGTGCGAGGCATTCGGCAAAGCCCATCTGCAGCCACTCACTTTGCGCTTTAATGAGCAGGTGTCCCGGAATGCAAATGTCATTTTGGACGTTGTGATTATTGCTGTGGAGTGATGGGGTCCTGGGGAAAGAGACGATGTCGATGACATGTCTCTTAATATCCATCCTGGCCGCGGCGAGACTTCCCGAGGCTCCAATCTTTGCCTCTCGACAGCTCACACGTTGCCCTCCTTTCCATCACACAGACATGGAGAGCTTCTGAGTACATGGCATTCGCCTGCCGGAACCTAAGTGTATTATTCTAGTCCCCAGATATCTCCATACCGAATTTCAACAAACACCTGCCTGGAGGCGTGCCTAGAATATCTACCATCTCACTCTCCAGGAGCAAAGCATAGCGGGTCATCACCACGAGGCGGAATTCATGTCTGGACTTACGTAGGATCTCCTCCCGTAATATGTACATCAAGGAAGAATGTAGCGTCCTGGCTGCGTGTGGACACCACTGAGATTGTTTCAAGATGGAGCGGAGTGATGTCTATGTGGCATGGCATGGCATGGCATGGCATACTCATCGACATGACGGCGGTCAGTCGTGCCCAGCGCCTTTTTTTCTCGACAACCGCATTGTTTGTGAAAGTGAATTGCTCTGCGAGGGTTGCCTGAGCAACTGCAGAGCTCTGCTCGCGTCACAAGTGAACACAAGCTTCAATCGCAAGGCTCTTGCTGCAAGACTTCTCACATGCTAAATGCAGCGCTTCGACCTACATTGTCGACACGGCTCTTGGATCGAATGTTAGGCGATCTGCCAAACTCGCAGTGAAGCCGCCCGCCCTCCCACCAAAAGAATGGCAGACTCGAGCCCTCAGCAGGACGTTCCAGTCACGGCCAGAATGAGCGCTCCTCGCTGTTCCCTCCTTGACTTGCCTCAAGAACTTCTCGAACACATCTGCGACTACGCCTACCAGCATCCAGGCAATTCGGCAGTATTGTTCAAGAACCGATGGGAAAGGCGCGAGCTCGAGCGCAGGTCGATCGATCCACAGTACGAGATCGTGCCTTTTCCGCCATCTAAAGTCCATGACTTCCTCGTCTGCAAGCGTTTCTTCCTCACCTCTGCCAGATCATACTCGTCGCGTGGCAGATTTGAGTATGTCAGCCTGTGCAACTCCGATACTTTGCGGCGTCCGCAAGGCTTCTTCTGTCAGTGGGTCACGTCATTGAAAATGCTTTTCGTCGACGTCTACGGCTTCAAACGCGAAGCTTTCCCATCTCTACGAGACGTTCAGCTCGTGGTGCAAGCCCACTTCTTCTACGACCTGGAGCCGAACACGATTTTCAAGCGAGAATGCAGCTACCAGGAGCTGAAGAGCAGTCGAATGTACAACATTGTAACCAGAAAGTTCACGGGACTTCAGCGATTCCAGATCATCCCCAACTACGACTGCCAAGTCACCGGACATCACCAGCAGTTCAGAGCGAATTTACAGCGCTTCGATGGACTGCTGAAACACTCTGTCTTGGGAAATAACGCAGCAGCATTGCAAGGAATGGAAACCTCGAATTCTGGAGCCATGCCTCTATACTTTGGATCTGCCGTAAATATCGATATTTCTGTGTCCAAGTTGACCACTACGCGCTATGCCGAGAACCAGCAGAAGGCCATTGGCGCTTCAAATTTGTCGTTCTCGAAGCCCAAAACATTAGCAGCTGCGAAGGCCAGGCACCAACATTGGCGCGAAAGAAATCGTATGATCGATACATGCCCTCCAGATATGGACCTCGAGGCTGCCGAGTCTGGGTTTGGGTCGGTTTCCAAGCATGAAGCGAAGCGTCTCAAGTCTATGAAGTTGGCGGAAGGCATCGACCTTCCTGGCGATGTGGGAGGCGTCGCTGAAATGTCGTCAAACAACGACGGCTTGCCTAGCAACACCGTCGAGGCAACACAGCGTGGCTCAGATACAAGGGCCCCTAACGAATCTGGCAAAGATAGATTTGTCGAGCTCACTACTCCAAGCGACGAAACTGGAGTCCTTATCGATGACAGAATTGCCTCTGATCCATCTTCAACATCGCGCGGGCAGGGTCGGCATCTATCTGAAGAGTGCCAACTGTCTGAACCAGGGCTACATTCGGAACGCCTTGGTGCAGCAGCTGGTCGTGCGACCAACTCTTTGACCGCTAGGAGCGGTGACCAGATCCCACCGTACCGCCAATTTCGATGCGACCGACTTGAACTACACCGCTCGACCGCAACCGTGGCCGACCTCCTTGCGCAGGAAAAGGAAAGCTGGAGCGACGTACATCATCTACGCAACATGTTCAGAGGGAATAGCGACGAGCTGGTTGAAGAGGCTTCCAACTTTGAAATCCTTGACGCTTCAGGGCCTTCAGCTCGGCACATCGACGAAGGTGCGGCCAATTTTCTTGAGCAGAGACCCGTTGATCACAGCATTGCACCAGCAGTGAAAGTCGCTGCTTCCAATATGGGTTATTCTCGCGAGGAGCCACTGCCAAAATCGGCGACTACACCCAATTTGCGCTCGGGAATGGAGGCTCATCATGCGAGGAAGAGTTCAAAATGGAGAAAGCCGCTCACCTGGCTCAAGAAGATCGGAAAGGAACAGGGGCAATGAGAGGCAGATATTAGATCCTGAGATGGAAGATTTGCGCCCGAAGAAGGTTGAGTACTATGTCCCTCGCAAAAGAACTGGTGTTTATCATGAATCTGGAGCAGGCAAAGGTCGTGTTACTGGGTGTCTCTGCCAAAGCCGACCTATCCTCAAGAGTCTCAGTCACTGAAGGGGAGCACGGTATGGGTCTCGTAATGAGAAGAAGTATGACAGATTGAGGTCGAGGACATCCTCATCTCTCCAAATGTTCAACGCGCTACGAGGACATTGAGGAGAAGTCCAGCAGCTCTTGCGCTGCATCGATCTCAACACGTTTTGGGGACCGCGGCAGCGAGTTGAGTCCCCAAAGTCTCTGACGCTTGACTGAAGCCGAGCATATTGGGTTGTCAACAAGAGGAGCATGGAGAGGGTAATTCTTTGAATTTTCTCGTCACCTTTTGGGTACACTCCAATACCTGATATGCATATTTGAGTGTTACTTGGTGTCCAACACAGTTTCCGCTAGCCTTTCACTCCGAGCAATTACTCCGTTTTGTGGAGAAGGTGGCTGAGATGTTGTATCGCAATGCATGCCTCCGACGTACGGAGCAAATTGCAAAATATCGTGATGATCTTAAAAGTAGTATGGGTTGATACATCATGCTTGCTGTTTGCCAGTACAGCCACAGCAAGCTGACCATGGAGATATCTCAAGAAAATGTTCCTCGTGGAATGATCGGAGTGCTTGGATAGGTCGAGTGTGGCCAGTAGCTTGGCACCTCGCAATCTCCAGACCAGCCGGGGCGCTTTTCGAGGATTCCAACGTCTGGGAATGCTTGATTGATCTTGTCGTAGACACCTGGCTGGCAGAGATCGTAGCTCGGAAGACGAGCGGTGAACTTGAGCTGCGTACCACCGAACGGGTCTGCCCTGCAGCCCCATTCATTGATCTCGGCAGCCTGCTGCAGAGTGCCTAAGAAGTACTCGCAGACAGTGTGTAGCTCGTAGGGACGATTGATCTGTAGCTCATAGCCAACCACGCCTGAGAAGGTAGTCTCTGCGACAAACATGTGCAATGGATCTTCAGCAGTGACCGGCATCCTAGCAGGAGCCCACTGCTGACCCCATGGGTTGACCTCATCTCGACGTGCAGGAGAGCTCTGACGAGTGTCCTGGCGCCGGGTATTTTGGGGCAAGCAGGTCCGACCTGCACAAGACCACGCCGGAGAAGCCAATACACCATCAGAGAGGCAGATTCGCTCTGCTATGAATGGCACTCCCGGATACGCCTGGTCCAAGCCTTCGATGACTTCGTATAGTAATTCTGGGGTGTCGTAGGTCGCACCGTACACCTTGAACATGAGCATGGTCTGACCATAACCATCCCCGGTGCATTTGTACTCTTCGCGTTTGAGGATTTCGGATTTATTGGCATTGCTGATATGTTCACGCATGGTTGCATAGACCGCATCACCTATCAACGTGGTCAGCATGATTCATGGCAAGTGGCAGACAGCAAAGTGCTCACAGCCTTGGCCATTGACGAAATCGCGACCGATGTGAACCTGGTACTCAAGGCCAGAATCGAATGGCGCAGTTCCACAGACAGCTTGTCCGGAAACGATGTAGTCGCTGAGCGAAAACTGTCCGATCTGCTTGAAAGGGGCATGGGACCTTGGATAGATATCTCTCTCGACCGATGTTGATGGCGCAGATGAGGTCAAGCCCGGATCATTGAGCTGAAGAGGGGCCGCGCTGCTGCATGCGACTGCAGTCGCAGCGACCAAGGCGACCAAGTTTGCACGCATGTCGGATTTGATCACTCTTGGGGAAGGATGTGACGGCAAAGATGTTGCCGTCTGGCAGGTGTGCTTGCTTTGTGATATGGGGTGTGTCTTTGAACAAGTAGGACGCAGCAGATAGTGTCGTGTTCCGGGATGTCTGTGCTGTGAATCAATGTGTCTGAGAGGCTTGATGCAAGTCGTGGTTGTGATGTGGTTACAGTTGCGATGGAAGATATAGACCGGATCTGTGGCATATGGTCGTGTGACATGGCGCGCTTTCCTCCAAGTAGGCGACATGACCCCTATCGTGTACATCGATCTGAAGGCTGAAGCACAAGACTCGCGAGATGGGCATTGAGTGGGCAAGCACGTGAACGATCCTTAGACCGCTCGACTCACCTTGAGGAAAGACGACTTGAACATGGCATGAGCGACCAAGAATGTGATGACCCCGCCGAACGTACAACTCACCCTCCGGGAACTCGACCATGAAAACTGAGCAAAGTCAGTCCATCAAGGCACTCTCATGCTTGTATAAGCGTCGGACTCGGACTCGAGACAAAAACGTTAGCACTATCGAGCTCCTCAATGAGACAGCTACTCCCGGGTTGAAGCCTGTATAGAACGTGCGGTCGGTGATCTCAACACACTGGAATCAATGATCTACAGGAGGTGCAGGCAAGAGGGAGCTGTAGAGCAAAGGATAAGATGTCAGGCAGATGTCTCGAGCAGGCCGTTACTCTCCAGTCGAAGCTTCAGAATAAGGTGCCTTCTGCAACTTCGAGGCCTCGATTTGAGTGGCGCGATAGAGTGGTAGAGCAAAGGTTAACAGGATTAGAAAGCTCTCGTCCAGCCTATCACTCCAATGTCAGAATCTGCAACACAGCGCTGTCTGCTCCGGTGTGCGACGCTGCTTTCGACGAAAAGACCTGAAGGGCAAGAGGGAGTAAGCGTATCCTTGTGCGCCACCTGAGTTTGAGGAGTTTGAGCCGATTTTGCTTGGAAGTAGGCACCAGCCTTGCAAGTACGTGCGTTATGCCACTCAAATGGACTGCGTGCGACCAATGCACCTTCGCTCTGTGACGAGTCTGTGACGAGTCCCTACCTCTGCAACTTGTGTCGCAGAGAGAGCGTTGTTGACAGCGTTGAATGAAGGAGCGATCATCACCATCTTTGCGCCAGCCAAGCGTGAATCGACTGTATGCGAAGCAAAACTTTTCCGCCCCGGGTGTTCTCCGCCGTAGTATCAATCCTGACGTGGACATGGACCCTCTATACTCGCGTACTCATCAAACCTTCTCCCAGCCATGTGCGTACACATTGCTCCTAACCGGGCAGGTTTCTTTTTAGAGACTGGTGTTCTCCCCACGGGCCAGCTTCTGTCTTACGTAGTGGCATGGCAATTGGTGAAATGAATTCAGACCAAATATGGATCGCGGAACATTAGCAGACTCCTTATTGGAACCAAAGCTGCGCTTCGCGGAAATGCTCTCGCCTAAGTCATCGCCCACTCATGCTTTCTGGTCGCCCTCTGGGAGAGAGGGTTCATACTGGCTTCTGGGACTGCTCGCTCGGAGCTCCCGCGTGGGCGTACCACCCATTGCTTTTCGCAGTGGGGCCGACTATTCTTGGTATTGATCGAGTGCATTTCCGCTACACCAGCGAGCCGCAGAGTGCGAGTCTGGGCGTCTAATTGGCAGCATGTCTTGAATCAATATATAGACTCATTTGCTGCCGTTGCGCTTGGCGGAGGAGTTGGGAGTTCGAACCGCTTGGCGTTTACTTCGACATCGTCGCCGCCCAATTCGGCAAGATTATGCAAGCACGTTCCTCTCTTTCCTCCTCTTTGCGCACCTGCTTGGCTAGCGTGTGAGAGCAAAGCAAAAAAAAAAAAATTAAGTTGTACTACGAATCGAACGTAGAAATGGTGTGGCCCAACTACGATTTGAACGTAGGTCTTTCCATTATAAGTCAGCCACATTAGCCACCCTGCCACATGCCCCCGAAGGGACAAGGTGGGCGTCGAACCCACGTCTCAACCGAGTACTTAAGGAACGTGCTACCACTGCACCATTGGACCCAGTGTTCTTTGATGACGACGACGACGATTATCGAGTATGTAAATGTTGAATGGGGTGTCCCGAAGGCAGGAGGGCTGTGATTCTGCTACGTTGTGCTGGCCGCTCCGCGTTGGTCTAGCACTTGAAAAGGGTCGGTCCACGAGCTCGCGAGCGTAGCCATAGGTCGTACGCAGAGCTGCTCGTTTGATTCTGCTGCTGTGCTGGCCGCTCCGCGTTGTCCAGCACTTGAAAAGCGTCGGTCCACGAACTCACGAGCGTAGTCATAGGTCGTACGCAGAGCTGCTTGTTTGACTCTGCTACGTTGTCCTGGCCGCTCCGCGTTGTCCAGCACTTGGAAAGCGTCGGTCTACGAACTCACGTGCGTAGTCATAGGGTCACACGCAGAGCGGCTCGTTTCAAACCACAAGAATGCCTTACAACTTAGCAGCTGCTCGTCTCCTCACGCAATATGCACTGCTGCCTTGAGCTATGGCGAGAGGACTGCCGTGTCGCGGCGCTTCGACGCGAAAGATCGCAGTCCGTGGTACAGAGAATGAATTGGCCGCCACAGCTTTAGCAACGCTTCGGTGAGATCAATTTTGTACAAGGGTCATTCTCGCAGGTTCCCTCATTCGTGGTTCCCAAGAGGACTAGCAGGTATCAACGGCGTAAGAGCCTACAGCGCCTAGAGTCGTGTGTTGATGAAACTATTTTATCGATATCCATCAGGCCCGCCTGTTATCGCTGGTACCGTACTTTCCACGCCACAACGCTCGAAGTGTCCGCAAAAGACTCCACGATGGTAAGGCGAGTACGGAGTACAGTCTTTCCAGAAAGTCGTACGCGTCCGCGGTCGACCCTTCCAAGTTGAGACCGCTACCTCCTTCGCTTTCACGCCGAACGTCTTCCTCGGCCCGAAAAGCATTCCAATATTCTGATTCCGAAGCTCTTATCACCATCGTCTCATTTTCAAAATCGACCATTGCGTCGCGAGACCCTGTTTGTCCATGCCGCGTGCACGCGCTTTTCTCCTCCTGTTCATTGATCGCGATGGCCATATATCATTCATCCGCGTAGTGGCGCGTATACTGTGCATTGCGATTGAATTTTGTGCGTCGAAATCGGTTGACCAGACAATTTCTACCTTGGGAACAAGGGAGGTGAAGTTCACAGACAGGGATCGGCAATCCGTGCCATTTATGGTCAAACGAACGTGTGTAATTATATAATTATTACAAACAGCTTATTGCGGGCTATTAGACTATTAGTGTAAGGATTCAGATGGGTCGTACGCATGATAACTAGTAATAGTTAAGCTTTTTGAGCGTCTTTGAGACTAATAGACTATGTAACCTGGTTTGAAGTTTCGATTCTTTCAAGCCAGTCTTCATATTGGCTGAAATTCTCTCAGCCCTGTAAAGCTCTCTCATCGAGCCCTGGATTCAATCCGTGTAGAGAAGAACATGCCATCATCCACAAAGTACTGATCAAAGGTGCGTTACAGACTCGCCAGATCATAAAAGAGATTAAACTCGTCGGGGTGGAAGAAGCCACTGATTGGTCGTGGGACGCGTTTCGCCGTGACTGAGAGCAGAAACTCTTCAGAATTATTGCATGCGTAATTGCGACTGTTGCTACTAGGCAACTTGTAGATTGTGCAGGTTGGATGCGGGAAGCATCCATGCCCCGAGTCAATTTCATCTCTTTACACCAGCATCTGCTGCCAATCTCAATACCTGTCCAGCCTGTTGCTGCTTGCCCTGATTCTGTAATGCGGTCGCTATGACTTCTGGACCTGACTTCTGTCCTCCAGGTTTCCGTGGCGTGGCCGATGTTGCGCGGAGGTGGCGTTTCACACTGGTTTCCAGCACTTTTCGAATGTCCTCGTCCATATCATCTGTATTTTCGACAAGCGGGACCAGAAAGAAGACAGCCTTCTCAGAAAGCGCAGGCTGCTGTTTGTCCTGTAGCCTAGTACTGCCCGACTTGATTCTCGCAAGGGATTTGGACAGGGCTGGAGGGAAGTGTGCAGATGTGGAGTCGACACTGAATAGCTCGCGTTTGGCCTCGCATATGATCGTTTCTATTGAGCTTGATGCATTTTGTCGTAGCCAGTCGAGGATGTGATCTAGTATTCTTGAGGCGGACGGCACTTGATTGAAAGTCGAGATGAGGTCGAAGAAGTTTTCCGCAGCTTCAGAAGCTTTGCTGCCCAGCTGCTTCATGGCCGAGTCGAAGATGGCGATCGGGATGCCACCAGTGAAGGCAGGCGCATTCTCTAATCGCTTGATCAGATCCTCGTTCACTTCCTCGACACCTTTTTTGGCGTTTTCATCATCCGAAGCTGGCTCCAAGTCATCGGCTGTGATGCTGGGTAGCGTGATGATGTTCTCGTCCTCGTCTACTTCCTGCTCATGCTTCTCGTCCAGGCCTAGGATCTTCCTTCTCGCAGCGATCTTGGCAAGATATAGCATCTCCAACTTCAAATACTCCAGCCACAGCTTCAAGTCTTCTTTGCAAAATCTCAGTCCCCTCTGCATGTAGTTCCTCGCCGTGGCCATGTCGGCCTGTGTCTCGGCATAATGCTTCGCAGCCAAGACCCACAAGCCATACTCTTTCGGATGCAAGCGTAATAGACTTGTGAAGACCTTGGCCAGCTTTTTGTTTGCCTTCTCCTTCTTGCAGAAATTGATATACTGCATCCATAAAGCCAGGTCACCTGGAAATTTCTTGGTTGCTCGATCAAGGACGAAGAAGACTGTTCTCTGGCCGGAGAATGAGGATGACTTGATGCCTAATCTTCGACATCGCTTCTTCCTCAGTGCATGCAGGTTCATCTCATATGTCGCATAGCGGACATAGTCGCCGGGCGAGCTGCCTCTCGCATTCAAGGTGTGCTCAAATTCGGATCGCTTGGAAGTGATGGAAGCGATTTCGTCGCGGGAGAAGATGCCTTTCGATTCGTACTCTCGCAGTTCCGGCACATATTGCTCCAGGTAGAAGCGAGCCTTGTCACTCGCTGCCGCCATGTGGACGGTACTGTGTGAGGCTGTATTCGCTTTGCGACGGACACTTGGAGCTGGGGGAAGATTTCGAGATGATCTGCGGCTCTGCGGGTAAGTCGCGCCGAGGCGGAAGTCGCGTGTCCGGGATTCGATTCGTGAACAGGGAGGAAGGAGACACTTGCACGCTCTTGCTCTCACCACCACCACCACGTTCACACCGCGGAGTCGCAGTCGCACACTGCACATTCTTGTCTCTCCTTCATTCTCCCCTTCGTTGCCTTTCTGTCAATGGGAGCGCGCTAGAGTAGAGAGCACCATGCCTCCCAAGCACCGCGACGGCGATGTCGTGGCCGTCGTAAGCACTGCCAGCTCCAACTCCAACTCCAATTCCAATTCCAATGCCATCCGCATTCGCTGGCTGCCGCTGTAATCCTCACTAACATGTATGCGTGTCTCCCGCTAGATCCCCGGCCACTTCATCAGCCATGCCCACACCGCCGCGGCTTATGCGGCCTTCGTCGGCGCCTTCATCGTCGGCGTCTGGCTGCATTACCACAAGATTGTGCAGAACGAGCACTTCGGCTACCCGATCGAATGGTTTCCCTCGGTGTCCGCGACGATTGGCGACCGCTATCCCGAACGAAGCGTCTTTCAAGTCTTCATTGCCATCTGCTCCGGCCCACGATTTGCCTTGGTCTTCCTGTGGTACTGCCTCGCCAACCGTCCGGGGAGCACCTTGCCCAGATTCATCGCAGGAGTGGGAGTCTTCCGGACATTGACATGTGGAGGATGGACATACATCACGAGCACCGATGACCATGACTGGCACGATATTTTCATGATCGCCTACCTCGTGGCCACTCTGCCCTGGACTGTTGGCTGCATTGCCTTGTCTCCTCCCAATCCACGCGCTATCAAGTACCGCAAGTACCTGGCCGCCACTTTCTTTGCCACCCTCGTTCCACTAGTCTACTTCTTCATCCAACATAAAGTGCATCGTGTGCCAGGGGGTGAGTCCGCCTTCATTGGAGCCCGGGAGTGTCCAAACTAACGACTGCACTAGCATATACCATCTACGCCTTCTTCGAATGGTCGCTCGTCCTGCTCGATGTCGCCTTCGACGCCGTCACCGCCATCGACTTTAATGCTTTCGAACTTGTCGTCAAGGACGTGAAGGGAGTGAGCAGAGGGTACGTCAAGCGGCTTCCAAAGTAGCTGGTACGATTGTCCGTTTGCAAGAACCAGCTGCTCAGGGCTGTGGCTGATGTGGCATCGCAGAGAGAAGAATCGCGTGGCAGAGAAAGCCTGGGAGAGACGAAAGGACAAGCCTATTGGTCAAGTCTTCAATGACCGCTTCTCATGGGACGAAATGCTTGATGCGGCAGCAGATGTGTATCTTGGGGTAAGTCGTGCACACCAAAGCCTGTCACCTCCCAAGTACTGATAGACTCTCAGTTCTCATTCTGGACCATCATAACATCTCTGGGCGTGGTCGTGTGGTACTTTCCACTCTGGCACATGGGCATCTCCGGCTACGAGATCGCTGTAATGTCGACCATCTCTCCGTTATTGCTCGAGATCGGAGCCATTCGTCGTCTGGCCTCAAAGAACTTTCCCACAATAATACTCACTACTGCCATAGGTCTTCTCGCATATCTCATTAAAGGTCCTGAAGCGAGGCTTGGAGCAGTCAGCCTTGGCGTCTGGAATAGCTGCTTCGCCTGGGTAGCGTTGTGGTGGAGCAAGCGCAATAGTCCTGCCATGCTGGAGGCGAAAGTTTCTGCGTGGCTCATAGGACTCATGGCCAGTAGTATCGCCAAGTTTGCTTGCTGGACCAACAACCCTCTCTGGCCTATCATGCACGAGGCCAACGGCGGATACAACAAGACTGGCATTGCATTGTTCGCCTTAGCTGTGCTTCGCTCTTTTCAAACATCTTCCAAGAATCTGGGCAACGAGCCCAACCAGGACAAGCCGAAAGGTCCTTCGTTTATGGCCGGTCTTGGTTTCGCTGGTGTTATGTTTGGACTGCACTCGTTGCTCTCCGATTCGAGCACCATGATTCTGTGGGTCTGGGAGGGATATCCTGTTCGTGGCCCCCTAGCTTCACCGCATGGAGCCTGGACAATCGCAGCAATGGGTCTCGGTCTGGTTTTTGGTCTCTTCTATCCCAACCTCATTCGTACCTGGGCTGCTTTCGGAATCGGTTCACTTGGTGCCGCATTGCTCACGCTCTTTCCAAACTGGACTGGCTACTATGGCGGCTTAACACTCGCTTTCTACCTCGTCGGCGTTACTCCCGCCATAATATCCAATGCCGTTCGCTTCTCGCCTGGTCGAACCTTCTCCCTAGGCTTCTTTTTCTACAACATCATGGTCCTGTTCCATGTCTGGGTTGTGGCGTACGCATTTGTGCCCGGTGGGCCGCTGGTCAGGGAGCACACAGACTGGGTGATGATTACCACGATGATCATGATCGGTTGTGGTATTTTCTCGTCGAACGCCAATAGCAGCCCGGCGAAGCAGCGTTCCTTCGAGCCTCCACCAAATCCTGCTGCCAGACGTCAGCGCAGCTACTACATCTACGCCCTGCTCGCCCTACAGCTCATCAGCGCTAGCGTGGCTTACCTTCGCTTCCCAACCTATAACTATCAGCCCTACCACAAGGACAGCAAGTTGATCACCGCTGGCATTTGGACGATCCACTTCAGCATTGACAACGACATGTGGAGCTCGGAGCGACGCATGGAAGCGCTCATTCGAGAGACTGAACTCGATGTCGTTGGACTTCTCGAGAGCGATCTGCAGCGCATCATCATGGGCAACCGCGACACCACTCAGTATCTCGCAGAAGAGCTTGGCATGTACGTCGACTATGGCCCGGGCCCGAACAAGCACACTTGGGGCTCTGCATTGCTCTCCAAATTCCCAATCGTGAACAGCACCCACCATCTCCTTCCCTCGCCCGTAGGAGAATTAGCACCCGCCATCCATGCCACCATTAATGCCTACGGTGAGCTCGTGGACATCTTCGTCTTCCATTCCGGACAAGAAGAGGATCCAGAAGACCGACGTTTGCAAACTGAGTACCTGTCGAAGCTCATGGGAAGCACGAATCGACCATCAATCCTTCTCTCGTATCTAGTGACGAAGCCAAAGGAAGGCAATTACAACACCTACGTATCGGACGTGTCTGGAATGAGAGACATCGACCCAACAGACTGGGATCGATGGTGCGAGTACATCCTGTACAAGGGTATGAAGAGGACAGGCTACGCACGAGTGTCGAGATCGACCATCACCGACACTGAACTACAGGTAAGTCCACGTCGCTGCATTTCATTGCTCGTGCTTCTTTGGCTGACGTCTTATCTCACAGATCGGAAAGTTCATCGTCGGCCAGCCCGAAGGCAGTGACCAGATCATTCCCGAGGATCAGGTCCCTGAACCGTACAGATTTCCGGCCATGTTCAAAGGACAGGGCGTGAGAGATCACCGGTACCATGTCTTCAACGAGCCAAGATATTATGCGTAGAGACGAGGAAGGTAAAGCATGGCCATCGCTGCGCTTGCCATTAATGTATATGTATTAGGAGCCTAAAATGCAACATCGTTCCAGCCGAACAGCCCATGTGCTTCGTGAGAGCGAAGAGTTTCACAAGTGGATCTTACCTCACCTCAAAAGTGCAGCCGGCTCGGGAGACGCGTCTCCTTCAATTTGTGCGACCTTTGATAAATTTCCAGTTGCCCATCTTCTTTGCTCAGCTTCATTCCCGACACAACCTTCGAACAAGCGCAGTCCATGCTCACGCTTTGCCAGGACATCCAGTCGCCCGAGGCCGCTGTACCCCGCGACCAGGTCTTCGAGCGAGGACTTCAGTGCAGGGAATGCGGCGCGACGGGTTTCATCAAGGTCACAAGGAGCACGCCAATCTTCTGGGCCTCGTCAGGAACTCGCACATCGCAGCTTTTTATCCCAAAGAGCATCGATATACTACCTGAGCAAGGCACCAAGAACTCTTACGTCCCAACAGGACGAATCATGCGAGGCTGAAGTGCTTCAGGACTACCTTTCCACGCATGTATTCCCAGAAGAGCAGGAAGAGCAAGAAACACTGAGAATCCACCTCAACGTGGTCTCAGCTTCCGAGAGGCACACACCAATGCCTACGTCAGCCCTTCGGTCGAGGACTGGAAGACCGCTGACCGGGTTCCTCAGAAGCCAGTCATTGTCACAATATCCTCCCTTGACACTCAGTGCTCGCTGTTATTACTTTCTCACATCATCAATCGGCCGTGCAAGCTGGTTCAGAACGAGTCTCGGTCCGTTGGCGCAGATGCACGTGAGGTAGGGCCCACACGAGAGAATTTTCACTCCTACGGAGCACATCTCACAATCCTGGACATGACCTCAAGACCAACATACAATTCTGAGCATGATAATTTCATGCTCTTGCCGTCTCAGCCCCATCTCTCGGTATGTTCCCTTAGAACGTGAATCATCCTCTGTGGCTCAAATCCTGGCAAGAGGTTCGGGATTCTTGTTTTCTCCAGCTGTCTCTCTACATTTTCCTCAATGACGTCTTCCTCGCTCCCATACCCTTCCTCATCCTCTTGTCCTTCCCTTTTCGTAAGCAGTCTCTCAATTCTTATAGCCTGCTCTCTCCTCCAGCTCCTCGATGTCCAGTGTGAAACGTCGTCGTACCCGACAATGACTTGTGCTCTCGCCGCAATCGGCAGTCGAATCTCAGGGTGTTGGACAATGTCCAGTCGAAAAGCCGAGGCCATGTCGTAAGGGCGTCCAGGTGGAATTACGTCGAGGGAGAGGGTCGCTAAGCCTGGCAGTGCTGTGAGGAAGCGAGCAATTTCGCTCAGACGAAGACTTGGACCACGTTCTGGGTCTAAGAACGATGTTTGGAGGTGCAGGGTCTGCAAAGAGTTTAACTGAAAGGCTCGGTAAGGTATAAGATCTCCACAGAGAATTGGAGCCAGATGAGCCAACTTAAGATTGCGGCGTGTGAGTGAAAATGTGTTTGCCCGGAAGATCACCTCTCGAGCTTCGATGTAGACTTGCTTGCATACCAGAAGGAGTTGGAGATCTTGCATGAAGCATTCAGGATGAAGTTTTCTGAAAGCTTTTGCTGTGGGCTTTCCAAGATGATGCACTAAAGCTTGATAGTGATGACAAGTGATATCTGGACATCCTTCTGGAGTGCAAGTCTGCTGCCATTCTGGCACATCGTGACTCTCCTTACTGCTACCCCATTTCCCCTTTGATAGGCGTCGATATAGGGAGGCATGATAAGTATTCGTTGCAAAGCTTTCCAGGAGTCGCAGACACCGTTCGTGGCGTCGATCGTACTGTCGGATCCAGTCGCCATCGTGTTTTGCAAAGAAAACCTCATCCCATGCCGGAGTTGTCGGAGTCTCCTTCTTGCTGAGCTGGTGAACATCACTGTCTGAGTCTGGGCAGCAGCAGACTGTGACCACGAGGCGACTTGAAGCTGGTAGTACGTGAACTGTGTTGTAGCCTATAATCAAAGTGTAGATCCGAAGGCGTATCTCCTTTGGCAGAATCATCAGAAACAGTGATGTCGGTGCGTTACGCATGGTTGATCTGAATGGAGGCCTTCGAGACTGTTGTGTTTGTTCAATATTGTTGCGAAAAGACGAAATTCGATCGAGATGATAGTCGAGATGATGTTGATGAGGTTGCCCCTTCGGTGGGCACCTTTAGTGATTCTTCACTATTTGGTGGCGCTGAGAGGATAATAGTAGGCTATATACTGCTGTTGTAATCGGTTTTACGAAGAGCGCCTTTCCGCGGAGAACCTAAGGGATATATAGCGGACTTTCTTACAACCTCTAGGCCTATCTAAGAGGGTCGGATAACACGCTAGCTAAATAGCTCTTTATATATAAACCCCCCGACGGAAACCTACTAGACTAGAGCCCTTAGGAGCGTCTAGAGGCCCTTTAAAGCCTATTCCCTTCCCTCTTCTCCTCCTCCGCGGTGCAGGTATAGCGGCTTTAGCGGTAATACCGGCTATAGCGGAAAGGGTCTAGTAAAGAGATTTTTAGGGGCTTCTAAAAGGGGTACCGAAACAGGGGTTAGCAGTGCCCCTTAGCGACGGTAGAATCGCTTAAAAGCCTCTAAAATTGTATTAATAAAGATAATAGAACACTCTCGTAACGCAAGACCTAGCCTTAGCTACACTTTACGCCCGCCTTCGAGTATTTAATAATCTTTATCGATAGTCTATCTAAGGAAGCTAGTAGACGTTTACGCGAGAATTAGCTAGATATTGCTAGTAATAGTAAGTCCGTAAACGACTTAGATACTATTCTAAGTCCGAGCAAACAGTTAGAGACTAATGCCTTCGTAGCAAGTTTCCTAAGGATAGCGCGCTAAGATCTAGGGAATTAGGCCGATAAGCCCTAAAAGGTCGAAGACTAACGTACTATAAAGAAGGAACAGAAGAGTAAGAAGAAGGAGAAGCGGGAGGCTAATAAGGCTAAGAGAGCCGAAACTATTGCTACTAAAGGCTCTAATAGTAAGGCTCTAACTTAGCTATATAGACGCAATAGGTATAAAAGCCTAGAGTACCTCCCGGCCGACTACCCTAGTAGTAAACTAATCTCTAGTAAAATAGAGGTTAACGATTAAACTGCTACCTAGCCGATACCGCGCCCGTTAACCTCTAACGCTTCTACTTTTAAACCGTTACTAATTAGACGAAAGAGGGGAACTATACCTTTAATAGTAGGTTCCCCTTAAGTAGAGGTACCGAGGAAGAAGAGTAAAGCACCGAAGGATAAGCCCTAAAAGGCCTACTCCGGAAGCCGCGGTCGCTCTTTAAATATTTAGGACGTTACGTAGTCCTTATTAGAGACATCTGTCTTAGGATCGAGCTCCTCCCGGGCCGCTAGCTCTACTATAGCCCGACTAACACCGGCTATTTATAAGCTAAAGGCTACTCTTACTAAAACGTCCGTAAGGGCGAAGAACGTTTCTAGTAGTCTTTTAGATAATACGGCTTATTAGTACGCTAATAGAAGGCACCTATTTATTAGGTAGCCGCCCGCTCTATCGGACGACCCGCCTAAGCGATTATACCCTTTTATTAAAGCGGCTTTTCGATCTAGTATAGTGCTAGTCGGTAGAATTAAGGAGGCGGTATACTAGGTAGGGGGCTTTATTATCGGTATATACCGAATTAAGGACGCCCGGAAAGCGTTAGGAAAGGACTTTAACTATAATAGTTATCGGATAGAGGTTAGTCTGTTTCGGACTAGCGGACCTAGGGTATTCTATTATAAGAATGCCCCGCCCTCGAGTAGTTACCTAATTGCTACTGTAATTGCTAGCCTTAAAGAGCGTCTAAAGGATATCTCCTTTTAGTTAGGTTAGTAAGGCGGCTTTAGTGCCCGTATAGGCCAATTTGTTCTTTATTTTAATAGGGTTTGTAGTATCTAATAGGTTAAGATCCCCTTAGGGAAGGCTAACCTAGGACACACTAAACCATTTATAGCTCTCTTTGTAGCGGCAAAGCTTAACTAGTCCTATAATGTTTGTAATAAGGCTTATTCTACCCTAGCGTATCTAGAGGTAGAGATAGTTATCCTTACGAATAAATAGGGGGTCGAGTCGATGCTACCTTTTAAACCTAAGCTATAAAAAGACTTAATATACGTATTTGTTCTTTAAATATTAACTCGGTACGCAATCCCGCTAGGTTTCGTACGGTCTATAAGTTTATAAGAAGCCGCTAGTTCAATGTTATATTGCTTTAGGATATACGCCTAAGTAATAAAATGTCTTTATATTATAAGTTAATATTCCTAGGCATCCTCTTTCTTAATAACCCGTCGGTTACAGACAGAGGAGGCGTAGGCATCCTAGTTAACAGCTTTACTACTGCGTTTACTAAAGGCTTACCCCTTTACGCGGACCTAGATAGGAGGCTCTTAGTTTGTAGATTAATCTGTAAAGAGGTCGTATTTACTATCTCCTATGTATACGCCCCTACGAACATTAGACCGAGGCTTAAGTACTTTAACTAAGCTTCGATAAGATTAAGCGAGTTAGTAGAGCCTATTAACTGTAACATCGTTAGAGAGGACTAGAACTAGTACTTACTAGGCATTAATAGAAGGAGCGGAGCTCCTAGTCGGGTTTCGGTAGTCTTAGCTATAAAGCAATTTATAGGTAAACTGCGTTCTAATAATACTAACTTTATTAATAGATAGAGAGAGCTCTACCCTAAACGCATTGAATTTACGTATTTTATTCTATCCTCCGGGATATCGAGGATTAACCGTATTTACGTACAGGCTAACTAGTTTAGTAGGATAGCTTAATAGCGAATACTATTAAATAGTAGGATTTCCGACTATAAGGCGGTATCTATTAAAATTAGACGACCAGAATCTAATAAACGTAGACTAGGAAGATAGCGGTTATACCTATTAATACTAGACAAAAGATAGGTAGCGGCTAGCTACTACTAAGCTCTTATCCTATTACCCTATAAGGACCTTATTAGTAAATAGCCTAAGTATAAAGCGGGCATTCAAACCTACCTTCGCCTAATAATAGAGGAGCGGTATAAACAATTACGGAAGCTCTCTAGAAATTTAACGAGGCAGCGCTCGGCTTTAATAAGTAAGCGAAGGTCTAAAGTAGTAGATCGAGACCTAGAGCTCTAGATCGAGGCTATTAAGATAAAGGAAAGTTATCTCGCTAAGTAGCAATTTAAGAACTACTCTTACTGCGCCCTAGCTAAGCACTTGCTATTAGGAGAACGTCCTACTAAGTGGTTCTTCTCGTTATATAAGGCAATAACGTATACCTATATCTCTAGCCTATTAGATAATAAAGGTATAGTTCGAACTAAACCTAAGGAACTCTTAGCTATTGCCGGACAGTTTTATAAGGAATTGTACGCTAAAAAGCTATCGGCTAAGTAGGCCTATAATAGGATCTTAAACTGTTTAGATAAAAGGATTAGTACGAAATCGGCAGAGGACTGTATAGACCTTAACTGTATAGATAAGGTTTAGTTATTACTTAAAAGAGCGGCCGTAGGGAGGTCGCCGGGGTTTAATAGCCTACCTACTAAGTATTATAAAGCTCTTATACGTATAGAACCGAGTAACGTACGAATTAGGGCTAATAGGAAAGTAGAACAAGAGCCGCTACTAATTGCCTACCGGATCGCTAAGGTCTATAAGCAGATAATAGTTAGGAACGAGCTCCTAGAGGGATAGACAGACGGTATTCTTACCCTCCTTTATAAGGAGAAAGGTTCTCCCGAGGAACTAAAGAATTACCGACCGCTATCTATAATAAACGTTAACTATAAGATCTTTACTAAGGTTCTTATATAAAGGATAGTATACGTATTAAAGGATGTTATCGGCCTATATTAAAGCGCCTTCTTACTAGGGCGCTTGATTAACGACAATATTAGGACTGTTTAATTCCTAATCGATCGATATCGACCTCGAGGTAATAGACCCTCGATTAATAAAGAGCTAATCGCTATCCTCTTCCTAGATTAGGAGAAAGCCTATAACAGAGTTAGCTATACCTTCCTTTAGGCGGTCTTAAGCAAACTCGGCTTCCCGGATTAGTTTATTAGGTAGATTAAACTATTGTACTCTAATGCACGTACTCGGGTTTACTTAAACGGCTTCCTTAGAGATTCGATTTAGGTTTACTGCGGCGTACGCTAAGGTAACCCTATAAGTTGTCCTCTCTATATCGTAGCTATCGAGGGATTAGCCTAACTTATCCTAAGGGACCCGGAGATTTCTAGGGTCTTTACGAAGAGACAGGTTATTAAGCTAATAATGTATACAGATAATACGGCGGTAGTTCTACGCAACTAATTAGAGGCAAATGCCCTAATAAGGGCGCTTAATATATACTCCGTAGCGTTAGGTACAAAGGTTAACTAGGATAAATCGTATATCCTCTATATCGGTAACATCTAACTATTAGATATACCTAGTGTTTAGGTAATCTCTCCGGAGCACCCCTATAAACACTTAGGTATCCTAGTAGGGATAGATATTAATATACAATTAAGGGACTTCTAGGTGAAAATCTAGGACAAGTTTAAAATAGTAGCCTCCTAATAGTTAAAATATTACCTATCTTTGAAAGGGAGAGTGTTAGTAGCAAACGCCCTAATAATGTCCTTACCCCGATACGCGATAAGGTTCCTTAAGGTCCCTATATTAACTAGAAAGGCGGTAGAGAAGGAGTATTACCGCTTAGTATAGGATAGCCGGAGACACACAATTACTAACCTAAAAGCCTGCTATATAAGAAAGGACGGCGGCTTAGGCTATATAGATATTAACTCTATTATTAATAGTAGTATTACTGCTACTATAATACGAGCTACTGTAAGACCTAGTCTAGTATAGGCCTCTCTAGCGAACGAGGTACTAGTAGGATGTACTAGTACCTAGTCTATTAATAATGCAGTTACTAACCCCTAGATCTAAGCCTTCTCTTTACGAGTCTAGGCGGTTCTAGGTTCGGTAGGTTACCTCTAGAGGAGGTAGAGTTTACTCTATAACTTTACTAAAGAGGACTGTATTATCGTAGTAGACCCGCCGAGGACTCGCAATAATGTACTATCTACCGTACTATTCTATTACCCCCTAATCTCTCTAGGACTAGGGGCCGGGGCAAGGCGGTAGAATAGTAAAGGATAGAGGTTGCTCTAGAATATAGGGGCTCGACTATTAGGGGACGTTTAGGACCCTAATAAGAGAGCCCCTAATATTCCTACTACAATTGTTAGTAGAAGTAACATTAATAGAGCCCGTAAGGCCGTTAGGGGCTTAATTAAAGCCCTATCTACGGACTAGCGTACCCTACTTAATAAGAGGGATAGACCTTAGAGATCTCGGCCTCGTTATGAATATAAGTTTAAAACCTATAGCGACCCGGCTAAGCTTAGCAAAGTCGGCTTCGCTATAGCGTATAGGACTTTCGTTACGAGGCGCCTAGAGGGATACAGCTTTAATAGGCTAACCTAAAGGTATCTTTAGGTATATAAGTTAATAACGGGATACAAAATAGACCTAGAAGACCTCTAGAAATCACTCCGCCTCCTATACGGCACGCTAAAGGCAGATAACCTACTCTAGCGGATCGTATATAGAAAAGTCTAGTCGGGCTCTTAGCTTACCTAGATCGAACCGGTATAATAGATATACCCGGTCGACGGGAGGGATCTCTCTCTAAACTATATTTAGTTAGACTATAAGGTCTCTAAGGCGGTTTAGGAGGAGTTCTACTTAATATAGTATAGAGTCTCTACGGTTCTAGTTCTAGAGGTAAAGACGTTAGACGGACTAGTAGTCTTAACTGCCTTTTTACTAAACCTCCGTAGTTTAGATAAGAGGCGCTAGCTCGTACTAAGCTAGGCTCTAGTATAGGGCTTATAGAAGTGTTACCTATTATACTCCTTTACTAAGCCGGTTAACTATTAGCGTATCGATACGGTAGTTAAGTTTTTTAGGATATTAATTAGGAAGTAGGTCTATATTAATCGGATAGCCTACTTAACTAATAAGTATATAGGAAAGAAGTATAACGCGAAGACCTTTAAGCAACTCTAGGGATAAGAACCGAAGCAAATTAGGATCCGACGGGAACCTCGGATCCTTTAATAAGTATATATTACTAGGGGGCCCTTCTAGGCTTAGGTATTATTAGATTTAAAGAGGATTATATAGGACTAAGGTAGCGTAGTATTCTAGTCCTCGTACGCTCTTCCCTTAAATTGAGTAGGTGCGGTACTAATTACTATCGATAGAAGATAGTATATAGAGGAGCGATAGTAGGAGGGTTCGACTCTCTTAACGAGCTACCGGTGCCGGGTAACTCCTCTATAGCAGTTAATATATAGTAGACAAGGTAGTAGCTAGCTGCTATATAGTTAGCTGCTAAAATAAAAACAATCTTATTGCTCGATGTTGATGAGGTTGCGAGTGAGGCGCATGAACTCCGAAGGTGGCTGTGCATCTTCTAGCCTGTTGTGAGAACAAATCACTTTGCAGAGGCATCTGCTACAGTCAGCAGCTGACAGTCATACCGCAGAGCAGTCCGTTTCTATCTTCCCGCCTCAACGCTCACGATGCAACAACCCTCTCTCTCTCAACCCGTTCATCACCAGACGAAATCCCTTCCCGTCCATTCTCGTCTCTCCATCCTCATTGATCTCTGCAACGACTTCAATCATGCCTCTCACATCCTCTACAACCCTCTCGTCTAGCTTCTCATAAGGCGTCCTGGCAACCACCATTCCATTCCTCCCCAACTCAATCTCCAATGGTATACCCTTGACAGTCCAGAACCTAAACTTCTTCTGGGATGCCAACCTCGTTCTCATGAAGACATCTGTCCAGCATTTCTCGAACGATTTCTCCATCGGTCGTGTGATGTTCCAGATCGTGAAGTATCGAGAGGCATGGTAGACTTTCAGGAATTCGTAACGAAATCTCGAGGAGACGAAGCAGTATGGCAGTAGTGGACATCGAAAATCAAAGACTTCCGGGTAGTAGGAATCGTGAGAGGAGAGGAAAGTGTAGATTATGGAGCGGAGTTCGGGAGGCAGGTGGAAGAAGGGAAATGATTTTTCGATGCCATTTTGTTGTTTTGTGCTTTCCATGTTGTTGAGATGAACGTCGTTGTTATAACGAGATGCTGGCGCGACTCATATTGTGTAGATGTTCTTCCGATTCCAGCTGATATGTGTTTTCTTTTCTGGTTTAGGTCATGCAATTTCAGCCTAACACTATCGGGGATCAATGCATTCTTCTACACCCTCCCCGGGTCGATTGTGGGACCGGGACCATTGAGGTGCTCTCGTCAGCCTTATCTTCGGACCTGCGTCGGGCAAGGATGACCGTAGAACCTTGATGAGCATTTTCGTAGTCAGATAGCAGGTTCCGCAAATCTTCTCAACCTTGGGCTCAGATCCTGCGATGAGGGCATAAAAGTTAGGTCGGGCATCGAGTATGCTCTTGCGCAAGAGCTATTGCACTGTTGTAGCATCCAGGAGTCCATTCCTGTCGAATGCGAAGTGAACGCGGGACATCAGCAGTCAGAAGTTGTCCACTCTTTCTCCTTCCAAATTGGAATGGAAGGACTCTCGTACTGCTCGTACATTCATGTCATACTGTCTAGTGCCACGTCGGCTCATGCTATGCTCTTGAAGACAAAGTGCGTTGCAAGACGTCAGTCCTGCTCCCGAGCTCAGTATGCTGGTCTCTGATAAATCTCACGCACGTGAAGCACCATGCAATGCTTTTTCTTGAAGCGCTGAACTATGCCCACACATCCTGGCCTACACCTTCGATCCAGTTGCCCAGACGCTCCACTCCTCCGTCCCACTCTCTTAATCGGGTGCGCATGCCTTCGATACCATTGCGGTCGAGAACCTTTGGCTGCACCCACGTTATCCGCGCCACCTCTGCGACTTGGTCGATGCTGCCTCGTAACAAGCCCAAGCTCAGTGCCTTCATGATGAGATGCTCGATCTCATCGATCTGCACCTTGGTCTCCTGACTAATAGTGTGGAAGGTCATGCTTCGATCCTGCGGAGGGCGAGAGAATACCAGCTGCGTCAGAGCAGCCAGTGAGATCTTCTGGTAGAGGAATTGTTGGTGTTGCTGGAGGAGACGGTTTGCGTCGAGGTGCTGCTGCAAGATGTTGTATGCAGAGAGGTCACCACGATTGAAGGCGAGGAGCAGATCGCGCAGCCAGGCGTGCGGCGTCTTAGCGAGGCTATCGAGAATCGGATGGAGAAGGAGCTCTCCGAAATTGTAGATGTCTTCGCTGACGAGTGCGGCGATGGAGAGGTCGTAAGCGATGCGTTGGCGGTCTTTCTCGGTAATGTCTTTCAGCTCCACACAGGCAAGGTAGAGGAGTGCTGTGCGGTAGTACTTGGCGAAATGTTGCTGCGTTTGGTAGTATGAGGCGGAGACGCAGTAGAAGTTGGCGTGCACTTCCGTCTCTACGCTGTCAAAGGTGTCGAGGATGTTTTCGCACTTGTCGAGGTCTTTCCGAGCCTCGGCCGTCTGCTGTAGACTGAGGCGCGTGTTGGCGACTGATGTGAGGGCGTATGTGTAGGCGTCTTGTGAAGCGGGCTTGTCGACCTTGTTGGCCAGCGCTTGCAGGAAGTCGAGGCGCTCGGTGTCGTCTATATGTTATTAGTGGATGGCCACGGCGTAGAACTTGATATAGCATACCGGAACACGTGTTTGCAGTACTCAGGCCTATGCGCACGAGCTTGAGCTGGTTGATCTTGTCTGCGAAGCGCTTGATGAAGTTGTTGAAGATGGCTAAGCGCTGCGGCTTGCTGTCTGGCTCGTTGTAGTATGCGACGAGGATGTCGGTCAGTTCGTGCCACAGCTTGCGCTCCCAGTAGTCTTCGAAGGAGAGGAAGTAGTGCTGCAAATGGTCTGGCGCCTCATCTCGCTGTTGTTGGAGGAAGTCGGCGATCTTCTCGTTCTCCATTGTAAGATGGTGTATTCCTTCTGTGCTTGTGAAGCTGGCGGCGATGCTCTTCCGATACCTCCAGTTGGTGAATTGATTGAACCTCGATCAGGCACACGCAAGGCAAGGCAAGCAAGGTAAGGCACTGAGATGAGAGACTGGAGCATGAGCATGAGCATACGACTTCCTAGTTGCCTAGCTCCCGTCCCACTTGAGCCGCATCGCTTCGCATCTGCATTGACCATCTTCGTCGGCAGAGTCCGCGCCAATGGGAAGCTTCCATAATCGTAATCCACCAGCGACCAGCGACCAGCGACCGTAACGCAATACCACCACCACCACTTTAACCACCTCCCAATGTCGTAGCGGCCATCCACCTCCGCCTCCCACCACGTCCCCCCCTCATGGCCATGCCTGGTCTCCAAACCAGCACAATGCCTCTTCAACGCCACCTTGTCCGCCCCTCGACCTCCCTCCGACTCGCGAAGACTGCCGCAGCACCGACCCAATCCCAATGCCGCCGACACATCCAGGACATTGCCATCACGCGCACTGGCAAGCCAATCATTCGGACTCCTGGTGGCAGGAGTAGTCTCGGTGGCCACACTGTGACTGTCTTCGGTGCTACGGGTTTCTTGGGTCGCTACATCGTCAACCGCATGGCGAGAGCAGGAAACACTGTCGTGATTCCATTCAGAGAAGAGATGGCCAAACGACATCTGAAGGTAACTGGCGACCTGGGCAGAGTGGTAATGATTGAGTACGATCTAAGAAATACTGGTTCAATTGAGGAGTCTGTACGCCATTCAGACATTGTTTTCAACCTGGTCGGCCGCGACTACCCTACCAAGAACTTCGACCTGGAGGATGTGCATGTCGAAGGTACCCATCGAATCGCCTCAGCTGTCGCGAAATACGATGTCGACCGCTTCATTCACCTCTCATCACACTCCGTACACCCAGAGTCACCCTCGGAATTCTTCCGGACCAAGTGGAGAGGAGAGCAGGTTGCGAGAGAAATCTTCCCAGAGACTACAATCGTGCGGCCCGCACCCATCTTCGGCTTCGAAGACCGGCTGCTTCACAGGCTGGCTCGCGCCACCAATGTCCTGACTGCGAATAACCTCCAAGAGCGCTTTTGGCCCGTCCACTCCATCGATGTTGGCAAGGCACTGGAGGCCATTGCTATGGACGATAGCACTGCAGGTCAGACCTTCGAGCTTTATGGACCGAAGGAATACAGCATGAAGGAAATTTCGGAGCTTGTCGACCGAGAAATGATCAAGAAGAGACGGCATATCAATTTGCCAAAAGCTGTTCTCAGGCCTTTATTCGGTGTCTTGAACAAGGTATTATGGTGGCCAGTGGGCAGTGCTGATGAGGTCGAGCGGGAATATCTCGACCAATTTATCGACAAGAACGCCAAGACGTTCAAGGATCTTGACATTGAGCCGGGCGACGTCGCTAACTTCACATACAAGTATTTGGTAAGTTAGATTATAGTAGACGATGTATGCGAGGAGTGTTCTATACTAACATTAGCTGCAGCAACACTACCGAAGCTCATCATACTACGACCTGCCACCCATGACTGAGAAGGAAAAGCGAGAGGAAAAGAAGTACTTGCACGTTCTCGACGACCAGTAAACTTCATGGACTGGCTGAAGGGCTTCGTGGTAGACCCTAGTAGAGTAGACCTCCAGCTGCTGGCTTGAGGCGCAGCGACTTGTATATATGATACCAAAAGACCGTCCCATTTGTCCAGGTACCTCTCGTACCGGTTTCGACTATACCGATCTTCTCTGGACCCTCATACCCCAGTGCAGACGCTTGGATCCTCTACAGTAATGAACTTCTAGTAGACTCTTTGATTGAGCTCATTGTGTGAACAAACCCCACTATGCTCCCACTAGACTTCCAGGTTGATCCAAGAGGCGCCTAGGTGCCAGTCGCAGAATCCCCCTATTGCAGTGTACTGAATGCAGTTTCTCGCGATCCATCGGCCGAATCCTTAGTCGCACTTTTGACAACCGAGGATGAAAAGCGCTTATAAGGCTCGACACTTCTCTACGGAAGCATCAACTAAATCTTTTAGACTCGAACAGCCTCGAGGTCTTTACGAAGCTTCTAGTTAGTTATAAGAAACTATCTTCTTCTACCGCAACGTCTCGAGCTAACGCGGTAATCACTATCTATAGAACATCCTCTAGCAATAATATGCCCCTATACGACAATCTGTCTTGCCTAGTCTCTAGGCAGAGTAATAGTGCTTACAATTTGTCGTATAAAAAATAGCGTATAGCTTAAGTAGTAGCTTGCTTCTAATACCTATACCCTCGGAACTCGTCGCTATAGTATCGAATCTTGCGACTTAGTAGAATACTACTTAGCTCGTAAATATCGATAAATTTCTAGTCTCGAGTTCCTTAGTAAGATTTACAATAGTCGAAGACTATAGAAGTTATATTATAATATAATCGAGTTAGGAACTCTACTCGGAATTAGCGACTAACCTAGCTACTCTTAATATAGAGCTTATATACCGAATAGGGTTAGATTAGTAAGAAGCTACTATTAGTAAAAAGAGCGGCGGTAATACTAAAGGTAATAAAACTATATATCTAATAGCGGAATTTCTAGGCTAAGAGAAGAAAGTAGTATATAGTATCGAGGGGCTCTTAACTTTAACTTCGCCTTACTTATATCGAGACTACTACTAGCTATATAGAAGAAGATCTTAACTAAACTCGCGCCTAGGTTTTCTACTACTAAAAATGCTTTACTCTCTAGTAAACCCTATAAAATCCCTCTTACTAACTAATAAGACTCTCGCGCTTAATATCTAGCGGCGCTTTACTAATAAAGAAGTTCTCTAGGCTATGCCTTCGGTTACCTCGTAAGCTTATTATACGTCTTTAATAACTAGCTTTTAGTAGGATTTGCCTCCCGATATATACTAACTATATAGCTACTAAATACTAGATATTTAAGATTTGCTACTCGTATTAAGATTTACTAATAAATTTTAGTAAATATTTATATTTAATTTATATTTAAATATAGTCTTAGCGATAGTAAAGGCAGTAGTAACGCTTAGAGTTAAGAAGGAGGTTATTCTATAGCTATTTGTATAACTCGTCGTTATTGTAATATAGGTTAGGTAAGTAGTAGATAGTATAGTTAAAAGCGTATAGTATTTAATAAGGTCTATAAAGGAGGGAGAGGAAGATTAGGAAGTTAGGCTAACGCTAAGCGCTAAGCCCTATCTAAGGCACTAAGACCCTAGCTTTACTTAGCTAGTTATATGCCTTTTATATATTCTCTAATATAGGCTTCCCTTCTAAAGGCTACGTCCTCGTAGCTATTTCTTATTACTTACCTCGCTAAGTTATTAATTATAATAAGCCGCGCTTCTTACGCGTTAAATCAAACGCTTAAGTAACTAATTACGTTACTATTAGTCTTACTATTAAACCTTACTTTAATGTCTGTTATATAATAACTACTCTTCTAACTAAGCTATTACTATTATCCCCGTACTAAGGGTATATTAGCACTATTGCAATATAGTAGCCTTAACTAATAACGACGCGTATACTAAGCTATAACTAGGTATAGGGAATTATAGTGATCCCTTTACGCTTAGTTATTAGTCTTTCGAGGTCTTATCCTATTTCCTTAGTAATTAGAACTATTCCTATTATATATAGCCTACTTTAGCTTCCCCTAATTAGCTTAGGGCGTAACTATAGGTATAAGCATTCGGGCTTCGGCTTTTTTCCGAGGTTGCTAGGCCTAATAATCTAGTAGCGACGACCGCCTAGGTCCTAGTTAGGTAGCTATTAATTCTTACTAAAATTAGTATAGCTAATTTTCTATAGCGGCGCCTTCGTAGCGTATAGGGTCGAAATCTAGTAGTTATATTTACTTAGTCGATTTATAACGTGTCTTAAAGGGTTATAAGCTCGAGGTCTATACTATATCTATAAGAGTAATTCCGGGTATTGCCCGTCTATAGTCTTACTCTATTAAGGTCTCTTTTTATCCTTTTAGTCTTTAGTTAATACTATATATATTAGCTATATAGTTTTACTACTAATCTATATATATAGCGGATAGGGCAGAAAAGGTATATAGTAGCGGCGTACCCTAGCGGAATACTAGTAGGGTACGCGAGGCGTATAAGGTTAACGATAGTAGGGGTCGCTAGTAGTAGGTCCTAGCGACAATAGCAGCACTAGGTAATATTAATAGCTAGTAGTTAGCGCCTTAGCGCTAACTTTACTTTTTCCGCTTTCTAGGCTTTATTCTTTTTACTATACTTATAAAGCAACTATAACTAGCTATTACCCTTCTTCGCATTTCTAGTATTATTATTACTATAATAACTAATCGCCTATGCTCCGCTAGCGCAGTCTTTATTATTATCGAGTAAGGCGCTATTAGATAAAGAGGTAGATATAGGAGGTAGCTGTAAGAGTAGTAGAGTGGTAGCTATTATAGGCGGTATAGTCTCGGGTTCTATAAGCGCGTTATTTGCTATCGGGTAATAATAGAAGTAGTAGAACAGGTTATTAGTAGTAGATAGCTAATACTACCCCCGGGGTATTATTAATCCTAAGTAGCGACATCTCGGCTTCGTTATACTTATAAGGTCTTCTTAGCTTTCTTTCTGCTATCTATAGTAGCCCTATATTCTTATAGCAACTCGGTTGTATCCTTAAAGGAGTCTTTAGGCTCCTACGAGTTCTACTTAGGGATATAGCGTTACTAGCGAAGTAGGTATTCCTTCTTGCCGTTCTTTGTCCGATTATTTAGTATACGTTCTATCTACTATAGCTCTCTACTATTAACTAATACTTCTTTATACTCGGTAGGGGCTTTTTTAGTACTCTCGCGGTAGTAATACGGTATAAGAAGGGAGCTATAGAAGGTATATTAGATAGTATAATATAGTAGAAGCTATAACTGATAGGCTTAGCTATTGCTCTTCGGTTCTCGAATATAGAAGGGCCTAATAAATCGCGGTACTAGTTTAGGACGTGTTTTGCTATTTAGAGAAGGATATTTACGGATACGGAGGTTCTTAGTATTTATTATAACTATATCGCCTTGTTTAAAGGTTATTAGCGTATAATACTTATTATAGTAGCTTTTAATAGGCCTATGCTTTCTTTAATTTGTTAGCTATCTTAGTATAGATTTCTCGTATCTTTAATATACGTTCTATAGCCGCTAGTGTTTCTAATTAACCGGCTTCTATTTCTTAGGGTCGGCCTCGAGCGGTAGTTGTTATAGTACAGCTGGGTTGTGGCCTTTAGTAGCGTAGTAGGGTAATACCTTAGTTAATAAATAGACAGAGTTATTATATATAAACTCGGCTAGTTTTAGGAGGTCTACCTATTTGTTAAGATCCTCGTTAATATAACTATATAGGTACTGCTATAGGGTAACATTCTGCCTCTTAGTCTAACTATCGGTCTATAAATAGAAGGCTATCGATAGCCGATACCTTATTCTTAGCTATAGGTATATATCGCTCTAGTAGTAGTAGTACGATATAAAGATCGAGCTACGGTATAATACTAGCCCTTTAGGTATGCCCTAATAGGTATAGAAGATATTGTTCTATAGCGCTTCTGCTAGGTTAACTGGTGGCTAATCCTTTCTAGTAGGAATATATCGAGCGCTCTTAGTAAAGCGGTCTACGACAACTAAAATAGCATTAAATACGTCCTTACTACTACGCCTCTTAGCGGTAGGAAGACCTATAATAAAATCAAAGGTAAGCTTAGCAAATAGCTTATTTAGGATAGGAGGTAAAGATAGCTCGCTAAATAGCAGGTACCGTAGTGCTTTAACCCTCTAGTAAATAGTATATATATTTATATATTCCTTTATATCCCGCTTACTATTTAGCTAGTAGTATATTGTTAGGGCTAAAGAGGCTATACGTAATTGGTATATAATTAGGCCGAGTAAAGCTAGGGTCTTAGTGCCTTAGGCAGGGCTTAGCGCTTAGCGTTAGGCTAACTAGCCTGCCTTCCTCTCTCCCCTCCTAGATCCTTATCGAATACTACTTATACCTACTACTACCCTATCTACCTACTAATATAACCCCTATTATATAGTATTCGATCTACTCTTTAAGGGCAGCAGCTAGATAGTCCTTATTTTAAGCTTTTAGCGGTATAGCTACGAAAACTATCGATTTAACTATATTACGCCCGAAGGACGGGACCTATACGTACTATTCTACTAAAAACAACCGTGCTAATTATTAAGCAAGGCCTTCTATACGGCCTATTGCACTAAGTTAAGCATATTAGACCGATACCTACTAATTCCGCTATATCCGTACTATAAGGGGCTACAATATATTATTAGTGCTACCCCTTATTATAATAGCCGGCTTATTACGAAACAATAACAACAATAACCGCGGCGCCGCTAGTAGCGCTAGCAATAACAATACTAGTAGTATAGAGCCTACTAAAGTGCCTGCTAAAGGGCCTACTAAAGAACCTATAGTTCTAGGTAACGATCTAGAATTGCCTATTAACGACATTCTTAATAATATTATTAATCGACGATATAGCTAACTAGCCTTTAGCCCCTAACTAGTAGGGAGACTTTAAGAAGCTACT